CAGCGAGCACAACCTAAATATGACTGTGTCATCAGTATAATGATGAAATACAGCATATGATACATTTTGCCCAAGATCATTCACATAAACAGTAAACAAAAGGGGGCTTAAAACAGAGCCCTGTGGCACACCTCCATGGTTAAACAAACTGTAACAACACCGATGATCCTCATCAGGAGAAAGGTCCTTGTCCTGTAAATTTAAAAACGTTGATTTTTTTGCACAGTGGTCACTGAGGTTCTTGCCCTCACAAAGACTTCTCTACAGCTGTGTCTATAAGTCTGATAAATAAGTTCCCCTGATAGACCCAGACCACTTCCATTGTCCTATATCTGGATTTGCAGTGTTAATTTCAGAGAATTTGCTTGTGACAGAAGTCTTATTTTCTGTTTTGTGTGTAGTCGTCTCTTATTTGCAGTGTGTTCCTTTTTGCGTTCAACTTTTGCAACTGTTCATGAAGTTGCATCATTTCTGAATTTCCAGCCTGACACCAAATGAGGGTTAATCGCGCTGTTGCAGGTTGTTCTGACTTGTCGGTAGGTAATATTCACTTCCTTACAGAATGATAGAGTTTAGGTATCTGTATCTGAATTACTCCTAAACAACAAAAAGGTCAAACAAACTTTGAGAAAAATGTTAACAGATAAGTTTAGGTTGGGCGGGTTTTATTACCTTCCAACAGAGCCGAGCTTACTTTGACCCGTTCTAACTCCAAGGGTAGATGGCAGACCAAAGCTGAAATAAGTGGTTTCCAATCCAGTGGAGTTTCCTTAAAAACAAAGTTTCCAACACCTCTGCTCCCTGAGGTTGTTATATGGCTTTATTTAGGTTATGGTTAGACATTGCAGAGATAACTGGGGTAGGGTCAGACTGGGTTCAAGTTAAGATAACACAAATCTAGAGGACACAGACATGATGTGTTGTAGACATCCATGACATTTCACAGAGTAAATTCCTGTTGTATCATCAGCGTACCACACCTGCTGTATTAATCTACTGTGAAAGGATTTGTCCTTACTCACTTCACGTGTTTATGAGCCGTTTTGTGTCGTTTTCACGAAGCCAGACAAGATGTTCCCCCTTGTTTTCATATACAACCAAAGAAACATCGTGTAACAGCGCCACTTGAGTTCTTCTTCTTCCACCTTTGCTCTCTACAGTCTGTACCTGCCCCCACTCCTTCACTTCTTCCTCCCCTTCTCCCCCTCCTCACCCCTTCCCCTCTTGTAGGCATGCTTTGAAGAACAACACAGGGCGTCTCATCTCAAGGAGTGTTTTACATTCCATGTTCTGCAACGTGGCTACGTCCGCCGCTCTGAATAAGAGATCATTGTTCGTAGTTTCCTCCTTTAAGATCTTATTATTAACAGTTGAGAAGGCCCATTAGCCGTAATCTCATATTAGTGTGAACCTATAGTATACTGTATGTGCCCTGTGTATTATATTCCAGACCCACTTCTTTAGTACATGCACGCCTGTAATCTTATCATTCTCCTCAAGCCTTCATGTTTAATAAGCAATGCAGCAAGGGTCAGGGGAAAGTCAGCAGCTTGTACTTGCAGCCGTGCAGTGAAATTATGAGGGATAACTTCTTGTTATCTTTTGGAGAACGACTTATTGGGAACCTTTCCGGGAGGTTACCCACATTCATAGACACACACATGCATGCGCAAACGCACACAAACACACAGTGCAGCTGTCCTCCAGTCTACTTTCCCTTGAGCATCAGCTGAGTTGGCTGTCTTGCTAAGTAGTGCCAGAGAAGCTGTTTCTTCCTGTCTCTGAGTGTCAGTGTTAGTTCAGAGTGATGGCGGGGTGCTGCCCTGACACTTCTCCATCAGAAATGCACAGCAGTGGTGGATCTGGGTCACGTCCCAGTGCCCAGTGCTGAGTCACTCTGCTGGCTCTACCTGTTCCAGCCGTTTGTCAGGCTGGTTTGTCAGAAGATAGCGAGGCCCACTGAAGGGGAGGGGGCTTCATCCTCATTGTTCATGTAATCTGTTATCGCCTCTCTTTGTGTACATCTCCCCTTGTCAGTAATCTGTCATATCACTATTTAAGTTAGGTATTTTCCCCCCACAACAAAGTCTGTATTTAGTCGGTAAAAAGTCTCATCATGTAAACGTCTTTATTCAGCATGATCTTAATGACTATGCTGTCAAAATAAACAGCATAAGTCCACTCAAGCTACATTTTTCTGATGTCTATACTTCCTTACTTTAATCTTTGTTTTTCTCACCTCATAAAGTAAATCCTCTTAGTGATCCCATGGGTTTATTTCTGAGTAACACGACATGAAACGGACGGCATCCTCTTGTAGAAAAAGAGAAAAAAACTACCAACATGTCTTCATCTGATTAGGAACACTTTACTCTCTCTAGTTATCCTAATTTTCCTGTCAGCCTCAAGAATGTCATTTACTGAAGTATACCGAAAAAATTGTCAGCACGATATCATTTCCTCTCGTGTAGTTTCACATGATCACTAATCCAAAACTAAAAGCATACCTAAAGGCCATGAAGGCATCTGGATCTGCTATTTGAGAAGTAATGGCAAATTTGTGTTGATGCAGCTACCTTTCACATCTGGTTTCTAACCATTAACCCTGACCACATCACAGGGTTTAAAGTGGAGTGAAATTAGTGTGGAAAAAAAGAACTTAATCCCACTTTAAAGGGGACCTGATACGCTCCCGTTTCTTTTCTTTCGTGTACAGCATGTTGTTTCAATATCAGTAGGTCAAATTAAAGGCTCATTTTTGCTTCCTTAATTTAAAAAATAGTTGTTTTAAATGATTTAACAATCACTCCCACTCACTTTAATATCAAAAGTACACCACACCCCCATGCTTCTCCCATTTGAAGCCAAAAGAAAACCTTGTTGAGCGCTGACATACTGTGCTGGTAAAGCAAAGGCCAGCACAGAAACGATCTAGAGAGTAAAGCAGCAGGACTGACGTCTTAACCAAAATATGCTGTAGGAGCCAAATATGTTAATGTGATACCATATTATGAGTTTCAGTTTACTGTCACTGTCCTGTTATCTGGGGCACAATAAAGGTAGCCATGTCACCGTCACTGTGGGTAGGTGATTGACCCAGGAGGGCAAAAGGTTTTTGATTGCCATGACACTTAATGCCGGCATTTTCTTGCTTGTTCAGTGGATCAATTATCAATCGCAAACTGGATTTTGGTTATATTTATCACAATAAATTTCTGTTTGCTGCATCTAAGGAACATTATCCGCACTTTCACTGATCACCAAAAACTCACAGTAAAACTCAATAGTGCAGCGTATCAACCATGTTACTCTTGGTCAAGATTCTCAATATCGATTCAAGTATCGACTTAGCTCCTACAAATGCATTAAAATTACCAATAAAACCCAAATATCCATCAGGTTGGCAGAGTCCACAGCAGAAAAGATTCAAAGCAAGTTTGGGGTTTTACCCACCCTCTCTAACTGGTTTTCATGTCTTAAAAAGTACAGCATACAAATGGTTAATCTTGGCACCGGTGGTCTCCTTTCTTTTGTATATCGTTAAAAGTCATCAATATGAATTTAAGTCATTTCATTAATGAATAAGAACTGCTCATAGGAGATTTAAAAGACATGTCCAAAATAACAAATAAAGGAATAAACAGATGTAAAAGTAGTGCCACAAAACAGTATACTTGAACAATGTGATGTACTCAAATAAATTAATTATGGATGTACTTGACAGTTAATGGGCGTTTTAATCATAAGTTAACTTCATAACTTCACTGCGTAGAAAACTTGTGACTGTCAGACTGATTACTCTAAATTATCATATTTAACAGACAGACACAAACACATCCAACTGTAATATTTGCTTCTGTGCTTGTTTGGACGGTCTACTCTTTTGCACAGATGTATGTGTGGATTTGAGGGGTTGCCATCGCCAAACACACTTTTTTTTTTGGGAACAACTTGCTTTCCAAAACAGTAAGCAAACAAAATGGTGCTGACAGTCTTCTGGAAAGCTGACCAATCACAAGAAAATTGGCATTTGACAGAAAACCTTGAAGTAACAAGAAAACAGCACCATGTTTCAGGCAAAGACGCTGCACAGAGGGGCTGTATCAAATAAATCATCATTTTATATGTATATATCACCTACTGTACTGCAGACATGAACCAAGAAGTGACTGTAATGTGGTGATTTTCAGTGAGTGCGACTTGTACCTCAGGTGTAACATGTAACATAAGACAGTAGAAGAACTGGTTCAGTGAGGGCAAAGGGTTACACTTAACTGCTACACCAAAGGCTCGTCAAGCATTTACAGTATAGTTAACATATGGTGGCTCATTGATTTCTTTCCCTGTAAAGCAAAGGTGAGAGTGCTGTGAAAACAAAGATAATCTTCTACAAATAACATTATGAGCAGTGACTGATAAAAAAAGTAAAGTTTTACAAAAAAACACCTCTGCTACTTTGTTCAAACTTTGAATAGGTTTCATTTGCATCAAGCCCTGCTCTGACAATAAGCACTTGCTGTTCCAACCCTGAGGGGAATACGTCATCTATTAACCCGGCAAGGAAAAAATGAAAAATTCTTTAACTGACACGGAGGGTTTCAGATGGTAAAAGTGCTGTTTCACATTGTGCTCTGTAGCGCACATATCAATTTGAATATGCCTGAATAGCAACAGTGGGATCAGCTGACTCACCATTTTCCACAGAACCCTGGGGTGCTGCTTGCCATTCATTTTGCAGGGTTTTCCTCCTCACATGTTGCATTGGGGGATGAAGAGTGTGTGCAAAGACTACAAAGCAGTGAGGAGCTGCCGGAGCCTGTGTGATGGTGGACATATGGCAATGCCTTTAGCCAGGGGCATCATGGTGGGTGTAGGCACAGGGCAAAGTGTGTATTTCATGTGCATCTTTGCGTATACATGTGTGTGTGAGGGGGTGAATCCATGACAGTGTTAAGGGATTTAATGGGGCGTACAGAGGGTCAGCAACAGAAGGAGGTCCCGGCACTCGCCCAATTATTCTCTGTGAATGCATCTAAAGAAGGGGCCAGTTTGAAGTCTTTGCTTTTCTAATACAATAAGATCCCCCCACCCACCCCCTGACTTTCCTCTTCCCCACACTCTCAATCTCAGCCTTTTTAATCCCCTGCTTTCACTTTGGTTTCTCTTTCATAACACATCTGGCACAATAAATAATTTTCTAAGCTTATTACTTAGTGTGTGTAAGTGCACACAGACAGTTGAACACTAACTACACTAAGCAACATGAGGCTGGAAACACAATAAACTCAATTTGGTTTTGTGTGTTGGGGGATGGGTCGGTGTGTGTGTGTGTGTGTTTATGAGTGTATCTGCTGTGTATCTAAGCTGGAAGGATTCCTTTTTTTATGAGTTCTGTCTGTCCTCTTCTGAAAACATCGTTGGAATTTTGTCTTGTATACAAAATGTGCTGGACACAGAATGACCATCATCAGCAAAAAAGGGGAAAAAAAAGTTGTTTAATTCTATGTATGGTCATATGTGGCAAATTGCATTGCCCTAACATGATGACTCATGATGGAGATTTGCTGAACAGGAGAGCTTCTGTTACTTTACAAATCATCATTGTGCCCTACAAGAGGAAAAAATTTCTGCAATGTTCTTGTTTATGGTTATGGTGGTAAAGAAAAATGTATCTCCCTCAAAATGCAGATATTGTTAATGGTTTAAACGGGTTAAAAATGCTGATTTGTGACTAATTCAATTGAGAGATATTTCACTTTCTGCCCTACGATTTCTCCTTCTCCTTCCCTCTCTCTCTCTAAGTTGACATAAGTGGACGTGAAAAGCTGGGATGACGACTTGCCACAGCACTTTAGGCTCCTCCGCAGTTAAACAAATGTTGACAGGCCAAGACAAAAGGAACACAAAGAACACGCTACAGCTGATGCGAAACAACATCGCAGTTTGTTAGGATATGCATGTATTCAATTTGAGCCACAACGAGGCATATTTCTTCTTTTTGCCAATTCAGCCCTAACTTTTCTGGAATGCATTTATGGAGCCTTTCTGGAGCCATTTTACTTGGCTTTTATGCACTATTGGCACTTCTCATCCAGTGTGGTAAAAACACACAGTTGTGCAATTGTGTCAACTGTTTTGCTTTTCTTGGGCTGTGCCAAAATATGTGAGGAAAATTAGTGGAACAAGTCAAACAAAATTACAGCCTTTTGTTTAAGCCTTGAAAAGTGTGGCTACAATTTAAGGCCCTCTGGTATGTTAGCAAAGGTCCGTGACTGGTGTGCGTGTGCCTGCAGCAGCTGGACTGTAGGTGACAGATGCTTTAAGCCTCTATTTACAGTCGGACACTAAGAAAAGCACTTTTTACATTTCCCCGCTAAAGAGAGATCAGCTGTGTCGTAATGCTGTAGTCTCCTCTGCAGAGCCACATAAAAACAACTAGACGTATGCAGTTTGTGCTTCAACACTTAATTCTTGTACCCTACTGCTTTTTTAATTATATTCTCTGAACTCTTGTGTTTACAAATGTGTGAATGTAATGAGAAGAATTTCGAGCTGTCATACCAGTCAGTCCCCACCGTCAACTTGCTCAGAGTAATGTTGTGTCACACTGTTGCTTGTCATCTCCTTTTCATGGTTGGCCCACTGTTGCATAGTGTGCATGTTTTCAGTGACATCACCTCACTTGCATAACTCCTATATTCAGAATTCCTATGATGACTGCATGGAGTTCATCAAAGTCTTTTGCCATCAAAATGGGAGCGGCACTTTTTAATGTTAGGTTTAATTAGAGCGGAATAATCAACCAGGTGAGACCGGCTGGGTGGAAAAGTTTTTTTGTGAGCCAAATCAAACAGACAGGTGACATGTCAGCTGCTCTGCTAAACTGTCCCAGCTAATAAGAAATTGGCAGGTAGTGAAAACAGTAGGTGTGATCACGGATGAGAGAAAATTCCTCTGAAACCTGTCGATGGCCTTATCAGCTTTGAGTCTGAAATGCTAATTCTGATAAGTGGCTGTGAAAACAGGTGTTGCATCACAGTGCTATTTACAGTGCAAATTGATTTATCTGTAACAAATGGTCAAATGTTAACATTAACAGAGTTAATTTTTCTCTTATTGTACCAGGCAGAAGACTGGAGTACAGACTGCAAAATGTTTGTTTTACCATCATTAAATGCATTTTAATGTTTCTACTGGAGAGTAAATAGTGTAAGAAGATTATAAGGCAGGAAGTGGAGTGTTGATTTAACAAAAGTGTGAGCCACATGAGAGCCAAGTACAACGCAGGTCAATATCTATTAGTACATTTACATACACAGTTCAGAGGAGCTACGATTATAGCTCAATTCAGGGATTTAACTGGACTTCAGTTTCACTGCATGGGTAAAAATCTAATTCCTGGCAGGATCATGTCAGCCTCTGCTATGATACGTGACGACACGCTCTCTGTCAGCCTGATACTATCTGGGCATCTCCCATTTGATGTGCTATTACTAAAACAGTTGACAAATACGTTAGCATGAGGCTAACAGGATGCACATTTAAAACACAGTCACATATACAGCTCTGCACCATTTGTTTGTACAATGAGACAGTCTATATTATTTACTACCTGACTTTCTTGCAACCCATTCATCCTACACACCTCTGACTCAAAGAAAGGCACACAAAAACAGGGGTACAAGCAGATTGCTAAGGCCAGTTTCATATGCATGACAGAGAAAATCTATCCTCAATCTCAGTATCCAGGTATGATAGTCCAACTATAAGAAGCTCTATTTAGTGCAATTTCTAATGTGTTTTCTAACGGTCAATTTTAACGGGTTACCCATCTTTAGGAGGTGTAGGAAAAGAAGTAAACAAACTGTTTATGTTAGCTAACGGAAGTTACAGCAATAGAAATAGCAAGACAAAGTAAAGACAATGACCCATGATCCGGTACATCTTCATGTTTGTGTCTAGGAAATCATGAAAAATACGTCATTGTAAATGTTTCGATTAACAGAATCACTGCTAAGGAACTTGCATGCTTAGTTTTTAACCCAAAGGCCTCTACAATTACTCTCCACATAACATTGAAAAGCAACACAGTATAGCTCAAAAGGCATGGCCAAGGTCTGGGAAAGTTCATGGTCAAGGTGCAGTAATAAAAATGTCAAACTTAGCAAGTTGTATGAGGAGTAAACTCAGGAATCTGAAGCCAAAGGCAAAAGAAATTACCCTGACCCCTCTCATCACATATGTAGAAGGCTATCTGAACGTCCTGCACTGAAACTGACCGAACAGTGACTGAACACTGACTTTTAGCTTCAATCACTTATGCATAATGGTGGAGGAATGGAATTTTGCAGAAGGCAGGACTGGTCTGGATGTGTGTTTTGGTGCATGTGTATGCATGTGTGTAAGTGTGTGTGTTGCATAACAGCATATCCTGCTTGAATAGCTGTCAAATGGATGTTAGCTGAGTTGACAGAGTGTGAGACACACACACACACACACCCACACACTTGTTTGTACTTCTATACCTGTAAAGACTTTGAACAACACCATGCATTTTCTAACATCTAAAAACCACTATCCAGCCATCCTAACTATTCAACACAGACTATACCAACCTTAAACTCCAAGCTCAGGTTTAACCTTGAAGAACATACTCATTCTCCAGATGTAGAAGTCATGATGGTGCTCACAAAGATAGACTTCTCGGAGCACAAATGGGGGGTGGTAGTAAGCTGCTGCTCTGACAGGTTTGGGTAAGACCTCTAACATAAACCCCTGCAGGCTCATCCTGAAGGCTGAGCTATCAGTTTCTCTCTGTCCAACCCTTTCTACACTCCCTGCTCGATTCAGAATCCCTCATGTGTTCAAACATATCGTAAAAATCCTTCTTTCACTTAGCCAAAGTGCTGCCTTTTACCTCAACTCTTGTGTCCTTGTTCTGTTCCTGCTGTCGCTAAAGTGCCAGAGGTCATTTCATTTCACGAATAAATAATTCACCAGGGGCCATGCAGCCAATGTACAGTGTCTGTCTTAAACAAGCAGCAGCTTTGATTTAGCTCTGTCACCAGAGGCACAGTGAAGGTCATCTCTCCCCAGTGGACAGTCCACTGCAGCCATACTGGCTGAGGCCGAGACGATTTACAGCTTCAATTGCATTACAAGGGCACAAATACTATATTGGTGCATGCTTTAACTTAAAAATAGAGCGGCCTGTAGAGCTTTTTGTCAGCCCTGTTTGCTCTCATATTACTGTAGATTCATTCATAATCTGACTAGTTTTGTTGTTAACTGACAAAGGCTTTATGCCTCCTTCTTCTTTGCTCACAGAAAAGCGGTCAGTGTTTCAGATGTTTATTTTTCCGACATTTTTAATCACAGTATCACTTTCCCTTAAGTGGTATGAAACGACAGTGGGAGACAAGTTTCAGTATGAAGTGCAGCATAGCTGGGCGCCCTTAATGCCCCCAGGGAAAGTTGTGGAAAAAAAAGAGTCAAAAAGGAATGAGGTTTTTTCCTGCATGTTTTCTTGGAACTGGCAGAGCCTGAGGCTCGGTCAAGGTGACTGCACACAGAATGAGTTTCCATCTCTAATCTAGAGCACACATGCTGTGCTAATGCACTCTCTGTGAACAACCTCTCTTTCATTGATAAAACTGTGATAACAGGTGTGTGTTCAAAAACTTTTGACATTTTTTAAATTGTTTTATTGTAGTAAGAATGGCTGTAATCGGGCACTGATCATACATAGTTGTGGGGTCATCTAGGATAGAAATACACAATTTTTTTAAAGGGATATTCCGGCATAAAATTAAGTTAGGGTCACCCCGTTGAGAGATGTATGTTGCAGACCACTTGCTTCTGAAGTTATAACATCTTAAGTAACGACCACACAATAGCAATGCACAGCGGTCCCAGGAGCCACACACAAACCTCAACCAAAACGCCACTCTATATCCACAAATAATGCTAAGAACAGCACCTAACTTCATCAACAGTACATAAAAGACTGAACACAACTCACCTACTCTCTTCCAGCAGCCGCTTGTTTGTAGCAAGACCTCGGGCCAGTTCATTACAGACTGCTGCAGGGTGACGCAGCTCAAGGATCTCTCAACAGGGTGTCTAACTCTGTGTTACAATGTTTTTGTCCCTAAATTAATTTTACGCCGGAATACCCCTTTAAGCATTGTTAATGTGATTACAAGTTTTCACACTTTTAACTCAACTTACTTTTTTCAATTTTCTGTTATTTAATGTGGAACTTTTTGTCCTATCAGATACAATGGTAATGATGAGGTAAAATACCCTCTGATTTTCAAGGGGGTCACAATAGAAATCAGGGAGCAAGACAGAAAATGAGAGGAGAGAAGGGGTAATACACGCAGCAAAGGGCAGAGGCTGACTATTGAACAACCATGTGTCCAGGACCATGGCCTCTGTACTTTTTTTGTCTGAGTCATGGCTTTAAAGGGTGTGATACACTGCACTGATTGTATCACTTTCCCTTGAATGAAATAACAATGGCTCATGAGCCTGTAATGTCATAGAGACTTGAGAATAAGTGATTCAGGATACATGCCGGAGTTCTGCTATTGTTCATGATGGCTCAGTGTCACACTGTCATGGCCTCCTGAGACACCCAGTAAGACCTGAACCATTGTTGGTGTTGTCAGTAACACCTGTGCTCCTTCTTCTTAGACAAGCCCGGAGTGAAAAAAACACTCACTCCTGTGCCTGAAACAAAAAAAAAAAAAAAAGGTGGATGCTGAGGTTGTGGGTGCTGTCTCAACTTTCACATCAGAGCCACCCTGCAAATTCTGTGACATTGAACAGTTGCTGATACGACAGCAAGGCTGCTGGAAATCTCAGCAGGTGTCGAGCCAAAATGAAAACTGAGATGGCCTCCACACTGCCACCTTCTTCAAGTTTTGTGCAGGTTAAAGTTTACGCTGAAAAGCTGTGTGAACATGTGTGATTTAGTTTGTTCATTGTTTCGAATCTTGTGGTGTTGTCTTAATCGCTAGGAATGCTTGGTGATGTGAATATATGGATGAGAATCCACAGGCACTCATATGTTTACATAGATACTGATAATATGTCTGCATCCCATCACAATAACACACATGCTCACACACACACCAACACACACTCTCATTTAAAATGAGTAGCTGTAAAGTGCTCGCTCAGCACAGCAGCTGCATCAGCAGAGTTGGCCAGAATAGAGAGTAGTGTCTTTGTTTGTGTGTTTGTGTGTGTGTGTCTATGAGTTTGTGTGAGTGTTGTTGAGAGGGTCGGTGCGCATGTGCGTGGAGTTAAGGGTTGATGGGATCTTTGAGCAGACAAAGGGGAATCACTGCTACTCTCAGCGTCCATTAGACTAACCCTATGGATCAATATTGATTCCTTACGACCACCAGGCTCGCCCTAATAGGCTTCTGCCTGCTCTGATACAATGACAGCATTAGCGTACATGTCCAGATGGATGGATTCGGGGGTAGGAGGGTGGACCACAGCCTGAACAGGAGAGAGAAAGAGCGATAAAGAGGCTAAAAAGATTTACAGGCCCAGAGGAGAAAGGAGAGTACAGAGTAATGTTTATAATGTGTGCGAGGAAGACACCGAGAGCAAAGAGGAGAAGGCAGACAGGGACAGAAAAACGGAAAAATGATGGTTTGCTTTGGAGGGCTCAGTTTGAAGCAGAGGACAAATCCATAAAAAACACTCTCGCCCTTTCAGCATGTCAGTTACTTAAAGCATCTTTCACTGACTGGCTGTTTTAGAGAACATAAAGGGAAAGGGAGGAAGTCTCTGTACAGCCATCATAGTGAAAGCAGTCGACATTAGTGCATGCGTGTCTGTCTGGGATGAGAACGTGAAAAGGGAAGAATGAGTTATTTGTTTTAGGCTGTGTAACGTGTGTGTGTGTGCGTGTTTTCCTGTCTGTACTTCTGCTCTGACACCCTCGTGCTTGAATAATAAACATAGTGATCAGCTGTTGCTGTAATGTGGCCACCTGACTCTTATTATTTACTCAGACAGCTGAGTGGATGGAGTGAGGGAAAGAGGATCTCTTCTGTCAGAATGCAGCAGTCTCCCACACACACACTCCCATCCTCCCGGTTTGATATTCGACAATCAAGTCGAAACTAAACGATTCCTTCAAAAGTGTGCCTCGGGCATTGATGTGGTTTTAATGAAACAGCCCTCTAGGTAGAGAGTGTGTAAATACAGTCATGTAAAGTATTGCCGGGGGAAGGTTTTGGGATCAGGTAGAACAAGTTCAGTGCAGAGTGAAATGGTGTAGTCTTCAGTGCTGACAGTAATGCTTTAAAGGCCCCAAGAGCTCATTTTCTCTATCAGCGTCTTACTAAGTGCAGAGTTTTAAAAGTAAGTGCGTTCCTGCAATACATACAACAGATTTTTTTTACTTTTCGAAGCGAATTGGACTTTGCCTCAAACAAATTGATTTTCTTTCTCCATGCAGCTGTCAAGATTCACATCTAATTCCTGCAAAAATTAAAATGCCAGGTTTACGTGCTGCAAAATCTTTGCCTCGTGCACCGATCGACACTTGAAAGTTGTCTCTTATTTTCTATGTTAGATGCTGACCTATTATCATTTTGGGTTTTTACTGGCAAGAATAGAGTACCAACCAAGTGCCAACTCTCAGTAAAGCCAATGCATTCCCAGGAAACCCCGTTAGCCAATATTAACATGCCGATGTTTGCAGCAGAAATAAACATGGCGATGTCTTGGTTGCAGCACCTCATTATTTGACTCGTGGCATCTGCATGGGCAGTTTGTTTTCGTATTACCTATCTGTTTTGATTAGATCAAGGCGAACAGTTATGCTTAAAAGGGCACAATGAAAGGTGTGGTAGATTTGACTTTCAGGTGGACACACTGGAGCTGCTTTCCAGGCAGCAAGGCTAAGGTCGCAACTCCACCTCTTCAACTGGAAGTTAGTTGAAGACAATGCAATCACTGCCATTTTAGGGCTTGAAGATGCATATCCTGGAAAAGGTGCAGTGTTTACACCCTCTAATGTCCCAACTGCAGTTTGATGTGTAAAAGTGGGACCAAGTCGACCCACGGCTGCGCTAATATCTGAAGTACTAAGAGAGCAAAGACAAGATCACTGTGAGTCAGCAGAATAGGCAGGGCCACATGTGTGCTTGTCTGATTGTGTGTACAGTATGTAAAGAGGTGTGTTTACCCCTTGTGCTTCCACAACACTGTAACGGCCACTAGTACACCGGGGTAATGTTATTGCAATATCAATGTAAAGTACAAAGAAGTGAAGGTGGCAGGGGCTGTTGTGGACTCACAATATAAAAGGGCAGATGTCCGTGTTTCTCACAGTCTGCAGTCCCATCATAGTAATTTGCAGATTTAATAAATGTAGAGCATTGCATTGATATACAAGTGTTTTTTTTTTGTTTGTTTAAATTCCATTTTTTTCATATAAGATTTTAAATTGTGATCAATATTTGTTGTTCTTTAGATAATACAAAAAGAGTAGTGTCCTGCAGATGAGTTTTTCTGTATATTTTTAGTCAGTTTGTTTATGTTTCTCTGCGTCTCAACCATTAAAGCACTGGTATAGCATTTGGATTGCCCTGTCCAGTTGGCTTGCACAGTGAGAAAGTCTGGGAAGTCTTCGCCCCTAAAGAACATTAAAACAATAACCTTAAAAACTTGACCTTCTGGGTCAGTGCTTCATGGGTTTCCTGATTACATAACATTTGAATTGAGTTCACGTTTCCCTTTCACTTTGCTTCTCAGTCAGGAATTGCTAAAGCCTGCATGCTAGTCCTCTCACAGGGTAAAAAGAAGCTGGAACACAGACTGAGCTTTGTGCAGGAGAGCTTGCATATAGAGCACATAGTGTTAGGGTAACCAGGCAGTGCAGCTGGCCTTTCACAACTATGCAACTTTAAGGGAGTGTTTAAATCAAGATGCAAAAGACACGGACCCTGTTCTACCAATGAACTCACACGTAAAAGGCAAAGGAAGTGAAAGAATACATGTGACAATGATGAATATCCATTAAGGGAGTCAAGAGAAAAAAAATCAACATTATTTACTAGAGGAAATCGTTGAAGCACCATTTATCTGGTTGTTACAGTGTTTGCATTTTATCCTCATATTTCTACCATTACTGCCACTACATTAAGCACTCTGCTTGAAAGGTCTCCTGCTTTACAAGTTCTTCCACCGGATAACTATTGTTCATTGAGAGTTTGAAGGTCAATTTGTTGCCAGATGACTTTTTTAGAAGTGCTCTAAGGTTCTATAAATACTCCTGCCCTGTGAGTTTAACCTATTGATGCTTAGAAACCAACACGCAACTGGCTGAGCTGTATTTTGGTGTCATTGTGTGGTCCACTGCAACACCTAGCTCACTGAAATTATAAAAATGGGTCTGAAGGTTGTAAAGAAAAATTTTGTGTTGTTGTGATTGACCCAGAAGTTTAAGCACCCTCCTCATGTATAGAGGCTATTTAGTCCCTTCCACTGGTTTGACTCCCTGCCACAACCATGCACTGCATGTCTTCCCTCACTTTCTACTTCCCAAATCTTCTCTTTCTCCTCAGTTTTCCTTCCCAATAAATGTAAAAATGTCCACAAATATCTGTTTTGTCTTAATATTTGGTGTCGTTATTATGTGAGAAAGTTATCTCACAGCATCATGTAAAATATGTTTTTGTTGTCGTCTGTTACCGGATCCTTTTTCCAGTCATTTTCCAGCCTGAAAGTTATGGCAGCACCCCGCGTGCAGACGCAGTACATCATTTTGACCAAACAGCTCAACAAGAAAGACGAAAACATGCCAGTGAGTTCATCTTCCCAGCCCCCCCAAACCTCTCTTCGACATTCCTTTCATAAATGTGTTGCGCTGGAGTATGTTTTTAAGAAACTGGAGAGAGTTGGTATGTGGATGGGCCCATTATGAGGCTGCTTCAGTGGGAGGTTCCTGTTATCACTATCAGATCTCCTCTTTTGCTTTGACCCACGGTCCAGCAGTTATTTCAAGGTTGGGTGACCATACTTTACTTTGGCCTACTCCTCACCTCCCTGCTTTCTATTATAGTCCTGCACACAGATGCACTGATACATAAATATCACTTTACTCCCACTTGCTAATGTACATGCGTTAGCACCTGCATGAGAAAGACCCCCTTCATCTCTGACATTAGTGTGAGCTGCAGGCGTGGCAGCATTCTATCAGGAGGCATCAGGTAGGTGTTAAAAGATGTTGATCCTTTGAAATTACCTACAAACAACATTTCTTCTACTGTTTGCGCTCAAACAGTCAGTAAAATGGTCTGAAAATGTTTGTACCTTCCCTGGACATCTCTTTTTTTTCTCCTGTGCAGCATCATAGCACTTGCTTTCATCCCAGGAAACCCCTCCCCTCCCCCCTCTTCCTTTTTTCTGCCTCCTGCAAGCATTCCTGCCCCTCCCCCCTCTTTGGTTCCCCCTTGCCGGTATGGATCTGTGAAATGTTGGCAGGGTGTGCTGCAATGGCATGGAGCCTCAGCAAGACTCATGGTGATGTGAGAGGAGAGAGGAGCAATGAGGAATGGGAAATCCTCTGAATGTATCTCTCTCTAACTGCAGTGGGTTCCCTTTTAGTCGCCTCAAAGTGCCACACAGGCTTCCTTCAAAAGACCGGCCACGTTTCACCACCCAAAATATTTGTAAAGCGGTCATTGACCTGAAGGACGTTGCTCTTCGTAGATATGAATAATCGGTCAAACTGTGACCCACTGGAGCTGATACGAACTGTGGCTGCAATCGATGTCAACAAGTGGTTTGAAATTAACAGAGTCAAGATGTTCTGTAAATAATGTGCCTCTGCGTCTCTTTTGACTGTAGAAACAAAAATCCATCTTGGGATTTATGATTAGAACTAAGATTTACTGTTTCATAAGAGAGAAAGTCTAATCCATAGTTATTAAGAATAGTGCGCCATAAATCCAACTGGAACCCCACTGCCAAAACCATCGGGATACACATGATACAGAAAAGAATTCATGAAAATGAACGGGAGATCACTTTAGGCTATAACAATCTCTTTTTATTCTCTATTCTGAACAATCAATTCCAAAGAACACTCCTCACAGGTACCATTATTATAAAAGGCCAAAACATTTATGTCATGTCTTTGCATATAGTAATAGAAAGGATATATGACATTCTAAATCAGATAACATACTAATAATGAATGCTGTTCCAAGAGACCACTTCATAATATTCATCAAGCTCACACACAAAGACAGATTTAATCATTTCATTCATTTATATCATATTTACTGTCCGGTATGTTGTTGGTTTTTTTTTTCTCTGCTGTCCAGTTTCACTGTCTGTTTGCACTCACTCTTCAATTCCAAACTCAAGTTTCATCTCTGCACATTCATCTCACCTTTTATCTCTCTTTCTTTCTTCCATCTATCTGTCTCTGCCTTTCCCTCTCTCTCTTTCTACCCTCAAGTGGTTGCATTTCATTTTTGGTTACTCGACAGAACACATCCTTTTTGCCTGAGTTACCGTTATAGACATTGTGGTGGTTACAGCATTCCAGAAAGCCTAGCTGTGTTTGTGATACCTAGATGGCCTTCTGGTGCCATCCGAGGATTAAATTGAATTCACATTGATTTAGATTGCGGCTTCTTTTCAGACTGCCTGGGTGACCTCTGTGCTGACAGGCTCCACCATGTCAGGGACTGAATCTGGAACTTCTTGGACATCCCCACCCAGATTCACCTCCTTTTTCAGTTCAAAGTCACTCTTCTCCTTGATAGGTGCCTCCTCTCCATTTACACATTCCTCCACTGGTGTAGAAGCGGAATCTGTGCACTCTCCATTCACAGCAGGGACTGCTTCCACTTCTACCACACCCTCTGTAACAGCAGTGATCTCTACATTCCCATTTTCCACCTGGCTCTCTACCTCAGGCACTGGGCAGGGCACCTCTTCCACAGGGGCTTCAGCAACCTCTTCAACCTCAGCAGTGATTTCGCTTGCAGAGACGGACTCAGAGACGACAATTTCAGGTGCCGATGCTGCCTCTGGTTCAGCTACTGCCTCAGTGTTTGCAACGGATTCAGCTTCAACAGGGGGAACCTCCTCTGCTGTTGTCTCCAGGACCACAGGTGCTTCAGTAATGTCAGATGTGGTTGCAAGTGATTCAGGCTCAACCACCGCTGCCGTTTCTATCGCCTCAACCTTCTGCTCAAGCTCTGGCTCAAGTACTTGCTGCGGTTCTGGTTCTGGTTCAGGTTCAGGCTCTGGTGCTTTCACTGGCTCAACAATTTGCTCAGGTTCGGGGGTTTGCTCCAGCACTGGCTCTGAAGCTGGTTCAGCAACTGGCTCAGGTTCAGACACCACAATTGCTTCCGACTCAGTAACAGTCTCTTGGATGGGCTCTTGGTCCACAAGTGCAACCTCTGGCTCTGTAACAACTTCTACAACTGCAACGGGTTCTTCAACAGGGAGTTCCTCAGGTGTGGCAGCGGGTTCTTCTGGAGTTGATACTGGAGCATCTGGGGTCTCTACTGGGGCCGACACCTCTGCTTCTGTGACTGCCTCTTCTGCTGCAAGTACCGGTTCCACCACTGGAGCTGGTTCTTCAGCAACTGAAACAACCTCCACCACTGCTGCAGCTGCTGGTTCCTCTGCAAGTGGCGCTTCCTCCACCACGGCTGCAGCTACTGGTTCCTCTGCAACTGGAGCTTCCTCTACTGCAACTGGAGCTTCCTCTACCACTGCTGCAACTGGAGCTTCCTCTACCACTGCTGCCGCTGGTTCTTCTGCAACTGGAACTTCCTCCACCACTGCTGCAGCTGGCTCTGTTACAACTGGAACTTCCTCCACCACTGCTGCAGCTGGAGCTGCCTCCTCCACCACTGCTGCAACTGATTCTTCAGCAGCTGGAGTTGCCTCCTCCACTTTTACTGCTGGTTCCTCTGCAACTGCTACTACCTCCTGTGCTGCTACGGCTGTTTCCACTGGTGCAACTGGTTCTTCTGCAACAGGGGCAGCCTCCACTGCTGCTGCTGCAACTGGTTCCTCTGGAGGGGCAGTTTTGGGCTCGTCTGGAGCTTGAACAGCTTCTGCCGTTGCTGCCACAGGTTCCTCTGCAACATTATTTGCCTCAGCTGGCAACTTTTCTTGTGAGGTTGGGGTTGTAGCAGGCGCCTCTGCAGCTGCAGCCTTTGCTGGGGCCTCATCCTTCGCTCCCTTTGGGTCGCTCACATCATATCCCTTTCTCTTCTTGCTCAGTTTGCCTCCCATGGTCTCCCCTAGAGACAAATGAACAAAAGTTTAAGATTTATAACCTTTTCATTTAATCAGTCTATTATAACAAGAATCCTTTTAACAAAAGGTTCATTTTCCAGTAACATACTATACATGGATTGTTTATCAAGAACACAATTTTTATACAATTTCATCGTACTAATTCACCTAAAATGCATTAGGCAAGAAGCGTCATGCTAATGCAATAGCATGAAAAGTCCTCATGAGAAGGCAAAAGCTGGAAGGTTTCAACCCAGGATGATCTAGTTGTAAGGAAACAGACAAACCAATGACTAACTATTTCTCTGAAGCATCGACCAGATTACTTTTTTGAGGTTAACCTTTAAACGTGATAGGAATGCAGTGAGTCAAACTTTTTAAAATGCAGCCTCCACCACATGCTTCCTTCAGATGTAAAAGACTGATCTTTTGGGGAAACATCTATAGTGATACCTCTTTTGTCTGGTAGTGAACGGGAAATTCATTTAGGAACCTGGGCTCTGCCAAACACGTTTTGGCTCGAAAGCAAATGTAAATGCATGGGAACCTTGCTGAGATCAGACAACTCTGCAGACTCTCTACACTTCCAGGAATGTTGTGTGAGGCTCAGTGCCAAACTTTCATTCAAACCTCTATCTTCTATCATTTAGATATACAGCTATTCCTCTAAAACATGACAAGCCAGTCTGATGGGAGTTTCAGAATACACATAGCCTGAGGAAACCCAAGGCCTGTGGTCACAGTCATGTAAAAAACTGGATTTTCTTTTTAAAAAATTAGGTGAGCATAAAACAAGATCAATCAAATTGGCATGTTCATGGCATAAAGCAAACGTGCCCTAGAGACATGAATTTGAGCTGATGTCACAACACCGCAGTAGCTGTATAGGAGGAGTTTATGATTGCCACAGAGTTTAACTTCCTCCAAGAGTCAGAAAAGAGAACTGGAAGTTCAACTTTACCTTACTGATTGTGAGTCAGCTGACCCTGAACAAATCAACCTGTCTGAATACATTACAGCACTTGAACCCCACGCTACTGCAAAACACAGAAGATATTCTACACTGGCATTAAAGCTAGAATTTGGGATTAGCGGATTTCAATTTGACGAATGCTTCTGCAATCAACATGAACTTCCACATGTTGTCTACTATCAAGATTTTTACCCTTCATGGTAGCATGTGGGTACACATGATTTGGGAACTGTCCATAGTGCTACAAAGAGGCTACCAAGACAAGATGCACCACCTACTATACAATCTGCCAAGCCCCTCCATCAATTTACAGTAATGACCCCTCCATTTATAAATATATTTATCCCACCAGCAGGAACAGCAGCTCAAAACTAATCGACTTTTGGACATTTTTTTCCAATGCCCGCTTTATTTTCTGTACAGATATTGTTAATTAGCTTTTTTCCCCCTATAAATAATTTGTCTTTGTCAGACAAGGCACATGCAGTTAAAGGAGAAAGGTTACTGTTCAACATCAAATCACATTATATTTTACCTAAAAATGTCCAACCTTGTCTCTGATTACAAATGCACAGGAGACAGAAAGCTTCACACTCATTTTGGATAGAAAAAAGGAGACACAAGCTCAGGAAGCATGTGCCTGTGGCCTGTAACAAAGGATGTAGATTCCTCACCAGCAGCTCCTCACTGACCAAAGTAATGGGCTGTGCAAAATTGGCAGCAAACACTTGTCTTATTCTAATATAAAGTGAAGAGTAGAGAGAGGCCTGTGCTCCTATACAGGGAGATTACACTTAACACCGGCTGAAGACACTTCAGTGATAAAGGCTGTAGAGGGGTCTCCATCCCCCATTTCAACCCACCCACTGCTTCAGCTCCTCTCTGCTGCTCTGCCCTTTTTTTTTGTTCACCGTTTGCAAATGTCGATCTTACACAGCATTAAACAGGGGAAAAAAACCGAATAAGTACAAAAACGTGCTGATGCCTAACAAGACCTACAACTTTATTACATTGAGTGAAGCTTTAGAGGCTTTTAAAATCACCTTGCTTACTTTAAAACCTGCTCTGCTGCACTAAGAGACGTACCAAATCGAATTCAACTGTTGAAAATGGGGCAAGACCAAATCCTGCTTTTACAATGTCAGCCTTGAAATGTACAAATTTGCATAATAAGAGAAAAGCAGAGAAAGAGAGAACAATAGGTGAGCCACTGCTCATAGGAATCTCTCTAGCTTTTTCTTCTTTCTTTCTTTCTTTTTCTCCTGCTGAACATACTATATCAATGACATGTTGAGAATGAAAATAAAGTAAAAATATTTGAAATGAGACCAACCTGTTTTTCCAGAGAGTGATCACTTCAAATTTCTTGTCCACGCTCCGGCTGGATGTGTGCTAATGGAGGTAAACCTTTGGAGTGACAGCTGCAGATTCCGCCCCTGCTCTCCGAGGTGCAGTGAGAGACTGTGTTGCAAGTGAGGAGTGCCCCCTCACAGTTTTCTAGACATCTGTCGCTATCACAATCCAGCCTACCCCACTACTGCTCCGTCTGCGATCTATACCCTCCCCATCTTTAACCCCTCCTCTCCCGCTCACACCCACTTGAGCGAATACTTCTCTGTCCTCTGTTATAGTGGGGCTGCATCTGCGGACCGAGGGTGACCACGAGGAGACTGGTACTTATTTTGACTTTGTATAAAGGGGATTTATCCTCTGCCTTGTTTTGCCAGAGAGCAATGCGGAGGAGTAATACTATTATATCAATTATGCATGGCAGGCACTGTGGCAGTGAAACTACTTGAGCATGGTTACACACGGTTATCAAAAATACGAATATTTTCCTATTTTGTCATTTTTCTGTAACCTCAGATCTTATCCGAGATTACACGTGATTAACTGAAAATAAATTGTAAAGGTCACGTGAGGAAGAGCCAATTAAGTTCAAAGGCATTCCAGGTGGATCTTACAATTTGGATCAAAACCTGCAAAATTGAATTTTATGATTGGTAAATGTGATCTAATTTCAAGCAGCATAAAACCCAACCCCAGTCTTTGCGTAACTCATGTGGGATTGTAATCATATTTAGAAACAGCCTGCCTAAAGTATTTATATACTTTCCCAGGCTACTTTCAAACCAATAAAGGTTTAGGTTTGTTTTTCATTTTGGGGTCTTCAAGAGGGCCAAACTTTGACTTTAAGTCCTGCAGAGAATTCTGTTGCCTTGCATCCCTTTGCTATTTGCCTCCCATGTGTTAATGGGACAAGGGTTCTCAGGGCGAGACTTAATGAAATTCAACATCTGACCCTAGCAGATGAACATGTTGTCACCTCCAACTGTAAAAACCCAAGAGGCATGACACTGACACAAAGCTGGGTCAAAGAAGTTCTTTTTATGTTTCAAATCAAGTTTTTGGCACAATTATGTTCACAGTTCAGACAGATATGAGCATCAAGCTGCGAAAATATAGCCTTCCTGAAGCGTTCATCACCTTCTCTTCTTGTGAAAAGTGAAGCAGGATTGGGTCTTTCACTCATATTCGAAACAAACATGTTTTTCTTTGCAGCTCCTCTCAGTGAAACTGGGAGAAAGACTTCAGAATTCGCACAACAATTGGACAAATGCTCTCATTACATCACTCAAAACTCAACCACCTGGTATCTGCTGTGTCGTTGGAAAGCTGCCCAACAGGTTAATTTGTTCTGCTTTAGGCCTACCTGACATTTAGCCTAAAAGAGGTTTTTGTACATGCTGGGGAATGAATACAAGTGAAGGACACAAATGCTTTCAATGCATGTTTTCTGTAACAAAATGTAGTTTCATCAAAATAAATTCACTTTAGCTTTGATTTGAGATTACAATTGATCTTAAAGAGTGAATTTATCTCACATGCTGCATATGGTTCTGATACAGGATGGTTTGGTTTGTTTAGAGAGGCCTATTTTATCTTCTTTTATTTACTTTACTGGTATTTTTTTTTCCCATGCAGGGAACTTAATATAAATCCATTCAATTTGGAAGTTTACAAAGTTATCATATGTGGCATTAATGAGGAGACAGTGCCCTCTTCTGGTACGAGCTCTGAAACAACATTTGTGGGCTTAAAACAACTCAGTTCCTGATGAAAAAGCAGAAGTTTAACAATGAAAAATTGAAGTACATATTTTTCAAATATCTAGAAAGGAAGTCATTAAGTGTTTATCGTTTAGTGGTAAGCAGATTTACATGTTCAAGATTTAATTCGTATTATTACAAAATATATAATAATGACAAACCAAATTAAATGTTCTGAATTCAATTTTAATGCTACAAACTATTTTTAAAAACAAAAATCTGGAGAAATTATCTGATAAAAAAGCCTTCAGCTGCCTCAGGTGTATTGAAAAATATGCTTCGGCTGATAGCTTCAGTTTTTAGATTTATAAAACAATCCAACACCAAAGTTTGCTGTCATCCTGAAGATGCTAAGTTTTAATTTCTTTGACAAGGAAGATCACTCTTGTTTGTTATCTTTGCTGGCAGCAGAGCCAAACAGTGACAAAAGGGCAGCGGCAGTTGAGTTTCACATGATGCAGGAGCTCAGGAATGCATCCCCAGGAGAGTCACCAAATCCCAGCCAACCATTCTGCTCCACAGAGACAGAGAAAGAAGACACACGGAGAGGACTTGGTAAACTCCAGAGACACATTGTTGATGTGCAAAACTGTCTACAAACTCTGGCATGGTTGACCCACGCCAAAAATGCAGGAGTGAAGCTTCCCAGGGAAAAATGATCACATAAACCCATAAACAAGAATTTCCCATCATTCAACTTGATGTTTTATCAACACCCCACTATTTAAGGCTTTTCTTCAAAAGTCACCGTCAAATTTTCAGAAGTCTTCAACAGAGAAAACTCATACCATTTTTCATCACTGCTTTTTAACTATCAGCTGAACTTGATTATTTTTAGCATCCAAATCTATAATCAGAATCAGAAACAGAAAAAAAAGTAAAATGCTGTCAGACAAAGGAGTATGACACCTGCAACTAGACCAAGACCTACATCTTCTTTTGATTCAGCACAGTTGGCATTGGCATTTCTCAACAATAATAAATCCTCATTTAGTTCAAAAATCCACTTGAAAAGATAAATTTATATGAAAAAAAGCTTTTCATAAATTGTGGGCATTTGTTGGGTGCTCTCATGAGTTCGGTGATGTGAATAGTGCCCTCTAGTGGACATGTGTCATTTCACAACTTAATTAAAATGAATTCTATACAAAAAAAATTCCAGCTTTAGTTAATATCATTGATATATGAGATATGATTTACATTTACATTTTGCTTCACACCTTTTGTTTTTCACTTCTATTTAAGGATCTTGTAAAACTGTCCCCATCAAACCTTTAACTGATCTCTTCTCAGTGAAGGTCTTTACATGATATTCATTGCCAGTAATGGGTTATTAAACGCTGGTGATGAAAAATTTCACTTGACCTTGAATATTATAAACACAACGTCATAATATGTTTATGCAATATGCAAATCAATTTCTTTTTAAAGGACATTTTCTTTTCTGCGTTGCACATTCTGGTGTTCTTACAAATAAAATATGAGTGTGTCTGTATTCTTTGTGTTTTTGAAACAGTTTTACCATATATCATGAACATTTTTTGGAGCTCACAAAAATCGCATTTTGTTAATGTCCTTTAAAGATATTGTTGCCTTCTTCACATTTTGAGCTCATTTTAATCTAGGAACTCTCCTGTTGCAGAGCCAAGGGCCCGGGGTGACTCTAAAGATACTGATTCTATCATTAAACTGAAGGTGGCACCAGAGGACTGGCTGTCAAACATGATCTGTGTTCACTGGCACGCTCTTTTTGTCCTTGTGAAAAACCTTTGGGTAACAGTTATTAACCATCAAACATCATGTAACAACTAGCTGCAAGGACCCAAGACCAGTTTTAAAGTGGTCACACGAGTCCTGATGCTCCAGTGTTTCACTCTGACTTCTACATATCCTAATCCTGTGACAGAAAGCAGTTTGGGGATGTGTGCGGTCTGCTGTTTCTGTGGATACCTTCATGGCATGTGTTTATTAGACTGCAACCACGACACCCTCTCAGAGCACATTGTTCTGACAACGTCTTACTATTTTATTTATGTAACAAAGGCTAGCAGGTGAAACACAGACATTTCAAAAAGGCCTGAACTGCTAAACTGAATATTATATGCAAGGAAAATGCAAGTGTAATGGGTTTATACTTAAATCAATAAAACACAGTCATGATGCAGCATGATATCAGCCTTTGCACCAGCTGTTAGTCAGGGGAAAAAATGACATCACTGACTGGAATATGGCCAAAAGTAGCCAGCTTCACAACTGTTCACATTTGGTATGGAAGCCCTGAGTCGATATGCATCCATACATGTTATTTGCTTACTTTGCCCTTATAACAAGTAATTTTGAAAAGACATGAAAAAGTAAGTAATTGTCAAAAGCAAATAAATTAAAGAGATGAGTCAAAATCTCAAGAAACCACACAAATCTTGGGGGAAACTGAGTAAATGAAATGTGTGGATGCATGTCTACATCAAGCCTCCCTGGATTTGAGCCCAAGTTTAAACTTTTTAACCCTAGAACACCATCACCGTCACCATATATTGTACGGATAAAAATAAAAGAAAACTACTTTAATTTGTCATGTATTGTCCTATTTGGATATATTTTGATGAAAAGTACTTTTTCTTGGGCACATTATTTCGGGTAAAACTCAGCCGGCGATAGTGATAGTGTTGCTCTTTATTGTTTAAAAAAAATGACCCCTTTCTCCCACAAATTTAGCTGTAGAAAATCACTACAGACGCACACTTACTAGTTTGCTACTTGTCCGATGTGCGCAAGTGCGAACACAGCTCTGTCGGGACGCCGTAGTCTACGAATGTAACACACCCCTGGTTACTCGGACGAGGGCGGTGCTAGAGAAGCCCAAGAAGCTGGGCCTTGCCTTTGTGGTTGTAGAGAGAGAGAAGATGGCTCCCGTTCTGGAGAAACAGCTCCCGGGCGCAGCCGGGGCAGGCGACAACAACAACGAGGAAGAAGAAGGACAAAACCTTTGGTAAGTCCCGCTTGTCTCTTAACAACTTTGGGCTCTTGTGGGCACTTGTTGTAAAAGTCCTGCTGTAATGGTTCTGCTTTGTCACTGCCGGTTCCCCCTACAGTCAGACACCGGCCCCTGTTAGCTAGCATTAGCATGAACACTAACTGTTGGAGCCCTGGTAGCTAACGTTGACAACGGTTGGCTCAACTATTTGTTTATATATTTCTCTCTTTATCAGAGATTTCTACTAATGCATATGTTCTTGTTACTGTTGTATGGGCAAGTTTGAGCGACACACTTATACTGTCAGGGGTATTGCTTTGTCATGTCAAGACAACACCTTTCTGGACACAACAAGCTAACCGGAACGTAAATGTTAACAGACTGCTACCATAACCCAACACCTAAAGTATGCAGGAATATAATGCCAGCTTTAGTCACCTCTTGTTCTCTAGGAATGAACTTTTAAGTGGCTTCACCGTGCCGTATATTGTTAGTTCAGATCCATTGCTACGGATTTGTACCGGTCAGTGGTTATATGACAGATCATTTCCTGCTTTTTTATGTGTTTTTCTTGCGGTGATCTGCTCGAGACGATCTTCTTTCATTAGCTCTGGCACAAACTTAGCGTACGTAAAGGTTGTCTAAGACAGTAACTGTTGTGGGCAAGAATATGAGCTTTGACATGAGGAGCTGCAGATCCGACAATCTCACACCTTGGTGTCATTATTCTACGTGTTTTGTTATTTCTTGCAGGACCGAAATACTGAGTGAAGTTTCAAACACATCAAGTTCGAAGTTGCCATCTGGAAAACATATCCTGGTGTTTGGTAAGTGTTGCCCAAGCCATATGTGTAAAAGGTGCATGTTATGGCAGAGAAGATGTAGGCTGACTTTCAATCAATGTGTGAAATACTGACATTTGCCTGAAATACTTGTGATACATTACACACTTTTCAAGTCATGAGAGCATGAGTGGAGCCATTGTATCTCCGATAGAAAGACTGAACTGTAGATTTTTGGTACAGCGATGTTGTATTTTTGCAGATTCAAATGTAAATAATGAAAAATTTCTCGCAGGTGAGGATGGATCGGGCAAAACATCACTTATGGCCAAACTGCAAGGAACTGAACACAACAAGATGGGGAGGGGACTGGAGTATCTGTACTTAAGTATCCACGACGAGGACAGAGATGGTGAGTTTACCTGTCCTAGCCTGACTATTTTTACTTTACAACAGCGTCTTTTACACTATAACATTGATTTAATGCTGTGATTGTTTTGACCAGTGTTGTCATTTCATTTGCAGACCTTACTCGATGTAATGTGTGGATCCTGGATGGAGACCTACACCACAAAGGCCTTCTTAAATTCGCTGTTTCGGCCAAGTCACTACCTGACTGTCTAGCTGTGTTTGTTGCGGACATGTCACGGCCCTGGACTATTATGGAGTCGCTGCAGAAGTGGGCAAGCGTACTACGTGACCATGTGGACAAGCTCAAGATGACACCTGAGGACATGAGAGAATTGGAACAGAAAAGTAAGTAATTATTGATTTAATACATATTCTCTGAGTACTTGTGTAAATGTGTACTAAGGATAAAAACAAGGCTGTTCTCATGAAAATATAGCTTTTCACCTGTTCAAATGGTACTTTTTCATTCACTTAGCCAGTTCCCATAAACACCAGAAATTTTGAGTTGGAAATCTAGTTTGAAACTAAAACCCTGGGGGTCTTAATCATGCTGTTTTTGACCACCAAAGTGTTAACGTGCTTTTTAACGTAGTTGCCACATCCCAAAGCTTTTACAGTGTGTTCAGAAAGTTCATATTGTGCCCTGAAACAGTAAGACCGAAGTGGTCACAAGTATTGATAGCAACAACAAGGGTACAGATCTTTATTTCATTCAAGCACTCCCTTGTTTATAACTTTGATAGAGAAGTGTTTAGCTAAGATGCAGTGGTTTTATATCTCAGTCTGAAAAGGGCTAAGACAAAGAAGAAAATGCACTGATACATAAATGTAATCCCTATAGAGGGGTGAAAGGAAACAGCACTCAGAAAAATTGCCTGAAGCATCCCAAGGTGGAAGCTATGGATGTCTTACATAATAAGAACCAGACTCCTCGCTAACTGACTGCCAGGAAAAGGATAGAGTGGTTGCTGTGTAGCATGGGAGGCAAGCCGTGTATAACATTATGCATTGTCAGGGATGTGTTCTAGGTCATCATCAGCTGATCCTCAGCTGTGTTGTGGCCAAGGGCGAGTTCTGCAGATCAATGAGCATGATGCACTCAGATGTTGGTCTCCTGTTTAATTTTAGACCAGGTCATCTCTTACTTATAAAAGCTCCTTTTGTGTTTGGATAGATGCTTTTGGAGATGTGAGTTAGTTCAGCCTGCAAAGATTTCACAGAAATGTTCTTGTATGCTTTCCACAGTTCGCTTGCTTGCTGCCATTGCTGTTTGAAGTTTAAATTGACTGACTGAAAAGATGCCAATTTTCTGATCATTACTGTTGAATTTGACAGAACAGGTCCTTGGTGTTTTCTTTAAATAACATGCTTACTCAGTGACATGTGGTGACAAGTACTCTGATGCTTGCAAACATGAAAAAGGGAAGCTGGCAGCCAAGTGACGCCTCAAGCATTTTGTTAATTACTTTTTTTATTTTACTGAGTACTGTGAGTTTAAATGGGTACATGTTGAACTTTGATTGAGTTCAAGTAGCTGTGTTATTTCAGTTAAATGTGATTATACAATGTAGTTGGCAGGAAATTGCTCGAAATCCATGTACCTTGTATTCAGTCAAGGGGGCTGCAGCATTCAATACAGCTGTGGGTATTTAGTCTTTGTGTTTGAGCTTCAAAAGTAGATTTTCTTGAGTCAGTATTTGAAGCTTAACTTTAAATCTGTTTTTTGGATTTCTCCGGGGTTCCTCCCCCATCCTGTCTTTTGCCAGACGCTGGACCCCACCCACTGTGATGACACAGATTTCCAGTTTGACTGAGGCATGTCATCCAAATAAAGCATCTTTAGCCGCAATGTTTGTAGCAGATTGGTGAGACTTAGTCAGATAAGGTATTTGTAGAGATGTGTATGAGGGAGAGAGACTGACTGACACATAGAAAGTCCGTGTGAGTGGCTTTTGTCGAGAGACTCTTGCATATGTCTTGCATCATGGTTCCCTCCCCTCTAACAGCAGCAGCGTCAGGAAAAGGAAGGGACATAAACTGAGTTGGTCTGAATAATAAAAGCAGTGGGCCGGACCTCCTGACTCCTGTTGTGCTGTAACTGAAGCAGTGGTTAAGCCAGATGACAGAATCAACATAATGTATCCTGACCAAACATTGAGAGGAGACACATTTCACTCACAGACTTCTGTTGTAGGTTAAGACAGGAAATATTTTTGAGCGACAAAAGCTGAGAATAGAGTGAGTGCACACGTGTCTTGTACTCTATTTTGACTGTGGGTCTGATATTCAAATAAAGAGAACTAGAAACCTGGCAGCAGTGAAGATGTTTTAGCTTTCCATTAAGTTTTAAAACAGTAGAAGACTAATATAAAGCTCTTTTTCTTTTCATAAGAATGATTACAATTTCAGCAGGACAGTTCACTGTGTGTTTATTGAAGGCTGAGCTGTCTTCAATGATATGTGCATTTTGACCTCACCTTTATTTGTGGAGTAGATAAAATTTGTCAGTGGGGCAAAGTCTGTCAATCTTTGAGCCTTTCACTTTTGTATTTAAAGATATTATCTGTCTATAAACTTTGTGTTCATGGCACGAGACACTTATTTTTTAAGAAATGGCTGCTCTTGAGCCTTTCAAACACTTCTCAGAAGAATTAATCTAAGAAAAATTCCATGTATTTATCATGAATTTATCACGACTCAAACTGAGACCAGAAAAGCGTTTTCAACTACTACTATTACCCTCCCGATCAGTGCCTCTGCGTCTTAACTCACGTTACTCATTTCCGCTCCGGTCTCATCTGGAGACATGCAGCTGCCTCAGTAAGAGAAGTAGCTCGATCACTAATGTGTACTGTTGTTTATTCTACCGTTACTGGCACGGCTAACAGTGTAGCAAGGCTAATAGCAGATGGCTAACTCTAACTTTAGCTTGCATGGTGCTTCACCGTTAACTCGGCGTGGCCGAGACCAGCACAGCGGGGAACATGGTGAAGTGGGTTGAACTGAAACTTGTTGACCTATTGTGTATTTCACAAACTGGTTTATTTCCCGTTGAGGTGGACCACTCTCCTCCGTGCGTCCCTGAGCTGCCTGCTTCAGATCCGTCGCTCCGCTGTGCTGTGAGGTAGTTAGTAGATGAAGATTATCATGAGGTCGCTGCGCCATCTACAGGATAAGTCGGGGATCTTTTCAAATGGCGGAACCTTTTTGTAGTGAAACCGAATCTTATTCTCCGCATTTATTTCTGAAATTATCGACAACAGTTGGCGAGTTTTGGCCGATTACTGATTAGTCTCAAACAGGCTAAAATTGGCAGATTTAACCGGCTTGCCAATAAATCGGTCGGGCCCTACTTATGTTATCTAAAAAAGGAATATTTGGTTTTGTTAGTTGCCTGATTGATCTATTTTCTTGCCTGTCCTGCAAAGATTAAATCTCCTTGTTTTTCACTCTGTCAAGACCCCATGTGTAGCCTCGAGTACACAGGGAGGGATTAGATGAAAGTCTGATGCCTGACTTCTTTCAGCAGTCATTGAAGAAGAATTAACTGGTTCAAATGTCCCACCTGTGTGTTGACGGTAGGGCAAAGAGAGGTTGTCTTAAATTTCTGCTCTTGGGCTAAAATGTACGTTCATTCAACTTCTTGTGCATATGTACTGGATTTGTGTAATCCCGTATTCAGGGAGGTTTGCCTTTTGGATGCTTGTAACCCTCAGCTCTCGTCCCATAAACTAAATCCCATGTTTGAAAGTAAAGGAGGCTCAAAATGCCAAGTCAATCTGGCTTTGTGGGCTGTCCTAAACTGCATACCCGAAGCTCCAGAGGAAGTAGGCCATAGCTTCCTGAGTTAGTCCCCCCCCTCCACCACCACCACCAACACGACCACACACCACTGCTTTGTAAATGTCTGGACAGCTGCGGCAACAAAACAGGAAAGTGAAAGATGCCGTTTTCTCACTGCCCTTCCCCAAAACCTGTGACCTGTGTCATAAACACAATCTTTCATCCAGATAGATGACACTTAACTATGAAAGAGCCATAACTGCACCGGCATGATTTATCTGCACTTTTGCATTCAGGTTTTGAATTTTTTTTTAACAAATCTGTGGGTTGAACAAGAAACATTTTAAGGTGTCGATAAGTCTACTCTCAGTGGTCTTTGATGCATTTACGGACATAGTTAAGGCAGTTCTGCATAAATGTGGCTTCATAACTTAATTAAAGATAACATTAAAACAATATGATACATAGACTACACTACAGGAAGCAATTCTTGGATTTACTGATTGATTTTTTTTTTTAATCCATTTTATTTCACCATTTATTTTTCTTTGAGTATTGGAAGGAGTTTGCTCTATCTTGTCCGCAGCACACATCCATCCAAAGTTGCAGATTAATTAGTGGTGCAACGGATCATTATTGATCCGTGATCCGTTCGGATCGACGTATTCGGTTCGGCACACATGTGATCCGCGGATCGATTTCTGAAAGCGGAGAAAGGAGGAGCTCGAACGCCCCGCGACACTTAAATCCCCTGTATGGGAGCATTTTGGCTTCCCTGTCAATTATGATGAAGAAGGAAAGAGGTCAGTGTACAAAACTGCGACGGAGTGTAGGCACTGTGGCATAAGAAAGCCATATGACAGTGGAAACACATCGAGCATGTTCACGCATTTGAAGCGACATCACCCGGGTGTTTTACTGACAGGTGTTGTGCCGTAGATTGCACCCCTGCCGTAGAACGCACCCCCTGCATCCCCTCCACCCGTTAGCTTCTTAAAGTGGAGATAATGATCTCATATTTGATATGAATAGCCTGAATGAAATTATTAAAGGCAAACGCTGTTGAATACATCCAACGTAAGGAAAACTTGTATTATTTCGCCTTGTTATGTACTTTCAACCGCGCTCCCGTTAGGGGGTGCACTATACGGCAGGGGTGCATTCTTTGGCATAACACCTGAGATAAAACGGAAGCTGCCCAACAACCGCTCATCACCGCAGCATTTAAGCAGCCTCTTCCTGCGCAATCCGACCAGGCTAAAGCTTTCACAAACTCTATCGGTGTGTTTATAGCTGCAGACATGAGGCCGTATTCAGTTGTGCAAAACGAGGGCTTTAAAAACATGCTGAAAGTGCTTGAGCCACGTTACGACATCCCATCGCGCACACCCTTCATTTTTAGTTCATTGTTACATTTTAAAGGAAGGAGATATGCCTGTATATTGTACTTTAAGTTGTTTTTCATTAATAGTTATGTTAAAAAGAAGATATTATGCCCTGTGCACTACTTTTATATATTTTATTTGTCTTGTTTTTTTTTCTTTTTGCTGATCCGAAAAAATGATCCGATCCGTGACTCTTGATCCGAGGAACGATCCGATCCGTGAGTTTTGTGATCCGTTGCACCACTAAGATTAATGCTCAAACATGTATGCCAAATTTTGTGTAATAGGCACTTGGGTATAAGAGACAACATATATCATGAGGACAAATGTGCCCCAAGTGTTTTATCACCACACTGCTATGTAAATCTGTGTCGTAATGAATCAAAATGTTGAGAGAAAACATCCACAGGTGCAGGTAATTGAATGCCAGCTTGGTGAAAATTACATATCTTTGTTTGACAAGATGTACAAGGATATCACGAGGGGTCAACTGAAAAGCTCTTATGGTTTAATTACACATTCATATATAAAGCAGATTCATAACTTGTCTTGAGAAGAAGTCACGGATACAATATTGATCCTAATAACTAAGCAAAAGTGACATTTCTTCTGCTTTGAGTTTCTTGTGAAGTCCACCCAAACATGAAAGATCTGTGAGCTGCTCCAGCCTGGCTTGAGGCTCTGTGTAATTTCAGCCTGGGTCTCTTCTAATGTGAGCTCTTTTAAAGCTCAAATTAGGAAGCTGAACTGGCTGTAATCCTACATGTCAAACCTATTTTATATCCTGGATAAAACTGACAAAGTCCCCCCTAAACATCTTTGTGACCTTGTTTTATTTTCCAACTTGGCTTCTACTCTGCCAGAAAGTTGACTGACTTTTTCAGCCATAAAAAATCAAGACTGTTTAGCCAAACTCTAGACATCTTCACGCTTTCAACCAAACGCGTTCATCCTCCTTCGCTAGCAATGCTATTTCTGTTATACTAAATCTGAGGGAGCAGGCAGGATGGAGGAATGATGGGTACGGATGGATCTGTAGAGGTCCCTCCACTCTGGTCTACTGCAGCTCAAACAGAACTGCACTTTTTGCCCGGTACACCCCTGGTTTAATCCTGTCACAGGTCCACAACAGTTTAGGGTCACTTTTGGTACTGTGATCACTACATCCCAAGCAACAGGGGGATGGATATGAGTGTTGTAAACAAAAAACAACACATAATCCATCTTTATTGGACTCGTAAGCAGCTGGATGTTGACTGGATTTTATTTCTTTGTCTTTCCACTAGTGGTGAAAGCATTTCAAGAGTATGCAGAACCAGAAGATGCCAGCCAGTCCTCACCGCAGAGACGACCCCCAGCAGCAGCAGGGGAAGATGAGTCTGTTGTGCTACCACTCGGGGAGAACACACTCACACACAACCTGGGCATTCCAGTGCTGATAGTTTGCACAAAGGTAAAATATTCCGACAATGCAGGAAGTCTTGTGTGTAAATCTATTCACCGTAACCTGGGATCAGAGGCACATTTGACTAAGTCTATTGATTTTATTACCTGGTTCACCTTTTAACTATTTTCCTCTGTAGGTTTTGCTCTGAGTTGTCTGGGAGAAAAGGCTTAGTTTTACATCTTAACAGCCACCCTCAGCAACAGTTTTTATCATATGGATCCTTGAATCGTCACCACATATATAGTCTGTGTATTACTGGGTGACTGTAATAAAAATCTAGCTTTGTAGTTGCCTATTAAACCTCTGGGCAGGGAGTAATCCTAAAGAACGGCGCTCCTGTCAGGAGGGATTCATATGCTAGCTGTGAACAAAACAAGTGAAATGTTGTTTTTTAAACTTTTTATGGCTTGGAAGAAGGAGTGATCATTTAAGACCAATATTTACTCTTCATTTTATGTTCCCGAAAATATTTGTAAAACTGGAAATGTGCTGTCACTGAGGTGATCATATAAAGAGGCATGCCTAAGGTGGGGCTGTGGCTAAAACTGCATGCCATTTCTCTGTCGTTTCGATATTTAACCCTTTCCGTCTCCTGATCTTTTACTCTACAGTGTGACACCGTCGGCGTACTAGAGAAGGAGCACGACTACAGAGACGAGCACTTTGATTTCATCCAGTCCCACATCAGGAGATTTTGCTTACAGTGTATCCTTGCCACAGTTACTGTGTTTGTAACATCGATCGATAACACACAAACCGGTAGAGTTTATTTTTGGGCTCAGGATATTTTACTTTATTATTAATAAGTCAATGAATAATCTGTGTAAGTACCAGAAAATGTGTTGCCTTGACGGAATAATCAGATGGAGCTGGTTTGATCTATACATCAGTCAAAGAGGAGAAAAACATGGATCTCCTTTACAAATACATAGTACATAAGATATATGACTTCCAGTTCACCACACCTGCCTTAGTGGTAGAGAAGGATGCAGTGTTCATGTAAGTACATTGTTTGTTTAGTTTCTTTGTTTTTATTGCTCTCTCTCTCTCTCTCTCTCTCTCTCTCTCTCTCTCTCTCTCTCTCTGTGCCACCCTTTATTCAGCTGTTATTATTTAAGGTACTAAAATGTAAACTTCTGATAGAAAGGAAAGATTGTACCGTGCATTTCTCTTTGTTCTTTAGTCCATCTGGATGGGATAATGAGAACAAAATTGGGATTTTGCATGAAAACTTCTCGACAGTCAGACCTGAAGATCCGTTCGAGGATTTCATCTCGATGCCTCCAGTAAGAAAGGTATGGTAATGCAGATATTGGGGAAAAATATGACGGGTTTGCATCCCAAAGTTACGCAACCTAATTCGTTATTTGCTTTTCTTCACAGCTTGTTCATGACAAAGAAATAAATGCAGAGGACGAGCAGGTATTCCTGATGAAACAGCAGGTACGCAGCATGTTGTCACTATTCCTGATTCTCCTATAAAGTTTGAGAGTTTGTGTCCTTTGTGAGACTTTAACTGTGTATGAGTGAAACTCATGTTTTCTTGGGTGAGCATTTGAAACTTCCACATGACCAACACCAAAACCTTCACTTCCTATTTTTGAAACATATAAAGCAGGAAGGGAATCCAAAGTGACGCTCAACAGAGACGGTACCATTTTAGAGAAGTTTTTGGTGTTTGTTGAGCTCTCCTTTTAACGAAACCTGCTGTTTTGCTTCTAAATTATGACTGGCCTAACTCCTAAAGTGTGTCTCGTGAAATCTTGAACACCAAAAAAAGTTTCTTATGATATTTCAGTGTGTGACAGAGGTAGAGAGCTGTCTGAACAAAGATTATTGAAGCCTTTATAATGCCTGTATTTATTCTGTGAGGGAGAGAGTGTTTAGTTTTCCATAAGGGAGGATATGATGTTGTGGAGGAGTGAGGAGCAGAAGACTCCGCAGATGTGATCAGAGAGTCTGTGAAGTGTTTTTGTTCATGGGAGGAGACAAGCAGATATTACTCAAATCTGTCTCTGTATTTCAGTGCCCTGTCCCCGAAGGACTCTGTGGCATATAAATTATATGACAGTGATCTTCTTGTCTTATTTCGCTGTAATCATAAACTTCAGTCTGCTTCCATTTAAACTCAAATATAAACCACAGAACTGTAACAGCAGGAAAATGGGCTTCATACAGACGAACAAAAGTTTTATATGAACTCACCACTTCAGTCTGTAATTGCCTGCTCCAGTCTACTGCTATTGCAGAAAGTTGTGTGTTAAAGAAAGAATGCAGCCTTTACCCTGTGTAGGTAGATTATCAGCATTTAAGCCTGATATGTTTTTGAAGATGAACAAAAATCTTGTGTTCATGTACGTTTGAGGAGGGGAAACGAGATCTGATTATGAGTCGTTTCTGGAAACCAGTGGTTGATACTTAAAGCTAGTCATTTGTTTTCCGTTCACTAAAAACCACGTGTTCTTGCAAGGTTGGAAAAAGTTTGAAGATCAGTTGACTACAGCTGTGAAGTCCAGTCTTTCAGGTTTTTAAAACAAAATATAAATTAGGAAAGATGTATTTAAACCTGTTTGTTTGAAGTACCGTACTTTAAAACAACCTCTAAATCAGCCCCTTTTATGTTCATTAACATGTTTTTTTCTCTTTTTACACAGTCTTTGTTAGCAAAGCAACCAGCCACGCCAACAAGAGGAGCAACCGTAAGTGTCCTTACATCCCTGAAATGTGAATTCTTCTCTCGCACGAACAACCATAGTTTTTGTAACAGCTGGGTCGCTCTGGTTTCTGTGTTACAGGAGTCTCCAGGACGGACAGCCTCCGGGTCTCCCAGGCCTGCAGGTCGAGCTGGCCAACCCACAGCGACCAGCGGCTCACCTATGGCTGCAGTCAAAAAGCCTGACCCCAACATGAAAGGTGTGCATATTATTTATGTCCATCCCTCACTGTTAAAGAGTGAAGCTCTGCTGTTCAGTTTTGGAGAGTGCAGTATTGCCCCCTAGAGGTAACAACTAAGTATTTCACACAGAAGAGTATTGCTACACATCCGCTGTGAGTCAGTCTGTCACCACTATCTCAACGCAGCTCATATCAGTCATTAACATGATTGATCCTGAGATGGATCGTGTTATGAGCTGTCCAGACTGTAAAGACCACCAAGACTAAATTTCACTGTACTTCTCCTTGAGAAGGACAAAGGGCTTTCACACTCCTGAAGTTTGTGAAATGAGGTTACAAACGTATTATACTTATTGGATTTATATTTTGGAAGAAATAGCCACCAAAGCTGTTTTAGACCTATAATCACAGATACTGTGCATTCAAGTAAAAAAACTAGTTAATTGTTGGTATTATTGACAGGAGAAGAGTAGTTTAATTGTTGAGAAAACAACAAAATCCACTGTGCAGTCATCAAGAAAGAGCGTTTCAGTCGCTCTCAAACTGCTATCTTGTGTTTCTTGACAATTTTCACAAGAAATTATTTTTATTTTAGTAAGAAAGTGTTTATTGATATGCCTTCTTCTGCTGTAGCGGGAGCTGCCAATGAGGGAGTGCTGGCTAACTTCTTCAACAGTCTGTTGAGTAAAAAGACTGGATCCCCAGGAAGCCCAGGAAGTGGAGCAGTCGGAGCTGGAGTGCAAGGGTCGGCGAAGAAAACAGGTACAGACTTCTTTTTTCCAGGTCCCTCACCTCTGATCCTTGACTCCCTAAATTCTTATTTAATGGTGAACAGTGGAGTTGGGTACCATTTCAACTAAAATGATACTGATTTGTGTTCTGGTTTTGAATTTAATCAGGATCAGGTTCTGCTCACCTATTTTGGATACCAATTCCACCATTTCTAGAGAGAAGAAAACAGCTTACATTTAAAGGACAAACATTAGCCTGCCTTTACGGTCGAAATATTGATGCTCCAAAAATTATCTGTCAAATGTGTATTTTTTCCTTCATTTGTAAAACAAACGGTACTCTTTCTTGTGAGGATAGACCAACAAGAAAAGTTTGAAACAAAAAATAGAAAAATATGAAAAAAACACTTCAGAATATTGCAGGATTGACATCTGGTTTTTATGTTTTATCTCTCAAATTCACACCATGGTCCTCTTTGATATGTGTGTCACACATGCAGTGAAGCTTTGCAAAACTTCTATTTACCTGCTGCAGTACACCTTGATTCTCCCTTGTTGAAGTGCTGCGTCACGAATGGCGTAATAATACACCGGCAGGGACTGGCAGATATATTTAACTTCTGTGGTTTGCCAAATTCTCACAGAGGTTAAGTCCTGGAAGATTTATGTTTCTTACAAGAACCAACAATCACATGCCCTTTCAAATCCACAAATCTCAGAAACTTGGAACTGGTTCTCGAGACCAGGTCTGGTTAGAAGTGACTTAATGGGGAAACACATCAGCTTTACTGTTGGATATTGAATCCTGCATGCTCACTGTAGCAAAGAAGAATGTTTTAAACAGTAATAACTTATGATAACTTTTTAAAACAGAGGTTTACAAACACAGAATGTCAGCACACGGAAATCAAAACAAATAAAAACAAAAGCTCAGTTCAAACAAGGCTTCAGAGTTGGAGGCCATTTTCATATGTTATGAGGAAAAACCGGGCCTCTGTTAAAAGCAGCTGTGGACTGTTCTGCTGTCTGGAGTTTTATCTCTGCAGCCTGAGACAGAAGGTAAAAACAGGAGAATTCTTGTCCTCTATGACTGAACTTCTGACTTCTGAGGAAACTTTTGACAGGCCTGTATGCACGATCATACGTTCTCTCCCATAACACTGATGGCTCTCTCTTCACTTCATACTGCACCAGCCTTTTGCCCAACTAATAAGTTGTACCATCCTGCTTTTTTTGTACTCTGATAGCCCAGGATGTTTGCATGTTGTGAGTTCAAGCTTCACTACCTTTACCATTGTTTAACTGAAGTATAACGAGTCAAGTGCCATTTCTGCTGTAGCTGAATGAGTAAAAAATGGAGGTAAACATTGTATTACTCATCTTTTTCAGCACTAAACAATGTTAATACAATGTTTGTGTGAACCAGCTGATTTGACAATCCATATGCACAAGTTCCTTTGGTCTGCTCATCATTACTAAAGCATGTGTGTAAACTCTGGCAGCAAGCTGCTAACTTTGCGCATGGGACTGCATCACCACCATCCAACCCCCATCCATCTGCTTGCTGGCCATAGCAACCCTTTTTTCGATGATTACACACACAGAAGCTACAGGAGATTACTTTTGGGCTTTGTCTCCTGTTTTTCCCAAGGGCAGAAGCCGGGTTTGACTGACGTCCAGGCTGAATTGGACAGGATGACTCGCAAACAAGACTCCATGGTTTCAGCTAACAACATACCACCGCCAACAGAGAATGAAGCGTGAAGGCAACAAGAACAGCTGCATCGTCCTCTGCATTAATACTCTGGAAACAAATAAAAAAGAAACATGCACATGTGAACGTAAAAATAATTGACCAAATTCCCAACTTCTGTATCAGCCAGCACACTTTGGTGGTTTAACCAAAACGAGTTTCAGATGCTATCAGATATTTTGGAGTTCTGGTGAGATGGGAAGAGTGAGATAAGAGATATGGAGGTGTTAATGAAATGATAAGTGCTAAAGGCTTGGCTTTATTTTGGGGCCTCTCTTTCACTGAAAGTGTTATTTAATGAGGGATGTCGGTGAACGGAAACGTGTGCACACTCCCTGGCAGGCAGCTTGAAGTGCTGGGCTGCTGGTTCCCCAGTTTCTGGGATAAAACTCCCTCTCCTGATGGGTTTAAAGAGTGGAAACATTAGTGGTGTTGTGGCCTTTAGCTCAGCTTATCTTGTGGAAGGAATTTGGCTGCAATTGGAAGGGTATTTAAACATAAAATATATTCGTTCAAACAACAAAATACTTGCGAACACGTATGTAAAAAATGTTGGATATGATACTGTTGTATTTATACAAAGTTCCTTCTTTTTATTTCATTATCTGCACCATTTATTGGTTTAAGGAAACATTCAACTGTATCGCATAACCTGTTAAAATGCCACTGGCATCATGACACTAATATGACCAGTCCACATAGCTGATAGCGTATCATATCATTTACCCCAATCATCTCAAAGGATTCTGTAAATATAGATACAAAAAATCTATTCAGGTTAACTTGATTTAGTTTAAAATGCAATTCTGTCCAAATTCTGAGAATAGCTTCTTTGACTAAGAAAGAATGGTTGGGAATTGACAGGCCAAGCGGCTGCAACAGAAACGCTTCTTTTGCTACAAGTGTGTATATTTGGGGAGGGGGTCGGGCAGCATCTTTCCTACTATAACTCCTAAGTGCCTCGCACAGTTAGCTGTTTATGTCATAGTAGAGGTGCTTGTCTACATAAGAGGAAATGCACTGTAGCATCATCAGTTTAAAGGTTCTTGTCCATTTTTTTTGTCATCCAAATAATTTATTTTGTTTTACATTTTGTTGATGTACAACAAGCCTGTGGTCTCTTGTTATTTTTTTTTTTTCAGAAATAAGATTTCTGTGGCCTAGTTAATCATGTTTAATAGAACAGTAGATTGAATGATTTCATACAAACTGTAAAGGCTGCTGATATTAAGAAACTTTAAAAAAACCACAAATAGGAACTTTTGGGTCCTTAGACAAACACTTACTGTGGGTAAGCCACTCATCTTGCAGCCAAAAGACGCAATGATTTGCTGTGGTTTGAACAAAAATGAAATAGCATATCCTTTAGTTTTTGACCGCACTGTCCTCTTTCGGTTTCACATGTTTTATTCACCCACTGTACTTTGCATGTCAGTTATACATTCCCAGTTTCTACATGAAGTAGTTGTAGAAACACATCCCTGTAGGTTCGTTCAGTCAGGTCTTTTAGTTCTTCTCTTCAGTGCCCATTTAAAATGACAACCTTTGCCTTCAATGTACAGCTAACTGTTTGTCAAGCTGGGCACCCTGCCTTCACAATGCTCCTAATTAATTTTGTGTGTCCTTAAGGGGGTCGCTTAATTGTCTTATGTAACTGCTTTTTTTTTTTACTGTTATACTGTACCACATCAAAAATCTGTCATATTTATGGTTTTCATGACACCATAACTCAGTCATTATCATGATATGAGACTGTATGCAAGGCCCTACTTAATCCTATGGATAGTTTTAATCAGTAGCTTACAGAGTTAATGACAAGTGTTGAGGAGAGCAGCTAATTGCTATTTAAATAATAGCAAGCGATGAAAACTGGAGTGAATTGGAACAATGAGCCAAAGATTCGTATGAGTCACTATTTTCTGCTTTTATAGTTGGTAGTCATCCATAAGATTAACCTGCGGCCGTTTTTTTGTCCTACTTTGCGTGGAGCTTTTGCATTCCAAGCTTCAGGTCTAACAAAGAGCTCTCATTTGAATTATGACCCATAAAAATGGTGGATATGCCTTACTCGACTTTCACACCTCCAGACATGAAAAATGTAATCCTGTTGTATGCAGCAGTTTGTAGTGGATTGTCCAAAATGATTCACAAACAATGTCATTTTTGAAAATTTGAGTTGTAAGGGAATGACTATGAGACCCCATCTGTGTGCAGTCTATCTTTTTTTTCTTTTCTTGTTTTTTTTTTTTTTGGTTATAAAAGCGCTTCACAACTGTTCCCGATTAACTTTTGATCCAAACAAAGCTCTTATTCTTTCCTGATGTTTCTCTTTTTTTTGTGACCGAGTGGGTCACACCTGAGGGTCTGTTGGGGAAGCACAATTTTTAAGAACAGCCAGAAGCAGTACCCCCATCATATTTGAAGAAGCACTTTTCCTCAGACAGTTGTATCAGTTCTCTGTTGGTACAGGGTAAGATACAGGATGCATATTCTCCTCTTTTTTTTTTTTGCCTTGCCTTTTTTCCAAGAAGATTTAAATGTTAACCCCCTCTTTAAACTTATTTATCTGCATTTGCTGCTTCAGTCTTGAAAGATACCCATGGTGGAGAAGTGTGGAATAACTTCTTTCTACAGGTGATATCGTACATAAAACATCAATCATCAAGATAAAGCATTTATATTGGGTTGTATTTGGGGCATCTTAAAGTAGATCCACCAAATACCATAAAAGTTTTATTTCAGAGTTTGACTTTTTTGCCTTCAAAACATCCTTTCATCCTACTTAGACCCGTTAGGTTTTTGTAATCAAACGTTTGCCATTTAAGAAATGTGTAATGTCATCGACCGCCCTGATATTTCTCATAGAACATGTCCACACTTGTAATAATTTGACATTTATCTGAGTGGAATGAAGTGCTCTCATGCTGCTTGGTTTCAAAGTTGCACTTGCTCTTTATAAAGATTGGATGTTGCTCCCAAGATTGATCGATGAACAGATGTTGTTACTTTTGTACTTAATCTTCAGTGGAAAGCAACTGCCTCTTCACATCCTAACTGAATTGCCTTCGACCACTATTGACAGTCTACTTCTATATGAGACTACGAGCTTCTGCTTCCAGCCCTTTTTGTATTCTGGATATCAAGACATTGTAAGCACATGGCTGGCTGCATTTTTGTGTCCTGATAACTCAGAAGTTTGATTGTATGACTTTAACACAATTCTGTAGCCTCTAAGCTGCCATGTGGATTCTTGCGTCTTACGCAGACAAAGATAAGGACAATGTTTATCAGACCCCTGGCTTCAATAAAACCAAGAATACAAACTTCGCTGACTTTCACTTTTTTTTGGTTACGTTGTACATTTTTATCTGATTTATCACTTTGTAAGAAAACAAGCTGACACAGAAAATACTGTAGGGGAGAGTGGGGTGAGATGAGCCATTTTTCATATTTTGGATCACTACATCAAGGCAATCATAGTTTTGTCTCTAACTCGTGTATCTGCATATATTTCAAGATGTTGTTCATCCCTGCAAACCAACAGAATGAGTGTAAACAGAACTGTCTTGATAATATAGCACGCCAAAAAAAGGGGTCTCCTACGGTCAACTTACCTTGTGTATGGGGTAAGTTGATCATAGGAGCGGGGTAAGTTGAGCCGCATCCCTACTACCCCCCCACTCTCCACCCCAGCCCTCCCTCACCTTCTCTCTCCCTAAATAACAGTCACTTCCTCACATTCATAAGTATTTTTATGAATTATACGCTTTTCAAATGGTACAATCATTCCGTTTAGTATTATTGTATATAACTACTAAAAGCTGTTTTGTAAAAAGCCATTTTAACATGAGAATGCCTTTAAGTGATTCAGAACATTCACAGCTGTATTTTTGAAAAGAAAAAGTAAAACATTTCAACAATCTGAACTGAAACTGATCATCTCATCAGACTTCTTTACTTTCTCAGTTGAACCACTGGCTCAAATTACCCCAGAACAACTATGATGACTGTATTAGTCCTCTGAGCTAAAATGGTGGACTTTTATGGTAGGTTTCTGACCTAGAGATACCACAATTGATGAATAAAACAAATTTAAAATGATCTTTTTTGGTCTGAACAATTCTAATCAAACTTATGACAGACTAAATTCACTTTCAAGAGTGAAAAACAGTTTTTTGGAAATAAATGTCTAACTCCTTCACCCATGTGCTTCTTACCTTCACAGACTCCATGAATTGATGCCCATCTCCTAAATATTTGGTCACATGATCAATTTCTTTTACCATTTCCAGGCAACAGGGGGTGGCTCAACTTACCCTTTGGCTCAACTTACCCCACTCTCCCCTACTGCTGTAAACCCACCTCCACACTAACCACTCGACTATATCAAACAGTGAAATTGTTCTGAAATGACCACCAGAGTGCTGAGCACCTTTTAAAAATATACTCATCAATGGTGCCAATGTAAGACTCTTAATGTTGAAACCGCACTGAAATATTGACATTACAAAAGATGCCAAATGCAGTGAAGTGCACTGACACTATTGCACAGTAATTGAATACTAATTTTGAATCAGAATCACTCATCCTTATAAAGGGTCACTCCTTTAAGAGTCTACATAATATGACAGCCAAGCTTGTTTACTCTTTTGTCTTCTCTTGTTTTAAACAGCCTCTGGCTTTCTTCGTTATTCTAAATGCACATGACCTGAAGTACCACAAGGGGGCAGTAGACTAAGGTAAAAGTACTGTAGTAGTGGCAGTTGATGTGTTCAGGGAAAATTAGGCCTCTTCTTGAATTCTGTAGTAAAAATGATGTATAATCTAATGAGACTCCAGATTTTTCTCCTTCCTTCCTTCAAAATAAGACTTTATAAAGTTATAAAGGACTGTTCAAAATAAAAAGGCCCATCAGGAGCATTTTCCCATCTAGGCTGGAGGGTCTCCAATCTATTAAAAAAAGCCAGACGACAGTATTTTATTTTATTTTTTAAATGAAGTACCATAACTATTTACCTTTAAAGTCGTGCTATCCTGGTAGCTACAGTGCAGCTACAGAGTGAACTTTCCAATAGGAAGTGCACATTCATTGCCATTACTATATAATATAATACGGGACTGGCTGAAAGAAATTCCCATCTTTGCAGAGGAATGTCGATCATAAAGGAGCAGGCCAAGAGAAAGACGAGGCAGAGAAAGTGCAGCGCAGCTCGCTGCTGTCGGCGTGGTTCCGGCTGGATTCGTTTTGCAGCCTGTTTGGGAATAAAAACGGGCGCATATCCTGCACAAGAATGTGCAGTTTTCAGAGGGGCGGAGACAAGCTCGCTTTGCATCCACAGCGAGTAAAGCTGCTGCCTCATTGTAGGCTGCTGCTGCTGCTGCAGAGCAAAGCACAAGTTTACAATAGGACACAAAAAGGGTTTCTCTCGGTACCTCTGGGCCATTATGGGTGGATGTTTTTCTAAGGCGAGCCACACAGCCGGGTGTGAATTTTTGTCGGTGCTGCCGAACTGACCAGAGTCGTCTATGGTGAAGTGACACCAGAAATCGAACAAGTGACCCACTCAACAGAGTTATAAGTGCGGCTTTTTTAACTGGGACGCAACGTTGGAAGCTGGAAGACGCGCTGTATGGTGTTTTTTTTCACGGATAGCAGCCTGTTTCTCCTGTGCGTAATGCTCCAGAGCCCCCTCCGCGGCTGTTTCCCCGTGGAGTGGCTCTAAAAAAGTGGACGGTCGGGTTGGTCCTCTCCATCCACTCACTCACAGCCTGTATGGAACAAAGTGTGCTTTGTGAAACATAACCTGAATCCAGGCGGTTTGTCAGCGTTGGTCTGTATGTGGTAACATTTCTATCCCAAGAGTCCACCAGCGTAAATCATCACCATGAGGACCACCGATGAGCCGGAGGGCTTTGACGGCGAGGCCTCCAACACTTCCATGATCTCCGGGGCCAGCAGCCCCTACCAACCCACCACGGAGCCCGTCCACGCGAGAAACGTTTTGGGGGGGATAAGGTGCGACATGGAGTACCTCAAGTCCTACTTTGGAATATTAAAGGTGGTTGAAGTGGTAAGTTTGAACACGAGCATGTGTAGCATCTTAAAGTGCGTAAAAATAACTCTGAGACTCTATAGTTACTCCGTTTAAGAGCCTAAATGACATTTTAGTCTCCTGAAAGTTGTGTACTACTCTGATCATTAACGCCCCAGTTGTTACCTCTGTCCCCGGGGTGGTTAAATGTGAACGATACAAACAGACACGACTGTACAAGTCCTGGTTTACCCTGCCCTACATCCCCAAGAGTGGTCAGTCAGGTTTCAGGGAGGATTATCCCTACATGTGAAACTACCCAAGTGAGGCTGCTTTGCCTTCCCGTTAACAGATAATAACACAGTCTTTTCATACAGTCATACATGATTCAACATTGATCAGTTTGGTGTTATACAATGCTTATATAATGAACATTTATTTGATTATTTTTCTCTCTCTTAGTTTTTATTTTTAAGGCACTCAGTTGAATCACTTGGTTATATTTGTGTACTGATTAAGCACCTGTATCACTCCCAGAGAAACTAATTGTCTTTATTTATTACTAAGAGTTTAGTAGTGAGTGGAAAGACTCACATTCTCTCTAACCAGTGCACCTAAACCAGATGTCTAAGCTGAGACACAGGCATCAACAAAGTAAGACGAGGGCTCCCAAAGCACTGACAATCCACCAGAGGAGGAAATATCTATCGAGCCAGAGCCATTTCTCTTCTTCTGGTGCCAAAAAATGCAGACACAGGCCTGCGAGTGCACTCGCACACATAAATGAAGTAGTGTATCCTCAGCAGCAGAGCAAACCGAAGAGTTCAGGAAAGTAGTAATTACCTCTAACAATGTTTGTAGATGGCAAAAGCAACCTCGAGTCCAAACTGTTGGGAGATAAAACTGCACGGCCCGGGGTTTTCTGCTTCAATTATGAGACGAAAATGGTGGAAAAAAACGGTGTTTGAGACTTAAGTGGGAGTTTGTGTGTCTCATCACTGGTCTCAAAGAGGAGTCGGTCTGTGCAGTTGCACACACCTGTAATGTTTACCTCTGTGGGAAGTCAAGATAAGACTCCATCTGTCATCAGCGTGGGAGAGATTTGAATCAGACAGTAACTAAGAGGAACACTCACAGACACAACCACCTATGTAGAATAAAGATAAGATAAAGTCTCTTACTCAGCAGCTCAAAAACAATCTTACTTTCTTATATTTTTGATATTTTATTGGCTTCAGAGGCTCCACACCAGATAAAGAAGTGCACAACAACACAAATCATATTCTAATTTTCATTTGTTCCAGTAAAAGATGCCAAGCTTCATTATTTGAATGGATTGTCCACTACTTAAATATTATGATTTAAATACCTAACAAGGAATCCTCTCCAGTGTGTGCTATAGCACCATAATGATAGACCCTCAACTACAGTACAGTTAAAAGTTTTGACACTCCAGGTGAAACAATACTGACATATTCAGCATAGATCCTCAGTCATTATTTAAAAACAATCTTAAGTATTTCATGAATGGACACCACAGATCACACTCTAATGAGACATTTGCTGCCAGCTTTTGGTTTTTGTTCAAAAAATAAGTTTAACTATCAGCTGGGCTACTGGCAGCAAAGGCATCTTTACCTATTTATTGTAAAGATGTGTAAACGCCCGCTGTAATAAGATAAAAATAGACTAACAAATATGCCAAGAGTGTTTGTTGCATAATGATGAATACTAGAGCAAATCCAAGTTCCAACATATTTTCCAGCTATAACAGGTATGATATCAAAACCGTATCATACAGCTTCGATAAAAGTATATCATCATCATCAGTATCTTATTATTACCTGTCTCCTGTTTTTAATTTATATTTACTTGGCTGGCTCGTTCAGCTTTGATACCAACTTTGCTGTCTGAGATAATCACATCTCCTTCACGGACGAGGGCAGCGTCATTGAAAGCCATCCAAGTTTACATTTAGTATCTCAGAGGAGGCCTAACAAGACTCACTGCCAAACATTAATGGCTTCACTGGCTCGCTCTTTTACTGCTCTGTCCTCTAATTGTTAAACTGTGCTAACCGAGGCTGTGGGATGTTCTTGTATAATTGATCAATAGCAAAGCTGACTCCACAAATCCCTAATGGGTCACAGTTTCTGCTTAATATTTAAGCACTCCTGTTACAAAGAGATGCTGCAGTGTCTGTTAATTTTCTTAACCGCTAATGGACATTGGTTCTGTGGCGGGAAGGGCATCAATCGTGTTGTTAATCGTTATCTATCTAGAGGGAAATAATTGGCTGCAATGAAGAATAGATGAGCGCAGAACAGAAATTCAAGCAATTTTTTCACCTGGAGAAACGAGGATTGCGGCGTCAATAAATAGCTGGTGAATATATATTTGTGACTAAGTCGGTTATGCAACTTTTCAACCCAAAAGTGAGTCTCCTTATTGCTTGCTCCTCCTCCTCTGGAAACTGCTCACTTCCTTTTGACTTTGCCAAGGAAATGTTTATTGTATTACTTCCACACCCAAGCCTTGTTTGTACAAACGTAGAAGTTACAAACCAGGCCTCGTATGTTTGCACTGACCCTGATCTGTTCCCCTTCTCAGACACATAATCAGAAGTACTAATGAATTGGATCTTTGGCTTCTCACTTTATCGCTGAAATACATTTTTATAGGCCTGGTGAGAGATCATTTATGTGTTAATTTGTGATTGAATGGACACAAAGGCTCCTCCAGATCCTGTATTGATCAGAAACAAACCCTGCAGTCTGGCTGAAACCTGATCAAGGTGTGTCCCTCCTAACAACAGGTTTGTCTTTGTCCCTCTGCTGTGACGGGTCAACAAAGGCCAGGGGGTATTTAACATGTCACCCTCCCGTATGATGGAAATTTGATACCGTTTAGGTCCTAACAGACCTCATGAGAGTGTTTCTTGATGTACTGGTCTACCAAGCGGAGGCTAAATATTGTTTGAGGGTGAGTTTGTGGATGTCGTGTGATGAAGTTACCAGATGCTACAAAATGTCAGTGCGAATTTCCTGCCATGAGCGTCATTTTCTTTCCTGGTTGAAACATTATCTATTCTTAGCTTGGTGCATTTATGTAGGGACACAGAGGCTTCTACCTACACACATTTGCTATTGCCTTTTGGATAAAATATTTGACATATCAGGCAAGATTTGCATTCAATATATTATAAGTTATTTTCCGTGCATAAAGTTCCATTGCAGTGTGAATGCAGCTTGTATTATGTTGCAGCAGTGTGGCTTCTCTTCTCCTTCATTAATTTTCTCTGCACAACAGATGGTGTATAAGAAGGGGATCCAAGTCCAAGAGGTCTTAAAAGGCGACTTTTAAAGCATATAATCCCAAAGACAAAGTTGTGCATGCATGCATACGGAGAGGAAGGAGGAAAGAATCAATGTGCGCTTCCATGTGCACCATGAACAGGCTGCAGTGTGGTTTAGATTGACATAAAATCATTACTTGCACGATTATCCAGTGTGGTATTTTGTGATCCCTCCACCTGCCTCCTCCCCTGTGGCTGCCTGCTACACAATATGCTTTCTACAAGAGACATGACATCATCTCTCAGCCCAAGCAGCCCTCCACTCATGTTTGGGTGTAACCTTTTGATTGTGTTACAGTCACAGATGGACTGCTATTCAGCTAATGAGGCTTTAGCAGCTGTACAGGATAAAAACCTTGTCTCATTTATAGCTTGACAGGTTGCCTTTGCTTATCTTTGCTTTCTTTGCATCTTGTGAAATTTTTGTGTTTGTGCATAAAAGACCCGGGAATATTAGTTGAATAATGTCACACACACACACAAGAAGGAAACTACTGTTTACTTGCAGTTATTACATAACAATATTAGTCTGAAAATTACTTCCAAATCTTCAACTTCTGATCTGCAAGTGAAGAAAAGGAGAGCTCTCAAACTAATGAGACTATTTGCATTGGGTTTCAGAATCAATCCAAAGTTAGACCCTTGAAACTATTTTACATTTTAACATGTCCGACTGTAGTCAGAGTGGCTCCTTCATAAGTATGGTTCAGAGTCTTGAAATATCCAGTTCCTACAAAAATAAGAGATTTTCTTTGCCAAAAGAAAAAATGATGACCGATGACTCATCTCTGCAGCACAGTAGGTGTAGTTCAGCTACTTGCTGGAATAAAATAATTCAAATATGTCAACAAACCGGATCAAATTTGGTTGAGGGAGAGTATTTGTTCAATTCACATCTGTTTTTTAGGTACTTATTGTTCAGAAATCTACACTAATATATAGTCTCTTTGTCTCATATCAACTGTGGTTCTCTTTCTTCTTGTATCGTAAACATTTGCTCTTCCCTGTTTTCATGTCAGCTTCCCTGACTCACAAAGCAGTCATGTGATCGTCTCTTTAATGACCTTCCTTCTCTCTCTGCAAAACAAAATTCTTTTGATAATCTGATCACATCTTTGAACTTATTGCAGCATAACTGCCTTGACTTTTTGACCTGGATGTCACAGAGGAGGGTGATTTCAAAGAGAGAGGCGCCCTCGTTTAACAATGACTTTTGAGTTTTAGGGCAGACTTGCTGTGAGCGTGATTGCTTATCCAAGTACTCAGTTGCCCTCTTGTTAGCAGTTCATGAAATTATAACCCCGTTCAGTAGCTGTAGGTTCCTATTCATTCAAATTCAAATATTAAGATAAATATTATTCAAAGAAAATCCTCTAAAACCTGATTAGACTTACCAAGAAGCATATGAACTCATGAAAACATGGCTGTAAATGCACACCTTTTTATTGCTTCAATATCACTTGTGGCAGTTTCTGAATTATCTGTTACACTTTTACCCTGCATGACATTTTGGAAACCATCAGTTACAATCTGACAGTCTGGCACATAGATATAATATACGTAGACACCTCATTCTGGAGCGTAATCCAGCATCGCCGCCATATTGGATGGGTCTTATCCCACCAGGCTTGCACCAGAGCCAACAGGAGTCAATGGAGAACAAGCACTTTGCCCGTATTCTGTGCAACCTACCGTTGCAAAATCTGACGCAGTATTGAAACCAGATCACTAACCTTATACAAGTAAAAACTAAAAATATGTTTTTGTATTATTAATGTCTGACAGCGTCCTTTATCATAACAACACCCCTGCCGTTTGTTAAAAACCAAAGCGTGTAAAAATTGGGTAAATATTCAGGGAGTTTTGATAAAAGTACTTAGGCATACCTACCTTCCCCATTAGAAATAAATGCACTTTGGGGACCTATCCAATATGGCGGCCAATGATAACTCAGTTTGAATAGGCACATCAGTCTATAAGGCATCTATGTATATTATGCCTATGGTCTGGTCTGCATGAGGGTTCTTCAGACATAGCAAGAAGCGATTATACAGCATCTTGGGCTCTGTTTAGAGTCCAAGCGTCACCTTGAGTTTAGAAAATTCTGTGTGGGTGGAGGAACAACTTCTATAAGTAGTCATTAGCTTAAAATAGTTTGTTGAATTATCTTCTGATGACAGCATCCTCCTCCTTTTTTCAGCTAACATCTATTTAGACTGCTAACATAAGGCCTTGGACATTTAAGATCTTGTTTTCCTCTCAGTTATGCAACCAAATGTACATTTATGTTCATAGAAATTCGTCTGCACATTGCGACACGAACACAGATGTCATGCATTTCCTGGAACTTTTTTACAATCAAAGCATGTGGAGCACATAAACGGTCAAACAACATCCTGTGTAAACTTTGACCCGTTGATGCCCTGTAGTTTGCACCAACAATATTACCATGCAGTATCTCATTTAATGTTGAGTTTTTTTAACCCTATAAAGAAACAGATAAAAAAAAAACAACCACTGATCCAGGAGTAAGTGCACAATAAGTCAAATTAAGATTAAAAGATTAGCGATTTAGGCTTCAGGTGGTTTAGCAATGAGGAAAACTTTGTCATGTCTTTTTTTTTCTTCTACAGTTTGAGATCTGATCATCTCCCAGTCAGATCTGGTCTAAACTGGTTTGAAATCATCTGCCTCAGGTCTGAATGTGTTGCAGTGGCATTCTCATGGTTCTGTTTTGTCTCCGGGACTTGGACTGCTATGAACCAATCGGTAATCTGTGTGTGGTTTTGTTGGGGTCTGCATGGCAGGAGAACACCTAAATAGCAGGATTCCTCCCATACTGTGGTTTGTTGATGGACGTTGGCTGGAGTGAGGCGTCTTTATAGGCTGCCAGGAGTGAGACTCTCGAGAGGCTAATGGCGTCTGGTCTATTCATAGGACAATCACTTCATCATCTGGAGAGATCTGGAATTTTAGCATCAACAAAGACTCACATTAAGTTGAAAAATTAGTGGACTTTTATTCAAAAATTAGTTTAGCAGCCCAGAATATGACTTTTTTTGAGGTTGACTGGCTGAAAATTTAGATCTGCTTGGAGGTTTATACAAACTTGAGTCATGCATATCAAGTTTGACAACCCGGGAAATCATTGTTCAACAGTTTGACTCATATCACAGCTGAATCACACATTCCTGCTCTGCTAAACATGTACCTGCCCTTCCCTTTCTCCTTTGGACTCTCTTTTTTAGGTCCTTTCACTCATTGGATTCATCTGCATAGAGACTATCATGATGTGCTCTCCCTGTGGAGGGGTCTACTTCTTTGAGTTTGTCAGCTGCAGTGCCTTTGTGGTGACAGGAGTCCTCCTACTCATCTTCAGCCTCAACCTGCACACCAAGGTGCCCCACATCAACTGGAGCCTAACGGTGAGTACAGGGAAACAGAAAATCTTTTTCATTTTGCTTCATTTGCAAATATTGCGTGTGGTGACACAAGCCAACTAATCGAAAAGACAGTGATGTGATGATCCCCAAATATGAAACCAATATATTCGGAGCTCCCCCTGGTGGCAGGTTACAGCAATAGATCACAAAGCTCACCTCATTCGAAAGATGAGATGTGGGTCCAAGAACAAAACAATGACATCTTTCTTAGACTTTTATTTTTTTTGTGCTTTTATGCCTTCTTTATTTGAGGCTGTGTTTAGAGGTAAGACGGTGGATCGGGGGAATGACATGTGCTGCCTGTGTTGAAGTCTGTAGTTTTTGTACATGGGGGCATGCGGTTTAACTGCTAGTCTACGCTGATACCTCAAGAAGTTTGCTTATATGTTATTACCTGATACTTTAAAAGGGGGTCTACAGCTCGACAAACCCACTGAGCCTTTTTAGGTCTAAAAGAGGTCTAATAGATGTCTAAATGTAGCTTAGAAGACTGGTCTAAAATCAGGCTACCACAGGTCTAAAAATGAAAGTTTTGTAGGCGTCTAAATTTAGACCAAGTTTAGACTAAATCTAAATCTAGGCTATATCTATACTACACTGTATATTGCTTAACGGCTATCATAGTTTTTTTGGTTAACTACTTGGAGATCAGTTATACAACTCACAGTTGCTTTTTGAAATAAACAGTTATTGAATAATAAGTTAAAGTGCAACGTCTAAATTCCGTTGAAAAATGGTTGAAATTAGGTCTAAAAAAAAAACTAGACGTCTAATAGCCGTCTATTGCTCAGTGGGAAGTCACTCCTGCAGCATTCTGCGCTGGTCCACTGTTTATAAGAGAAACTAAATTTACTCTAACACTACAGTCATTCAATTGTGCATAAGTGAGTAACCAACACAGAGAGTTTTTTGCTTTGGTTGTGCCAACTTGTGCTTTTGTTTAATCCTGAAGTGAAATCTTTCTGTCGGTAAGTGGGAGGAGCAAAACTGCGGTTACACCAGCTGATGTCTGACTCTGTCTCTGAGTGGCGTCACCAGTGAAGGACGTCATGGCCTGTTCTAAATTGTCAGGAATGTTAAGTGTGGATTACTGGACCACCTGTGTATGTAGAACTGCACATAACACATCAGTGAGATGGACTGCGGTCGCTGTTTTGTAATGACATTGGTTTTGGTTTTTACCTCAGCACTTTGGTGGTGCTGGGTTTTAATGAAAAAACTGCTGAAAATGAGGTGATTAGCTTTCAGATTTTAACAAAGAGTCTAGCTGACATTATTACCTTGACAAGAAAATCTAACAACATGCTTCACCCGACAATAGCAGGGGTCCAGGAAAGATTGCTGTGGTTTCAAAGCTTAAGGTTGTTCTGACTTTCCTGAAGTGAGCCATAATAATTTGGCTTGTTTGTACACATTTTAACTACGCTAGCCACAAAAGTCACTCAGTCACTTTTTTATGCCAACCAATTGAATATGTGGATAACATCATGCTAAATAATGTTGATGACTATGGCTTGACTTACTGGAACCAGTGTTTAGCTTAAAGCAACACTGAGCCTCTGCTAGCTTTGAACCTGACTGTGGAAATTAAAGGTTGAACAGACAGAGGTGTTTGGTTGTAACTAGGGGTGTCCCAATGCAACATTTTTACTTCTGTTATGATACCAATATTGTAGCCTTCAAAATTGGCCAATACTGATATTGATCCGATATTGACACAAAATTGTGCATGACAAGTTTTGCACTCAGCTGCAATGTCTTTTTCAGACCTAGACAAAAAATACTGCCACAAGGCCGACATCACTCCTACTCTTTGCTACTTTGTTTGTACCTTTGTACACACTGTTGTTGTGACTACGTGGACTCTACATGCTGGATCAGGGTGCTTCTAGATAGAGGTGCTGGAGCGGAGTCTGGAATGGACTGCTTGTATCTGAGTGCTGATATCGGAGATTTTAGATTCAGGCCAATATAACCCGATATACTAATTTTTGCTGATATTGGATCGATATCAATATCGTATCAGGACACCCCTAGTTGTTACATGAATTTTAGCTACATTCGCTTTTTTTTTTTTTCAGAAGTCATGATCAAAATCTGACGTCTCTTCACTTATTAATATCACGTTGATATTTAACTATGAACCTAGTTTTGTATATCAGAGCTAATGCTTATCTCTTGATGGTTAAAGAAGGGTTTGAGTGCCAAGTTCTTCTATTGCAGCCTTATTTTATTTTTTTTTTCCCCAATGGTAAGGCTTGACATGAGTCCTTTAAAGTAAAACTCTCGAGCTTGGGTCTGGAACTGGTTGGGAGGCCATGCTGTTTCACTGCTACCATCAGGATGTGCACTGTCAGCTGTAAGCAAATGAGCCGGTGGGTGTTCTCCATGCCTTTCAGTGTTTGCCTACACATACATATGCTGGCGTTCTAAGCTGCAGCCAAGTATCATTTACAGAGAGGGGAGTGGAAAAAAAATCATCTTCGACTGTATTTCCAGAGACCACACAGCATACACATCGTAGTAAAGCAGCGCACGTCAAGCCAGATGTACAAATCCAACCATAGCTATCAGGTTGCTTCATGGTATCCTTGGTACAATATTCCACCTCAAACATGAGGGGAGGGAGCGCCTTTGGTTTCTACTTTTGGACACCAAATGAAAGCTTTTACCAGTCTGAAAGGAAAGGATGTTGTATAATCTAAAACCCTCCTGTTCAATCTTTTTCACAGACATACTACTCCTATTCTCCTGAGGCTCTCCGGCCTCCTCTTGTCAGCTCAGAGTGATGAATTATTTTTCCATCTCCATGATCAGTTGTGAAGAAACTCGTCATTAGCATGTACTGTGCTCTTTGTGTGTTCATATAAGAAAACATGCGATAAAGTGAGTTTGGCTGCGGGTTGCCATTAGACTCACAGAAAAGTTTTTCGACATCGTATTCAAGCTGTGGTGGGCTGAGGTTTGGCTCGCTGGTGTTGTTGGAAACAAGCAGTAAGAGCCAAAGATTTGAGCGGTTCATATTTTATTTGAAGAAATATGTATGTTTGCAGACTTTAACTTTTGTGTTTATGCCACAAAACCCTCTGTAGTTCACTCTGGTTTGTAAGCTGCATCAACAAAATACTTCAAGTACAGTACATGTTGCTTTCCAGATTTCACAGTCTCCCTGCCCTCACTTTAAACTCGCTAAAAAAGTCCCATGATGCTTAGTTCCCCTCAACTGTTAAAGACTGCGCCCCATGCTGTTCACGTCTATCAAGTTCAAAAGCCCCAGCCACATTGAGCCCCTGGGAATCTCGCCATGAGTAAGCATTTCAGAGAGCTAACCAACTGTTAACCCCTCTGATGCCTTCTCTGCGTCCAGTCCTTCAAAGTAAATCAGCCAGTCCTCCTCTGTGGAGCGCGCTGTTTAATAATGCGGTTGAGAGTCTCAGAAGGAGGGTTCTGATCGCACAATTATGTGCTATGTGATCCCATCTCCTCCAACTCACCCTGCGAGATGACTTTGGCAGTACAGAGGGGGGAAACACAGGCCCTGACTCCCACCTCCCCTCCTTTAGCACAGGAATAAATACAGTCCTGGGACCTTGTTTGAAGCCCATTTTGTGACTTTTAGCTTTCCAGTTGAACTTCACGTTTCAGTCTGCCTGAATGAGTTTGTATTACACTGTAGGCTAGAGAGAAAGCCTGAGAATTCAATGTATTGTTCTCACAGCCAATCACTGGCGGGCATGCTGAGAGGGCTCTGGCACAGGAGTGGGGTGACCCTGGGGACACAAACGGCCCAAAGAGGAACGGGAGAAAGAAGACAGAGGGACATATTTGTGTTGCTATTCTCCTTCTAAATAGAGAAAAACAGTTTGGGTACCACGCCAAGGTGCCGAGTACAGTCTGATTGTTTTAGTTCTGGACACAGAGAGTATCTCATCCCAGTTCATGCATGAATAGACTCTGATTCAGAGGAGAGACCAGTGGAGGCTGCTGATCAGATCTGTTGCATCCTTACACGGCAGGCAAGTCATGCAACTCTAAAATGAGTGTCTCTTTCTCAGATATAGCTGTGCTGATGTAGGTTATTTAAAACTGGATTATTTTAATTTTTCTCTTCAATCATTGCAGCTACAACGAATCATTTTTGTTTAGAAAAAAACGTTCTTTTAGATAGATTTAGGTAAGAGGTTGCTAAAAACAAAAATGTATTCTTCAAGTGTCAAACTAGACTGTTACGAAGCATGTTCAAGTGTGGGAATAATGAACTTTTGGGACAGCAAATGCCAGCTGTGGTTATTTTATCAGATAGATTTTGTACTGAAAACCCACAGCTGAAGTCTGTGACGTACCAAATATGGTGCATTACTGATATCTCATAGAAGTAAATGATCCAGTGCTGCAGGGAAGTCAACGTTCTCACTGCTTAACATGAGTGATAAATGTATCTACAGTTGTGCTCAAAAGTTTACATACCCCGGCACAATTTTTGCTTTCTTGGCCTTTTACCAGAAAATATGAATGATAACACAAAAGCTCTTTTTCCGCTTACGGTCAGTGGTTGGGTGAAACCATTTATCGATAAACAACCGTGTTTTCTATTTTTAAATCATTACGACAACAAAAGACACCCAAATGACCCTGATCAAAACTTTACATACCCCAGTTCTTAATACCGTGTATTGCCCCGTCTAACATCAATGACAACTTGAAGTCTTTTGTGGTAGTTGTGGATGAGGCTTTTCATTTTCTCAGATGGTAAAGCTACCCACTCTTCTTGGCAAAAAGCTTCCAGTTCCTGTAAATTCCTGGGCTGTCCTGCATGAACTGCACACTTCAGATCTCCCCAGAGTAGCTCAATGATATTGAGATCAGGAGACTGAAATGGCCACTCCAGAACCTTCACTCTGTTCTGCTTTAACCAATGACAGGTCGACTTTGCATTGTGTTTTGGATCACTGTCATGTCGGAATGTCAAAGTACGTCCCATGCGCAGCTTCCGGGCTGATGAGTGCAAATTTTCCTCCAGTATTTGCAGTAAAGCACAGTCGTTTTACAATAAATGGTTTCACCCAACCACTAAGTATGAGTGGAAAAAAGATTTTGTGTTACCAGTCATATTCTCTGAAAAATGGTCAAATAACCATAGGTTCTGCCAAGGGTATGTAAACTTATGAGCACAACTGTATATTTGGTAAAGAGTGAAAAATAGATGAGCATATATTATGTGTAGAAATCCTTATTGTACTGCTTAATAACACTCGCTGTTTTGATGTGTAAGGATAAGTGGCATTCATCCAACACTGTTAATCTCATTTACTAGTTTAACTCCCCTGTAAGTGCTTTGTTATTGGTTTAAATGGCGTTTTTAGCAGGTGAATCCATCACTAATTAAGTCTGAGAACGCAGCTCATTGATGAATGATGAGATAGTTATAACTGTGTTTATAAATTACATACAAATGGGTGATAAATGCCTTATAAATAATGAATAAAGTCATGCTAAGGTAATTCCTTACTTAGTTTACCAATGGGTAATTGGTAAAAAGTGTTGTTATATTTCTGCTCTTTTACTAGCATGTCTGAGTTTGGCTCAAAAGTCTCTCTGATTTGAGGCCACTAGTAGACTGTGATTTCTCGGCAAATATAGCTGTCAACATGTTTTTCTAGAAGCACTACGTTCTCTACTGTAACTGTAAGTATAATGGATAATACTGCAAACCCAGGATGAAGTTTTCTGAGTAGTTTAAAAATGTATGATGACCAGCAGGGTACATGAGTGTCAATCCATCTTTTTATCCCAGCTTGCTTTTAATGATCTATATCTCTGCGCCGAATCCACACACCCACACACAGAGAGAGAGAGAGAGAGACAGGGTTCGTGGTTATTATTAGCTCTGGCCATTAATCTATCATCAGGTCAGACCAGAGACCATTTTGCCTGTGTTTTATTTACTTTACCTTCGAGTGGAATCCAATGAAAGCTTTCCAGGTTTGGACAGCTGAAGTTTACCGCCCAAGCAGACAAAAGACACTGAAAGCTTCCTGGTATCTTTATTTGTCTTCCAGGAAGAACCATGCATGGATGTGAATGCTGAAGAGAGGTTTAATTCTTGCATGAGGCTTTCTGGTCCTGAGTGACTCACTGCTGATGTCAAGGGAATTCATTTTATAATCAGAGGCCTGCTTCATCCTCCAAGGTTTCCATAGTTGCAGTCTAAAGAGTACCTTTAGTTTCAGTCTTTGCAGCATGAGAGAAACATAGTTTACATATAAAACATGCAACTCTGTGTGCTTTTTGTACTTCCTCTTTTGCATCCAAATACAACTGCAAGGTGCAAATATATGGTAATCATCCCCAAAATAGAATTAACAGACGGCTCTAGATCTATTTATGTATTTGTATGTGAATATTTTCAATGTTGTGTTTGCTTGCACTCTTGTTACATGAATTTCAACTGTTGGCACCATTTTTCCTGTCATAGGAATCTTTACCTATGAAATCGTTTTAGTTCCTTTACTCTAAACAAACATCTTTCACAGTCTGCAATCCACAATGTGAAGCAACATCTGCAATAAAACATCAACATGTTGCTGAAATTCCCCAGAGCGGTCCAACTAAATGCTGAATCTACAGGCCATCTTTGGTGTTTTTTGTGGCCTCTGGAGGGTCTTCCTTTTAGCTGGAGGGAGAGGATGAGGGGAGCTGCTATCATTTTTGTTACAGTCCACAGTCTTGCAGCTTCACACTTTCTTCTCCTTTAAAGGATTTGGTTCATTATAAAAAGGAATATAACAGCCAAGATTTTAAAATGTAACTAATCCATGGATTTTGCTCATTGCTCTTTGCCTCAGCATATAAAGTAGAGGCTGTAAAACAATGATGGGAGCCAATAATAGAGCCAGTGGTTTGGTCCAGTCTGCGCTTGGTTATTTAAGGTTTTACGGAGTGCTGGCCTGGTTGAAGCGTGGAATGTGGAAGAGAGAGTGAAACACGGGGACTGAACTAACTGGATGTTGAGGGAATGTGGACTCGGAAAGAGGTAGAGAAGCTTTCCTGCACATGAGAACAGGACACTGGTACACGACTATGCGAAGTGTCCTGTTGAACCAGTTGGGTGAGATTGAGGGGAGCGTGAGTTCAGCATTGTTAACGGAAGTGTTTGCAGAGGGGAGGTCATGATTCAGTTTGAGTTTAAGGACTTTAATACTGATGTATATTAACTGGCACAGTTAGCATGAGGTGTTTTGGTTTGGTTTGCTGCTGATTGAGCCACAGATCAGTGCAATAAGAGTTACAGCCTTTAGACTCTGACTATCTAAATCATTCGCTCCTTTTTGTTGTGAGTACTAGTGTGTGTGTGTGTGTGTATCTGTGCTTGTGACATACCCATTGTATGAGCATCGTGTATCATATGAGAGACCATGTCCACGATGATCACAATCATGCATCTGATCACGAGGGCCAGGTCAAGTTGAGAGCACTTCATTATTAACCCTTCACTAACTGCTGCAGAGTAAAACCTCAAAGGGGGTAGGCCTCTCTCTGTCTCCTCCTCCTGTGTAAAAAAAGAGGGGGATGCACTGAGTTAATGTATTAATGCATTTTAAGTTTCTGCATTTGGCCTCTTTGCCCTTCTGTAGGTATTAAACTCTCATTGAAACACCAGGATGCAGTCTGGCTGTGTAAATAAGTGTGTGAGAACATTTTTGTTTGGTTAACATGATGGCACAACTGCATGTTGGCAGGGCTGGGCGATAAAACAATAACGATATATATCGAAAACATTTCCCTCAATATCAAAACAAAACATAGTCAATATTTTTTTTGATAGCCAGCATTGTGCCATGTTTATGTAGACTATACAAATAGCCAATGAAAAGGGGAGTTGCTCCAGGTCCGCTTTGTGCTGAACCAATCATGTGCTGAATTGGAACCAAGTAGCAAACAACTGTGCAGTAGCAGGCTGCAGCTACACGCAACCATAGCACTTTAACACGTGAAGCTGACAGCACTGTTGTTTGTGAAAAAAAGAAAATGAGTGCTACCCCCGACAGAAATGCAGATTAAGGCTCAACAGATGATGACAACGTCGACAACACTGGCACAAAAACTTCAGTGGTGTGGAGGTATTTTGGTATTTTGAGGTCGCACATGAAGCAAAGTACATGTTCTCATAAAGTTTGGGAATACCTCAAATCTTTCTCACCACCTGAAGCAGTGCCATGCGGCAGAACACACACAATGCAAAAGGTTACAAACCCCAAGCGGTATCAGTGTCAGCATTGATATAACAACAGGGTTTCTTCTCATGCCTTTGCATTTTTTTTAGATAATGAAAATCAAGCTTGCTCGCTTTTGGTGGTTGTTATGGCTACAGAACAAAACCAGCCAAAAATGATATAACACTATTGAATATCTAATGTTATCGTATATGTTTTTGTGTCTCCCTGCAGGACCTGGTCAACACGGCTGCTAGCACCTTCTTCTTCTTCTTGTCCTCCCTGGTGCTCTCCTGCATCAACCACAACACTGGAGCTGAAATAGCAGCAGTGGTGGGTAGTCATAACAGTTCTCACAATATAACATATACAGACATGAAAGCTGCCAGGCTTTTACAAATCTCCTCTTCTAATGCATTTTTTTTTCTAAATCAACAGTTCAACAGCGCATGCACATACAAAAGTGCACTTATTTGTTCCTGTTTAATCTCAGTCATTGTTTCTCTGCTTCCTGTTTCTACTTGTATGCAGATCTTTGGCTTCCTGGTGACAGGTGTGTACGGGATTAACACCTTCCTGGCGGTGCGGAGGTGGCGTCTTGGCAATGGTTGTCAGGGTGCAGCTCAGACTAGCGAGTACATTCGAGCACGCACCGCCTCTCGTGGAGAGATGGAGGCGAGGCCTGAGCTTGCATAAGGACAAGCAGACAACAGACGGGCTAAGGGAAAGCCACAGTACCGGCAGCTGACTGAGATGGACACTGCTCTGCTTTAAAAACACTTTTTGTCCAGAGTGGAACAGCCATGTCAATCTCACACAAAATGCATTTTCTTTTAATCAAGACACCTCGGCTGTGCTTTCTTCCTGCACGGTAAAGGAGTGCATGCTTGTTTCACAGGCACAGATGAGCTCCATGTGTGGCTTTGTTTATTTCAGCAACACACACAGACTGTTAAGTGAAAAGCAGGAGTCAGATCTGTAGGTATTCTCTCCGAAACTTTTCATCCATCAATATTTCTAAATCTACGCGGAGGACGAACTCAATGAAAGACTTCCAGAAAATAAAATATGTGTGGACTTTTATTTGAACACTAATAGAGTTTCACTGTGAAAGAAGGTCAGCTTTTCTACAGCTTCTGCTTTTTTTCCACACTGCTTTCTATGAATCTGTGGTGATAGATCAAGACCAGCAACCCACTGTGACTCACCGAAGCCTGTAATCCAGCTGAAGTACCTTGACTTTACTGCAGACAGACATTAGATATTAACTCAGGCTGTCATCATAGTTTCTCCTTTTCAGCTTTACAATCACCTTCATGACCCTCCGCCGTGAATCCCACTAGAAATGGCAGAACAGGGTTGTATCCTCTGCAATAAACACAAGGAGTGTAGGCTAAAGCGAAGTCCACTGTTGTGCTTCCTGCGACCATGGTTTTGAGATCTATGTGAGGTCAACACTGTGAGCTTAGGGAGGTCAAATCAGGCAAAAAAAAATAAGGATATTGGCATCTTTTTCTTTTGCACTTGTCAAAGGCTTCAGGTTACACAAATGTCAACGTAGCGTTTGTGAGATCTATCTTAAACATCAAACATCTTGATCACTAACGGTGTTCAAGAATAACGCCCTCGGCCTTTACACTATCTCAGGTATGAACTCATCTTTCAATCTTTGACTCTTCAAGAAAAAGGAAAATCAAATACCAGGGTGCCTCAACATGAACGCTGTGCTCCTTTATGCCTTCAAATTTATTACACACGATCAGATAATCTCAAAGAAAGGAATAAGAAAATAATCAAAGTTAAAAAAAAGATGGAAACACAGTACAGTAACTGTCAGTATCACAGCTTTAACTCTTTAACTAGAAGTAAATCATAACACAACCTCATGTATTATTGATTATGATAACATTCCTCATCACAGCTGCTATAAAGCTTATCCATACAGAGAGCAAGCATTCCTGACATTCCTTTAATCCTTCGCTGTTTGGCCAGTGTAACTCGAGGAGGCGTGATCTTGAAGAAATCAGTTTCTTTTTCATAATGAAGGCAGAAAAAAAGCTCATGTTACTTAATTGATGCGTTAAATTGTTCTAGTGTGTTGAATCTACATTACAGCTACAACCGTGTGTGTTTTAGTTGTTCATTTGAGACCTCGCGACAACTATAGAGGGCTTCAGTGAGTTTTTCCAGGGTCAAAATTGACTCTACAGCGCCACCTCCTGGTCTTCATACGAAATGTGCTTCTTTTCACTTGAGTGGACCAACTGTATTACTCTATAGTTACAGCCGCCTGTACAGAGGGTGTGTGTGTGTATGTATGCCTGCAAGGGTGGACCAGAAATGTTTTTGACCACAGTTGAAGAATGAGAAATAAATTGTATAGCTTATTGAACAGCTGTAAAAGTTGTAACACTAACGGTCTAACCCGATTTTTCTTTTTGTTTTTTGGTAATTTATATCGTGTTCATCTAATGCTTTGGTGACTGTAGTAGTTTAAAGCCCGGACAATCATGTTTGCTATTCTGTGTGTTAAGACCGATGGATTTGTTTCTGAGTCATGTAAAAAAAAAGTTCCTGTAAACATTTGTACAGCAAATTTTACAGCACAGTTTTACAGGTGCGTTTCAGTGTACTGTGTGTTGATATAAACTGACAAGCATATTTGTCAAAACCTTTTAAGCCTTGGCCGTTTCTGTACAATGTTATCACTATAGAATATTATGAAGAAATACCCTCGTTTCTATTTTAGGCCATAAAAAAAGTAGACTGAAGCTGACTGTGTGGATGAAGTAAGAGGTTTGATGATCTTTTGTCTCCTTTTTATACTTTGAGTTTTGTCAGTAAATACAGCAAGGTCAGTTATATATGATTCGCACCAGAGTATAAGTTGCACCAGCCAAAAAATGCATAATGAAGAAGGAAAAACATAGACCAGTGTAAGTCATATTTCTTGGGGGGGAAATTAGTTTGTAAAATCCAAGACCAAATTATATATTTGAATATATATAAGTCACACCTGAGTAAAGTTGCAAACCCAGCCAAACTATGAAAGAAAGTGCAACTTATAGTCCGGATGATATGGTACTCACACGGTAGCATGGAACCAAACTTTTAATATAAAACATCACAATAGACACTTTATGGTGACAGTATGAACAAAGTGCACTTGGACACTATTCCAAAAAATTCATAACTTTATTTGAACTTTAGCACATAAGTGCCAAACAGTGAAACAAAAAAGGTGGTGTATTTATTTATTTATTTTTATTTTACATGATGATGAGCACATGAAAATATTCCCTGATTACAATAAGCCAAGGAAACTATTTTCACTCTTTGTACTGCAGGTTTAATCAAACATGGTTAAGAAAGGAGACATTTTAATTTCAATAATACCTTCAGTATTGCTCTTCCTGTTTTGCATTATTTAACTTAACCAAAAGAAGGCACATTGGTGAAAACAACTGGATACAACTTTTTGTAAAATGTTCCTTGCCTTTAATATGCCCAATGTGCATGACGATTAGAAAACCACATTGACATACAAGGTCACTGATGGCAGTTTTCAGTCCCCTTGAGTGGTGCAGTGTGTACTAAGCAAACAGTCACTGTGGCATTTTAGTGCGTCTGATTTCTCAGTAGTGGCGGTGGATGTGGTTATAAACCAGTTACCGAAACTGAAACCAATAGGAGTTGAAATGCAGTTCAAAACAAACAAAAAATATTCACATGTGAGATATTCAGTATTAAACTAAATAAGTGGTCTCACACACACGATCAAGCACATACAGCAAATAGAAATGTCCAACTGTCCAAGAGAATTGGAAAAAAGTGAAAATGTTTCATTTTTTTCTGTTTCTGACAACCATACAAATAAAAAGTGACATCTAAATAATGTAAAGACAAAGAGAAAGTCGTCACATTAAAGAGTGACGAGAGTTAGATGGAGGTTGTTACCAGCCAACCTGCGACCCATCTGCCCCTCTTTGTTTGAACATACAGTATATGGTATGTAGTTTGTTACTGTTGGACCTATCCATGTGACAATGCCCCACTAATAAACTTTGGTCCTGTTTTTTTTCTTTCCATTTTCAACAAAGCATACTTTATAACGTCTTCACAAAGTTTATTAATCTGGTTTTGTAGTTCATGTCTGTAATTAAGAAAAAAGGCACAGGCCAAAGATTTAATGCTAGTCATTATTCAAGATTGTATCACAGTCTCCCACATGTGGATCCAACATTTAGCTCTTAAGAGCTGAATAATGTGACAGAAAAATTTCACAGCTTTACAGGATAATTATGTAATTTATGTTTTTCCAAATATGTTCAACAGTTTACAGCTTGAGCAAGAAAAAAACGGACCAACTTTTCTTAAAAGAAGACTGCATGAAAAGTTCATATGAAATGAAGTTCATTGAAATGATTTCGACTGTACAAAAGAGTTATGTAACCTTATGCCGGAAAAGCACTTTGCAGATGGCAGCTCAACCGCGGTCATCTGTTTCGATTTGATTACAATAATCAGCTGCTGTTGATCCTGGTAGTCTCAGTCTGAATCAGAGTCTGAAAAGTCATCTGGAAAACAAATATAAGAGCACAGCTGTTGTTAGAATAAAGGGCAGTGCTCTGTGGGTTTTTTGTGGAGCAGTTCAGTCCAACTCTGCTGGTTCAAGAGAAGTACAAAAGAGAGAAATAAACAGCGTACACAAGGGGAAAAGTTTGAGTAGGTAAGTGCAACTTTGGCATGTTTAACTGCTGCAGGGGTAAGTTCACTGGCATAAGTTTAATTATGACTGTCAAACCTTGCAGACAGATTCCTGAGATTTTAATACAAAATGTCAAAGAATGAAAGATACAGTATATGGTTTATTATTAAACATGTATTTTCTTATGGATATATAGTGCTCAGCATAAATGAGTAAACCCCTTCAGAGTTGTCAGAAAACCTTTAGTTTCCTTGAAAAATCAACATTTTCTATATCAGACTATAAAAAAATACTCCCCCAAATGTAGGATTTTTAAGGTGCTTACAAAAAATATTTTTTCAGTTTAATATCAGGATGCAAAAATGAGTACACCCCAATCAAAGTTCTGGGAGCAAAGCTAAATTTTAGTTACCATATCACCCTTATTTTCATCTTATGGTAAATAAAATGATTTGTTAAACTCAGGAAATTGTGCTTTTGCTCATCTAGATATTGAGTCATACATTACTTTTAATAGGGGGTGTACTGACTGATGCTGGGCACGGTATGTCGGATCTTTGTAAAGTGTTACCTTGCTGTCTTGATGGTTCATCATTGGACTCCCCTCCTTGCTTCAGGAAATCTGCCAGCTCATTAAAGATAAGGTAAAAATCTAAAGCAAAAGCAATGGTGGCAATGAACCCAAACACCTGCAAAGAGAGAGAGAGACAGAGAGAGAGAGAGAGAGAGACAGAGAGAGAGAGAGAGAGAGAAAGAGAGAGAGGCGTTTGGTTTACAGAAAGTTCAAAAGCACAGCTGAATTAGGATCTGAGGTGATGGGACAAAAGTGATGGTGTGATTAAAAACTTCTACTTTACCCCAGCAGCTCTAGAAGAACCCTCAGAATATTTGGACACTGCGATAATGGAGATGATGAAAAAGATGATGGCGGCGGTCACACATCTCATGAAGTCCTTTGAGAGGAAACAAAGACAGCAGGGATTCAAAGGAGAAAAATCATACCTCACATGTCCTTCTCTCAATACTTCAAAGAATATATCGAATTTTACTTGAATTTTTAGATCTCACCATAAGCGGCCAGAGGAAGCCTTTAAACCTCTCATTGAATTTTGTGGAGTAAGCAAACAACAAGAAGAGAGCAGCGAGGAACTCCAGCAGGGGGACGGTCACGAAGGCTGCTGCTGTGGAGGCCGCGAAACACACGAAGGACACAAAAGACAGAGCCTAAAAAGAATTTAAAAACAGAGGAGAAAGAGGTCAGTGTGTTAGATATAACTGTGAGGTTAAGACAGAAGCTTCAAGCAAAAACTTCTCCATGAAAAAAACAGTTGGTATTTTTATCAGTTCTTTTATCAATTAGTTTATTTCCTGATCTTTCCCTTTTAAGCGAATTTACAGTGCCCTAAAGCTGTGACTGAGTGAGACACAGCTTCAAACCAACTTCCTGGAAGGAGATACAGTTGTTAAGACACTATGTTTATTCACACAGGCTTTTACGCGGCTACACTAAATCCCTCTGGCCTCTCTTACACACTAATAGAGCTGTTAAAACAGCTGCAGCTGCAGTCCTGTGAAAACCACCGCTACTGAGCGGCCTGTGATAAAACTGCAGATTAAAGAAAGAAATGTTTCGAAGAAGATCTTCCAGCAGTTTTACAGATGCAGAGTGAAGTTTGTGATGTTCGGATGTAGCACTGGACCACAACTGTAATACAACACACAGGCAACAGGACTCAGCATGATCTAGAAAAACACACTCATCTAATTATTTATCATGTTTTGTAAGAAAAGTGATATCAATATTTTTCTTTCTTTGAGGCGTTTTTATGAGTTGATTATTATTCACACAGATAAGTCACACTATCTCTGGGTATTACATTTCTGATTACAAACTTATCTGATAACCATTTAATCCTCAAATTTCACTTTAAAACTGGATGTAATATGTGCAAGCCTCATCTCTTTATGGAAATGTGCAGGTACTAAAAGTAGTGAAGCTTGTTTTGGATGCATGCTGACTTCAAAACTCACACTGAATGTCATAAATTTAAACAGAGAAGTGTGGCAATGCATGCTTTGGAAAATGTGAATACTTAACCAACGTTTATTCAACATGTAGCCCTTGATCAACATCTTGTTTTCATTTTGAGAATATTTCAGAGGTAACAAGAATTCTGCTGCATGTTCAGTTAACCTGCTGTGATTTCACATTCCTTATCAGGACTGTTTCTGGCTGAGACCCAGGAGCCTAATGAGAGCTACACCGTGCTCTGACACACTGTGTATCATAATGCAGGCTCAGCAGGATAGGAGTCTGACTAATACTTACAGGAATGACAGAGCAATGAGCTCTATGTGCCGTCAGGAGGAGGACATATGTGACAGTTTAGAGGGTTGACATGGCACCGACTTTAAACTATGAATTGTATCAGCAAAACAAAAGCACTGTGATAAAATATTTAACCCTAACCATTACAGAAACACTTCAACAGTACACAAGCCAACTATGGTAAACACAAGGGATGACAGTATATCATGAAGATGATATTTATCACAGAGTTTTGGATAAAACCTCAAGACATCGATTAAATAAGAGTGGAAGAAACAATCGATACAGCACAGTATCGCGATGTTTTGTCTGGTGATATATCGTATCGTCTCATCCGACAAGTATTGATTTTTTAGAGTAATTGCTAATATGAACTTTGGTCTATAATAATGGAAAAATGAAATCAATTGTTTGTTCAGTGAGGTTGGCAGAGCTGACATCATAGAGCAGGAAAAAGTTGTACAACAAATATGGCAGCACCTACATTAGGAATGCAAGCAGGGCGCGAATGAGATACACATGACACATGATACACATGAAAATAAAATATTCCATCAATAAGACAAAAATAAGGAAAAGCTACATCAACTAAGCAGTTGAAAAAAATGTACAAATAGCAATAAATGGTCTCGCAATACTCAGTGGGGCGGCAGTAGCTCAGGAGGTAGAGCGGTCGTCTAATAACTGGAAGGTTGGCGGTTCGATTCCCCCCTATCGCAAGTCTGTCTGTTGTGTCCTTGGGCAAGACACTTAGCCCACCTTGCTCCCAGTGTGTGTCCTCCACTGGTGTATGATTGTGAGTGTTGTGTGGTGGCGGTCAGAAAGGCCGTAGGCGTAAAATGGTAGCCACGTTTCTGTCAGTCTGTCCCAGGGCAGCTGTGACTACTAAGGTAGTTTACCACCACCAAAAAAGTGTGACTGTGTGAATGAATGAATGATGTATCCAATGTAAAGAGCTTTATGAGTCTCTGATGAAGCTCTATATGAAATCTGATGCATTATTATTATTATTCAGTGTATCTCAAAATGTTTAAAATCGTGATAATATTGAATCGTAGCCTGAGTATCATGATAATATCGTATGGTGCGGCCCACCTCTACTATTTAACACAATAAATTAAAACCTGTGTCCCTGAACCCTTAAGTTAATACTCAAAGGAAGAGGAAGAAGAAGAGGATGATGATGATAATGATAATGATGACTGTTATTATCTTTATTATTATAACTACTATCTTTCTGATCTGCAGAGGGATGAAACCCAAACGATAGGTTTGGTTTAACATACCAAAGGTTTCACATTTTATCTTTTACTCAAAGGAACCGTCATCAGTAGTCAGGATTGTGTTTTGGTGGTTGACCTTAAGAAATGTGGGTCAATGTGTCAGGTAATTCATTAGGTATCAGAAACTTCAGAAACTTCACCACATTGTTTAAGTGTGGGAGCTAACCATGTCACATCTACAGCGTTGTGTAATTTGTAATATCTATACTGAAATGGATGCACTGACAATTACATCCAAGCATATGTTAATATGTTAATATGTTCACAGCCAACACTGAAATTTTGCCAACAGTTAAGAGCAATCTTTGGATCACCCCTTACATACAAACTGAAGGCAAAAGTCTCCAAGATGGGTCTCTCATATCATGGATCAATGAGTAGAAGTTGGCTTTGAAAGCATTTGGAGGCAAGTATCGGTTTTATTTGACCAAAGAGTATTGTATTTTATCTTGCTGTACAGCACTTTGAAAACCTTTCGAGAGTTTCGATAAAAGGGAAAGAAAAGATGTATAATTCCTCTTATATGCTTACAGCCAGGCTGCCCCAAGAACTTGAGTTCAAGAGGCGATAAAACAGACGTGTGAATGTGGTGTGATCGATTCTGTTCGTGGTTCATGACCTAAATAAAGTACAAGTTACTCTAAACAAAGATCCTTGCTTAAATCACCCAACTGAAGCCTAATCTTGGCTTTACTCTGTGGTGTAATTTCCCCCTGACTTAAGTAGATACATCACATCACAAATGTCCATGAGCTCTAAGTCACATTACTCCCTGCAAGTTTAACCCCTGTGTTCACCCACACACAAAACAGGACACAGATATGCCGTCTGTGGAGGCTGAGAGGGGGTTGAACTTTGGTTTCAGAAACTTTTAGCCCAGGGCTGGAGATCACAGTGACATTATTAAGCAGCAGTAAAGAGGCTGTAGTGTGTGTGTGTCCTGGTGTGTGTGTGAATGTGTGTGCAGACTGAGCTCAAGGCTACATGTTAGAGTAACAGGGAGGAAGATGTGACTGTAGAGACAATATGTGCTCTCTCTTACAGTCCAACATGAGCTCTATGTCACATGATCACACAGACATAGGGGTTTGCACAGAGCTGAGTTATAGCAGGACGACCCCTCCAACAAGCAATGAGTGATATTGATATTGATAATGACCAACATCAATATAAACATTATGTCAACTTCTGCCAGTTGAAATCTAATTTAAAAAGTGCATACTATTCAGTTGTTGTTAATATCAGCTGATTGTATTGACACATATTGAAAAGTGAAGAGGAGACTGGTGGAGATTTGTCCCGTTATTTAGCTCCATCACTGGCAGAACAGACGATGAATATCCAAAATGTCCCTGTTTAAGTGTTATCTCCAGTCCATTGTTTCTGCAAACCATCACTGCCCCTCCCTTTCAGATGGAAAACTTGTGACGGGAACTGACTGACCCATTTTCAACATGACAGTAAATCAGTCCGGATTAGTAAAAGTGAAATCAAGCTTCTCGCTGCAACATACACAACTTTTCAAAGTCGCCAACTTGAGGCGCAGCACGCTTGACTAAGGACGAGTAGACGTGCATCAACAGTTTGAGTAGTTTCATAATCGACTCTTTTGGTCATTTCTTACCACTTCAGCAATAAGCAGCATGCCTTTTCGTGAGGAGACGAACTCTTTGCTCGGAAGAATCGAGGAGAGGACAGTTTGGCGCGGTCGAGTCGAGCTGGGAGCCTCGATGTCCCCCATGGTTGGAAGAAGAAAAATACTTTTTAAGTCTCCTTACGCTTCTGGTAGCACAGAACGAGAAGTTGCAAATTCGAATTTGAGGCAAAAACAAGAGATGTGAGGAGGCGTGAGGCGTCTTTGGAGGTGGAAACGGAAACAATGACAGTGCGGAAACGCAGCGCGAGGCCAGCTCCCAAGAAAAGCGCAACATCTGCTTTCTCCAGATGTGAAATGCGATGCCCCCCAGCTGCAGAGCACACAGCCCGGAGCCGCTCAGTGGAAAAACCCAATTCATGGTCTCACATGGCACAGAAAATCTTTATTGACATTTGTTTGCTCAACAAAATGTATTTAAAACATGCAGACATGTTTGAAGTTAGGAGCAGAAGCTGGAATCTTAAATATGCTGGAAGGTCCTCAGACTTATTGCACCACACACCCTGATAGTAAGCTTACTTTTTCCAGATTATAGGCCATATGTTATCACTGGATGTTTAATACACTTTAACATTTTACTACAATTCATGCATTCATTGCTTGTCTTCATTCTGGGCTTCACTTCTTGGCTTGTTGAATGTGATGTTCTTGAAAAGTGTAAAACTGTCCACACACAGCAGACCAGCAGTCAGGAAACCAGCAATCTGCAAATACAAGGCAGATTGAAAAATGAATGCATCATCAACACACTACATTATAGGGGGAGAGTGGGGTAAGATGAGCCATTTTTCATGTTTCAGATCACTACATCAAGACAATCATAGTTTTGTCTCTAACTAGTGTATCTGCAGATATTTCAGGATGTTGACCATCCCTGAAAACCAACAGAATGAGTGTAAACAGAACTGTCTTGATAATAAAGCATGACAAAAAAGTGGTCTCCCATGGTCAACTTATCCCGTGTATGGGGTAAGTTGACAGGGTGGAGTGGAGTGGGGTAAGTTGAGCCGTATCCCAGCCCTCCCTCACCTTCTCTCTCCCTAAATAACAGTCACTTCTTCATATTCATGTGTATTTTTTATCTATTATACGCTATTCAACTGGTACAATAATTCTTTTTATTATTGCATATAACTGCTGAAAAGCTGTTTTGTAAAAAGTCATTGTAACATGAGAATGTCTTTAAATGATTCAGAACATTCACAGCTGTATTTTAGGAATGAAAAAGTCAAACATTTTAACAATCTGAACTGAAACTCTGATCCTCTCATCAGACTCTCGCTCAATTTACCCCAGAACGACTACTATAACTTCATTAGTCCTCTAAGCTAAAATTGTGGACTTCTATGATATGTTTTTGACCTCATGTTGTAGCTCATAGATACCACAATTGATGTATAAAACAAATTTAAAATGTTCTTTTTTTGGTCTGAACACAATTCTAATAAAAACGTTTGACAGACTAAATTCACTTTCAAGAGTGAAAAATGTTCACCCATGTGCTTCTAACCTTCACAGACTCCATGAATTGATGCCCATCTCCTAAATATTTAGTCACATGATCAATTTCCTTTAACAGGAGGTGGCTCAACTTACCCTTTGGCTCAACTTACCCCACTCTCTCCTATCTGATGACTGTATGGGAGATTGTGACTGCTCTGAGGCAAATGCAGATACATGAAAGAGAAAACCATCCAAGAAAAATGAGACAGAAAAAGTTCTTCTCACCCCTCCGACCAGCGTTCCTGTGACTGTATATGTAGTCACAGCCAACAGGCTCAGGATAATGAAGTAGACCGCTGCAAACGTTGAGTTGAAAACATCCTGCAAAGAAGAACAGAGGAGAACCTGAGGACATGTCTGCTGCGTGCACAGGGAGATACATGATCTGAATCAGACATAAACAAAGATAAAGACAAGTGTGATGATAGTTTCCAGAAAACACCACTCACTACGAGAGGCCAGAAGAAGAAAGTCAGCCTCTTGTTGAGTTTGAGCATGTAGAGCAACAGCAGAAGTGAAGTGATGAGAAATTCCAGCAGTGTGGCGGTGATGTACTTTGGTGCGGGAGCTACACAGAAACAGATAAGCGCCACAAGCAGAGTCCCCTGAAACAACAAAACAGACCAAACCAAGAGAAAAATCATCAACAAAACATTTCTTTAGTCTTATGTTGTCAGGTTCTTGTACAGTTAAATGACTTTTACTGAGCTTTTAACTCCGAACCGTCTCTTCTGTTTAAGTTTTAACCTTTATGCAACATGTTGCTTCACCTAAATAAAGAAAGGGGAACTGAGTTTGTTTCTACTTCCACATACAAAAGAGATTCAGTTTTGTCTTTAGCCTCTAAAATGTTCTACACTTTAGTGATCTGTCGCTGCAGTCAACCATGAAAACACTATCAACCTAAATGTTCAACCGTCAAGTTAAGCTTCACTTCCACTCTCAATATGAGACGGTTTCACCACATGAGTCACCGGGCATATCGAGCTATAGCCGTGTATCACTCTGCAAACTGATCAGTGTTTTTCTCACCATCTCTGCTTCTTTCAGGATCCCTCTCTTGGATTTAAGAAACGCCGTGTTCACTTCCATAGTCATTTGTTTGTTTTGATCCTCGGACATGATGATTTGAGTTTATCTGAAAAAGAAAATTAACTTCGTCTGTTTCCTGAAACTATGCCCGTGTAGCTGTAAAGGAAATGACTGCAAGAGAATGTGCAATATCTGCACAGCAGCAGCTTCTGCGTTGAAAGCAGTTTAAGAGTCTTCCTTAGAGCTTGACAACCAGATACCAAAACATTAGCTAGATGATAAACAAACACAGATTGTGCATATTGACTGTATTAATAGCCTGTGGTTTTGCAACCGCATTTAAAAGACACAGAACTGATCCCAAAGTGCAAATTGTGAGGTTTATTACTTTATGCATGATCACATTTAACACATTCATTCCCTTCTCTAAAATAATAAAAACTGCTTAAACTGGAAAAACAATGCTCTCAACATTTCGAGCTCACATACAATCATGAGAATAAAAACTTTAAAAAACAGTTTGCATCATTGATTCAATGTGTCAAACTATAAAAAACTCCCTTGATTGTGCAAAGACATCATTTTCACATTAACAATTTTACATATAATTTAAAACTCTCATGCTTTTAAACACGAGTTTGACTGATTTATAGGAAGGCACATCTCTGGCGTCTTCATCCCGGCGTCTGGTGCAGCAGTTCTGCTCTCAGTGCGGCCAGTCACACTTCTTGGGGTCAGACTTTGGCACTTTAAGACACTTTCCTAACTTCTCGCAGCCTGCAGGGGCCCAATTCTGTGACAGAGAGTGACAGTCACCATCAGCACACAAATATCAAGCTGTCAAAGATATCATTTTGTTGGAGGATGTGTTAAAATTCTGATCAAATTAAGCTCATTTACCCGGAGGCTTTTGGCTATCAGACAACCACATATATTTGAGAAGTATCTGTTTCTTTTCTAAACCATTTCTTTGATCCTAACTACAGTATGGCTGCAATATGTATATACTTTTTTGAAACGCCCATAAAACGACATTAAATGATGAGAATGACTAATGTTTAAACAGGGTTCCTACACAGTTGGAATTGCCATACTTTTAATTATTTTTAGAAGTACCAAATTTTCTTTAATAGTCTGGAAACATTAATATTTACTTTATTTTTCCTTTTCCGGACTTTTTTAAGACCTGGAAATTGATCAAATTTATTTCCATACTTGTGTAGGAACCCTGTTTAAATCACATCATAGTGTACAAACAGGATTTATTGAATACTATATATTTTAACCACAAGGGGGCAGTGCTGCACTACAGATGAAGCTATGGTCATGTGTTTCACAATATCAAAGTCGTGAACAACTGAACCTTTGGGTGCCTCAAAACAATCATAGAAGACAGAAAACATACGGACAGACACCATGGTAGAAAAGTTGTTAAACACTTAATCTCAGACAAGTGGGTGACTTTGAGCTTTATGTAAATTAAAAAAAAAAAAAACCGAGAAGAAGGCTTGTTAAGTGATTTTTTTTTTTTTTTATCAATCACCTATTCATGAAAGCCGTTATTGTTTTCAGTCATAATTTTACTCATTAGATGTTCGAGTCTGATGAAGAGAGCAGAGAGCGATGGAGCTACATGCCCTTTCTAAAAAAGAAAATGCAGTATCTGCTGGCTGTGGTCCACTGCCTCTAGGTAAAGTGGGAAAAGAGTGTGCTGTTCCTTACAGCGTCTCTTCTTTTCAACATTTTTTTAGATTTTGAAACAGAATCATCCTCCGTTAAGTGTTTTAATGAATCTCACCATCACAGCCACGTCACACATGTTGAGCTGTGGATATCCGGGCACCAGGGTTTTCTGATGCTGCAGCACAACTGGAGTGATCCTGCTCAGGACATCCTGGTACTCTTTGGTCAAAACACTGCGAACATATAATCCATAAAGTCATGACAAGTTTGATTATGAATGGAACATCATATCAAGTTTTTGTCCTAATGTATAATAGTGATAAAAGGCAGGAAAATCTGAAAAGGGTGTTCCTAATCAATAAAATTTATCCTGAATGATCAAACTTTATTCAGAGTCTTAAAAAAGCATAAAAATGACAGATGGACGAGGTCTGGGGTCTTCAAACCAGCTAACACCTCACCTCACATGAACAGAAATATAAACACACTTCCATAAGTGTTGTTGTCTAATAGATCGCTCTATAGCACAAACCCACAGGGACACAAACACTGCCTGTTTTCTTTGAAAAACTGGAGTCACTTTTCCTCTAATACATCAGTTATTTTTACATAATTGCACGTCACACACACACACTAACACACGCACATGCACACACACACATGCTGCCCACTGTGGCACCCTTTGGAAAAGCGCACTCAGCAGGGTGAACCATGTAACCCCTCTCCCATCCCCTGTCTCTCAATTACTGCTGTTGGACACCAGTGAGCTGAGCACCTCTGTGCATTATTATATTCAGTGTGTAAAACACAGGGGCCCTGAAGGCTTTCAAAGGAACGCTGCTCTCAATAGGACCTGTAGGGTTAATGGGCTGCGTGTGCACGCATGTATGTACGTGTGTGTGTTGGGGGAGTGGGCGTCTGGTGGCGTGACACGCGGACAGACAAATATCAGCAGTGCAATTACACCCCTGATACACTCGCAGGCAGCACCTGTGCCAGCCTTCCATCCTCTCTTCATTCCAAACCCGGCCCTCTGATTGGCCCCCGGGGAACATGTGCATGTGTGTGAGGTGAAGTGTCAATTAGAGTAATAACCCCAGGCCCTGGCCAGCTCACACCCACCCTCCCCCTTAGATCTCCCACAGGGCAGCAAGGCTTCCTCCATCAGCCAGCACCTGCTCCTTTCCCCGATACTCTCAGTCTTTACTTTGCCCTACAATTACTTGACTGGTAGTGAGTGCACTGGCTGCAATTAGACTCTCTCCTGGTGTGCCACATTCGTCATAAGCTAACTATCTCCACATCCTGACCCGAGCTGATGGAGGAGAAACCAGATTACTCCCCTTGGTTAAAAATCAAACATTTAGATTAAATTGCTTCGGCTATCTGAAATCACAAACCGTGCTTTTGCCCGATCCCAATCAGCGGGGGGATATTTCATTCCCCCTGCTATCTGTGCTTGCTGCTTATTGTTGTGATTCACTTTGTGATAAGTGATGAAGCAACTTAATCGAAGCGAACGCGAGGAAGATTTATCTGGCTGTTTTAACCGTTCACTTTTTCTGGAAAACTCTGCAAGCGAAGCATGCCATGTGCTGAGAGGCTCGCATAAAGTTTTCCATTGTTTTGTCTATGCACTAAGAATCGTACAGTGCAGACCTCTAAATCAAAAACTAATAATATCATTTGTTTATGCCCCCTCTGCAAACAAATAATAAAAAGCCCACAGTCAGCATGGCTCATTATCATGATTATAACCCTTAGCCTACTGGTGTACAGGCAAATTCTGGAATAATAAGCAGGCTGTATGCAAATCCAGTCTTTTGATTTATAATGTATGGCACCCAAGGGGGACGGGGGCATTGCTCAGGTGTGTCACCACTCTGATTACTGATTCATAACACTATGGCTGGAACAGACACACACACAGACACACACACACGCACACACAAAACAACACAAACAACCACACAGTAGCAGAAGGTGGGGGAATTGAGGAGACAATCAAATACATCTGTCCTGGCCGCCCCTCCCCTCCACCATGCTTCTCCACCCGGGTGGAAATTGAGCACTTCAGTAAGGACTATTGATTGGGGACACAAGAGGCTGGTGGCAGGCAGCAGATGAGGCCACACTGTGCGGCAGTGCCTGCAGTGTGAGTGCTGGGACTACACTCTGGATGACCGCAGGGGCTCTGGAGACAGGAGCGGAGGTGGGTGGTGAAAAAAAAAAAGTAGGATGTGTTAACCTCAGAGCCTGAGGTCACAAAGGTGGAGGGCAAAATGGGAGGCAGGGAGAGCCTTTGAACAACTCCGGTGGGAATCTAAAACTCCTGAGTAAGGTGGAAATAGACCGAGCTGGGCTTGTGTTTCCTCTTGTACCATCAAAATCACGCCTCGTCATCCTCCAACTCCGATTAGATTTGTCTAAAACTGCACCGACAAAATCCTCCTAAACTTCCTCTTAGATTGCATAATTACAATCTACACTGTTTCCCTCTGTCTGTGTGTGTTTGTGTGTGTGTGTGTTTGTGAGTGTGTGTGTGTGCTCCTTGCTGTATCACAGGCTGCGACAGTAGTGAAGGTATGTGTGCAGACAGGCTCTACATCATCTTAAGTGGCTCTTTAGGTGCAGACAGAGATTAATGACAGCCAGGCAGCCAGTCCAGCTGGGGGAGCGAGGAGCACACGGACAAAATGCAGGCGTGCACATGTTCATACACACATGCACACACACGCACCAATAAAAATACTCACACTGTTTACAAGGATGGTGGAGAAAGGTCCCAGTGGATGCAGAGGGACAGCAAGCGGAGCATTGAGGAGTGAGCGAGTGAGTGAGGTGAGCAGGAGTGAGATGTAGAAAAGAAAAAACAAAATGGCACAAAGTTTGAGGAGAAACAAAAAGTGCAGATTGAAGAGGATATAGAAGGAGCACTGCATGAGCAGTAGGGGTGGGAGGGAAAATCCATTTACATAAGTATTGCGATTTTTTGTTTTGCAATTTTAAAACGATTCTTATGTTAAAAATACTTTTTCCCCCCCAAATTTAAGAATAAATCTTAAAAACTAACTTGCATGTGATGTGTATTTTTTGGGGAAATATGGTTCTTGGAATAGTCAGTAGAAATCCTAATCATTCAACTGTTTCACTGGTGATAAAAATGCAGACTATTGTAATCTTACGCAGGTAAACACACAAACTAAAGACAGATACTTGACTTAAATACATCTTGCAGCATCAAAGAAGGCCATCACGAGGAACTGGTGTAAGGAGAATCCACCCAATCAGAAAAACTGTCGGGACATGGTGGAAGAATTATATGCAATGGAGAAATTAACACACGCTCTGCAACTCCAGCAAGAAACAAACACCCGAAAGTGGGAAAAATGGATCAAATATAAATCTATTCACATTACTTTAAAAATGGATGATTCTGATGGAGGCTACATGGACAATTTTCTTTTCCTCTTTGTGATTGTGTGTTCTTACTTATATTTTTCTTTGAATGACTGTATGTCTTGTTTCTGTTAGGTTTAAAAAATAAAAATAAAATTTAAGTTGAAAAAAAAAATGCAGACTAAAAATCGTGAAAATTGACAATATTGTAGAATCGCAATTTAAATCGAATCCGCATCCAAAAAATCGTAGAAGAATCAAATCGGGAGAAAAGCATATTGTCCCATCCCTAATGAACAGCAGAGGAGTTTTACAGCTCGATGCCCTAGGTTTGACCTTTTAGACAAACTCACTGACCCCATCAGCCATTGACCACAGATTGTGTGTTCTTTGAGTGCATCAAGAACCAGAATCACTCAGCACATAGTTGTGTATTGATTGTTTTCTTCATTTTTGCTTTTTTGTGTGTCTTGCAAAGCTAAAAGGTATATGCATTTGACTAAAAAAACATTCATGTTTTATCATTCAATCTTCCTTCTAACCTAAAAGAAGCTTAAGGAGGCAGAGAAGAAAAAAGACAAGAGAGAAATGTAGGAGGCAGAAGAAGAAAGGTCAATCCAGGAGGCAGCGAGGAGCCCAAAAACAAATGCTCTGTCATCAAAGCAATTTTGAGATTATCCTAATGTATTAGCCATGGTGTCATCCTGCGTAAAACATCATATAAATAAACTCCACAGGCTGTATGCATGCAGTAAAGGATGATGCACACATCCATCTTTGCATCCTTATTTAGTAATAATCTTAGTTCAGCTTCTGCAGTCTGTGTCCTCTGGCATCTTCCCCCTCAGCGCTTCTTAACTCTCTTCTGAGCCCAGGCAGAGGAACGCAAAACTCCATTAAACAGCATTCACTTTCAATCTAGACCTGAACAATTTATCTAGCAATTTTAACCTGCAGCAGTGCACCCAAGGGTTGGAGTCCAGATTGAGATCTTTAAGGAGCTGTTTGCAATCACAAAGAGGAGGGTGTAATCAGGCATGCTGCGGCTGAGCGGATCAATCCTCTGCCTTCTTTTTTATGCCACTGAATCAGCATTGATCTCAGACACAGTCTGCGTTAGCAACAGGCGTACTCCCTTCCTATTCTCAATCCCTGACATGTCATCTCCTCACTGGTTCCTCGTTGACATCCTCTTTAATTTAAAGAGCTCACCTGATTGGGTATTTTTCCCCAGGATCCCGTCCCAGATGGAAAATGATTGGCTGCATCGTGTGCTCTTTCTGCTCATGAGTCGTCACTCCTGGGACCTCTTGACCGGGACAGAAGTTGATGCCCTACCAGAGAGAGAAAGAACAAATTCTTTTTTTAACAATATTAAATGTGTAATTGAAATTAAGGACGAAACGACACAGATTGTGAAACAGATTAAAAATTCACTCAGAACAAAATTGACATTTCAAAACTGTTATTTTTAACTGCTGTGTGGGGGTAGGTACTCCAAAGGAACTGCCTTAGCTAGATTAGTAAAGTTCTCGACTATTTCCAATAAGTGTCTCCAGACCAGAGCTGATAGATTCAGAGTTTTTGAGACAAAGATACTTGAATTTTCTCAGAATGTGCCACAAACACGAGAGTAAAGACATTAACATCGTCAGTTTGGTCATTTATGTGTTTTTGATTCTTTTAAATGTGAGTCTAAACTCATACAATGAGGACGGTTTTCTGGGTTTGATTGTGTAAAACTCTAAAAATTTACCTACATTAGAGATCCAGATGTAAAGGTTTAGTCTTGCAGCTGTCTGCCTCTCTGATCTCAAAGTCCTATTTTGTAGGTTTGGCTCATATGCACGCTGATCTAATGTCTGTTATGTTATTTATGCCACTTCCCTTAGAAGTTACAGATATTCAAGTCAATATAGGGCTGGGTGATATTGTCTTAAATCAATATCATGATATATTGATCAGTTCACCTCGATAACTACTCCACAGGCTGCTCACCCCCTCCCACATTAACTTCGTCTACTTCAGCCGCTCCAACTTTTGAACCGTCCTCCATCTCCTCACATGTCTTTCCCTCTTTGTTACGGACTGGAGTCACGTCTCTGATGTAGGACAGCGACTTAAAGGGATATGACACCATAGCCTACCTACACACATCCAAAAACAACTTTTATTTATTGATTTTTTTGACACCTAATATACCGATATAGGCAAAATGATGTCTGTTATTGTTGTAAATTTTGGAATCTGTAAATTTTCAGTTAATCGCCCAGCCCTAAGTCACAGGACAAAAAAGAGGACTTTCCCTCCTTGTGCTGCCTCTTCTCCATCTCCCCACCTCTCCACGCCCTCGCTCCTGCTCCCTGACTCCATTCTCATGAGCCTGGCAGCGACTGCAGCCTGATTGAGTCACACATACACGCGCTCCTCCAGAACCCCCTGGAGATCTGCCCCCTTTCTCCAAAACACAAACACACAAACACAAGCACATACTTTTTGATGAGCACAACTAATATTGAGAAAGCATTCATCTGTAAGGCCCTTTTGCTGCCCCCCCTCTGAGAGCGCTGAACAGAGCACCTCAAAATACATATAGAGAAGAAAAAAAGAGAGTAAGACGGGTAGATACCCCCCAACACCCCCCACCCTTCACCCCGCAGAGCCTCCTCTCATCCTGACTCGTCCTGTCTTTTGAAGCCAGCAGCTTAGAAATGCAGAAAGGAATGAAAAAGAAAAAAAAAAAAGAAAAACTCATCCCAGAGGAGCAGTCAGAAAGGCCTGCTGTGTGTGTGTGTGTGTGTATCTCTGACTCTGTCTCTTGTACCAAAGACAGAACAGCAAGAAGTCCATATCTCCCCTGACACTAATGCTATGGATACAACCAGGCTGCTTTCAAACCAGAACAGAGCAGTCATTGCTACAAGATAAGGTGCTGGAGCATCTAAGAGAAGGAGGATTTTTGAAAAGAGAAGATTCGGTGTCTTTTTTTTTTGGTTCATGGACGAGTATTGAAGAGGACGGCCACTTTATGCAGGTCTTAGCTGAATATTTAAAATAGTAGATGCTGCCAACAAGTGCTCTCTTAATCGTGTGTGTGTGGCTATATTTGACATATTGTACAAACAATCTACGCAGAGCTTTTATCAATTTCTGCAACAGAACTGCTGCTGACATTTATACGAAATAAGTAACCAGTTTAGGGACTAACTGTCAGGGAAACAAGCAATTTACAGTTTTCATTTATAGCCTTGGTGACGCTTTCACCAAGGTTAAAAAAGCTATTACAGCTGCTTTCCAGCTCCTACTGTAGCACACATTACTCAGCAATCCAAACACAAAGGAGCCACAGTCACAGCAAACTATATTTCACAATATTAACATCAACTCGCTGCCTCAAGAGAGTTTGATGAGAACCATTTAAGCCTGTGAAATTTCTCATTTTCCTCATGGCTGAGCTGCATGAACACAGTCAGAACGGAGCGAGACGTCTCTCAGCTATTAACCTGTAATTTTGTTCTTCTTCACAGACACACATCTTCCCTTGTTTATCTTTTTTTTTTTTGTTTATTGTGGGCTAAGAAACCCAAATCATATTTTGTAGTATTTTTAAAAAATCCAAAGAGCAAGAAGGAAAAAACAGGATTTTAAGGTTTGATAGTAGATAACTAGTCAGAGAAATGGTAAATTGAGGGTCATGTGAACTTTCTTAAGCGTTGCATGCAAAGTCTAAAATTTAAAACAACTCAATATGACCCGACAAATCAGTTTGTTTACATTTTTATAAGATGTATAACACTTTACATGAGACAGTTCAAGGATACCCTCATAATCCCATGAAGCATATACTGTAGAGGCTCCATAAAAAACACGACATGCTCCTCTCTGCAAAGCACAGAACATACGCATGCATGTTATGTCTTGTCTTCTCTCGCTTTCGCATGTACAAACACACACACACACACATACACACCAATCGATAGGCAACTCACAGGCAATCAGACGCCATTATTTGTGAAGTTCCACTTCAGTTCACATGAGTTGATAAAGGAGGCTGCTATTGATTCAGCAGCCCTGAAGGAGAGAGCAATTTAAGCGGCCGATGGGGCATAAAACAAACTGGATCACAGGAAAAGCAGAGCCACCGAGGGAGGACAGGAGGACATGTTTTTATGGACAGAAAGGAGAACCGAGGATGACACTATCCTGCCTGTCAAGCATCAAATAACATATTTCTCCTGATGCATTTAATCAGAATAGAGATGATGTGATTATGACAGAGAGATACTGCTGGCATCTCTTTTCTTTTTGTGCCCTGTGACGCCAAAAGAAGAAGAAGAGTACAGCAGGAAATGTGGCTATGTAAATGGAGAGGAAGAAGATCTCCACTGGAGTTCGAACAAACAAGTCAACCGGCTGATGAATGATGTAAATCTGCTGGTGTGGGGGCTCTTCATTAATATTCATTACGTGCTGATGTACACAGCAGTCAACTGATGAGCCATTTTCAAGATAACTCCGACGGAGAAAGTGTTTGTGTGTTTGAGTTAGATTAGAGACCAAAAAAAAAGGGGGTAAGACACTGTAAAAAAGCAGCAACGGGACAGAAGTGGTGTGTTCAGGGGGAATTGTACCTTTTTTAACTCCTCCCATGAGTTGCTCCAGGTCCAGTAGTGTGCTTTGTATTGTCCGAGTCTCACAGCCATGAGCTCGTTCCCACGGTAATAGAAGATTGGCCTGTTGAAGAAAGGGGGGGGTAAATATGCTCCATTTAGTTCTACCCTGGAGGTTTTACTGAAGTAAGGTGGGAAACTCATCCTTCAAGTGCTTTTGTTATGATTTATAATGTAATTGTTTACATCTGGACCAGTATCAAAATATCAAATTCTGGCTTCGGGTCTATATAACACGACTGGATGTCTGTCAGGAATGTGTTGTACAACTCTCTCAATTGGGACAGTATTGAGAAATATTTGTACCATGAAGTAAACGTTGAAATTCAGCCAGTGTTTCACTCAAAAACACCCTTCCAAACCATATTTCTGTACTAACAATAACTGGAAGTCGTTGATAGATTTTGTGCGTCTGCACAAAATTCAAAGCAGTACTTTTGATAGTTGTTGAGACAAACAAGAAGATGCAGAAGTTGTTTTTTTTCTCATTTGTGGACAGAAAAAAACAAGAATTGTGGACATTTTTGCAAATTCATCAAAAAAGAAAAACTATTTTAGATACGGTTATTAGTATCGAGACCATTTGTCGTGACACTCGTTTATTAAACACAGGTGCTGTCCATTTCTTCTGATCATCCTGGAGATGGTTCTACACCTTTACTGGAGTCCAGCTGTGTTTAATTAAATCGATTGGACTTGATTAGTAAAGGCACACACCTGTTTTCAAATGAGGCCCCATTTATACATAACTGTTTATTTTTAACAGAGACATTAACCATCGTTTGCACCCTTCGTTAAGATGCAAACAGAGAGTTCGCCCCTGTAAACGATGATTTTTGAAAATGACGGCCAGAGTGGAGATTTTTGGAAAAACTCAGTTTGCTGATTGGATGTAGACAGAGAAAAACTGAGGAAAATTGAGATTTGGGTAGCCGATGGCAAATTGTGCGCAGGGAAGAAGGAAGGGACGTTGTTGTTGCTATGCGGGATTCTGATTGGCTAACGTAGACTTGAGCTTCTCACTACACTGCCACCCACAAGTTTGATATGCTCTTGACGGCATATACAGGTAAGTGTAATTGAAAACCTCTCTGAAAACAAAGTGGTGTGCACGCAGTTTTTGTAAACGGAGAGGGTGAAATGTCTGTTTATGAAAATATTCCGGGCACGTGTAAACGTAGTCTAAGACTCATAAGGAACTGCCAGAAAAGTTTAGAGACAGAATTGTGACGCGGCACAGGACGCACTTAAGGTTCCTAAGAGCACAGTGGCCTCCATCACCCGTAAATGGAAGAACTGAAGAACTGTGGGATGACCAGAACTCTTCCTAGAGCTGGCTGTGAAGAGCCTTGGTGAGAGAAATCAAGAAGAACCCAAATATCACTGTGGCTGAGCTCCAGAGATGCAGAGAGTGGTCCCAACAGAAGACACTTGAAAGCCCACATAGAGTTTGACCAAAAAAAAAGCCCACTATGACTATGAGACGATGAGAAATAAGATTCTCTGGTCTAATGAGACCAAGGCTGAACTTTTTGGCCTTAATATTAAGCAGTATGTGTGGAGAAAAATGGTTGAAGGAAACATTAGTGCAGCCAAGTACAGATATCCTGAAAGAAAACCTTTTCCAGGGTTCTTAGGGCCTCAGATTGTGCCGAAGGTTCACCTTCCAACAAGCACACAGCTACAGTACCAAAGGAGTGGCTTAGAAACAACTCTGGAACTGTTCTTGAAAGTCCCGGCCAGAGCCCTGACTTAAACCCAATTTAGCATCTCTGGAGAGACCTGAAAAACATTCACCGTCCATCCTGACAGAACTGAAGAGGATCAATTTGCAAAAATCTCTACAGTTCTGTGTAACACTTCTGCTACGCTCAGGGTACTCATGAACTTTAAAAGTAGAATTCATGACAGCTTGGTTTTACTTACCTGTTTTGGAGGGTCCGTGGAGCCTGTGACCCCCGGAGCACTGGTGTCAGATCTAGACCATCAAGGATTCTATCATCAGGAGGGCTGATACCCGCCAGAGCCAGACTGGTGGTGAACAGGTCCATCACATTGGCCAACTGGAAATTCACCTGAGGAGGGAAAACTAACGTAAAAAACAGCACCACCATTTGCAAAATTCTGGAAAAAGTTGAATCGCTAGAAAGAAGTGAAAACTAAGACTCAGTGGTCACTCACAGGTGTGTACTACCCACTCAAAAACATACACACTATTTGAAGGCAATATCTGTTGATGGTATTACTCGCAACTGGTGGAAACATAGTTCATGAAAGTTCATGAACCAAGAGGAAGATTTAATGCTGCAAGAATACCAGAGGCACGCTCTTTCTATGCATGCCTTTGCAGAAAATAAGTAGGTGTTAATGAATGTATATAAAAATAAATGTATGTATGCATAGTCATTATAGCATGTAGGAAACAGATGCACTTCTTCAGTCTCTCCTCCAATCTCTGCTTGCAGATTTGTTGAAAAAAAATCCCTCCATAATGCTTCACTTTCTAAATGAGTTTCTTAGCAGGGGAAGCAGAAAGGAAGAGTGAAGTTAAGGAGGGAAGGAAGTAGGGAAAGGACAAGGCCCGGGCAAGCAGGCGGCTGAAGCTGGAGCGAGCTGGTGTTTTATCTCCTTCTCCCAGTCCCAGTGAAAAGCTTTATTTTATTTATAAACTTTGAACTATTTTCAGATAAAATGCCATTTTTTCGCTGTCATCCTTGATCTTCCGTTCCATTCTCTCCTGAGCGAGCCTTAGAGGAAGACGGCACGCTCACAATCAGATAGCACTATCAGGCCTCTGCAGCTGCACCGCCATGTGCCGCTGTGCTCCTATCGGCAGCCAGCACACACACACACACACACACACACACACACACACACACACACACACACACACACACACACACACACACACACACACACACACACACACACACACACACACACACATATACAAGCTCTTCCTAAGCACTGAAATGAATTCCCCTTTTCTTCTGTATCCACAGAACTAGCCACAGAAAAGGCTTTGCAATGCATTCCATGATCTATCTGCACATCCAGACACTCTTTCTTGCACACACACACACTCACATACACACACACACACAAACACTAACAGATTTAGACCATTACTTCTTTTTCTAAAGTCCCCCTCACACAGACACAGACACACAAACCACTAAAAAAGACAGGACAAAAGGACACAAGAGGAAGCTAAAATGACATTTAGTTGGTAATAACTTGCAAGTCCCAAACTAAAACTTTCACACTGTGACTTCTGCCCTCGCTCAGAGTTTAAACTGAACTTCATTCTCTCTCCTCTCTTTCTTCTCTCCTTTCTTTTGACTGACTCATCTCTCTCTATTAATGTCACAGTCTCTCTCCCTCTTCTTTCTCTTATTTCTTTCTGTGCTCTGAGTGCTGATGTTGGTTATCTGGGGAGGCAGTGCTTCCATCCCTGTCTCTGCCTCTCTGCCTGTGTGTCTGCTGCCTGATAAAACACAACAAAAGGGATTGTGACACTCGACAACATTGTGGGGCCGACAACTCCCCTTCCACGATGCCCACCTCCCCATTCTTTATTCCTGCGGCCACCATCGGCAGCGTCACCTTCCTGCAGCTCTGGGAGAATGCTGAATGTGCACCTGCAGCCATGCTGCTTCATTCCAGCACACCTCCATCTAACTGAATACTGGAGACGTATGGCTTAATGATCATTTCACGCACATTCACACATTAAATACCAAGTTTGGTCACCAATACAAAGACATTTTTTTGTTTTTCAAGGTGGGTAATTGTGTGTAATTTAGCAGTATTTAGCAAAACAGACTTTTCAAAATGGATTATTATATCGTAGGATGACTGAATTTACAAATCACCTGAACATAAACATTTTTTTGATTCTGAAAACACTTTTATATCTACATAGGAAGAGGTGCTCCTCCACAGAGGCCACCAGATTGCACCACCATGTTTCTATCATACTGATAAAAATGGGGGATTATAATAATTATCCATAATGAAAGCTTCTTGACCTCTAAGGACACTGTTGCTGCACCAAAAAGAGGGATAAGCAAGGGAGTGTTTTGATCTTAGATCTGAATACTGCCATTAGGATGCAGATTGTACTTTTAAGACATGTAGAGGTGTTTTTTCCTATTTCCAAGTCCCCCAAAACTTGTCGCTTTCTTCTTTGTTCCAAATGCATCTATCAGTACAATAAAATCTGCTGGGATCGCTCTTTTCAGAGGCATTGATGGCTGTTTGTTCTCTTCAGCCTTATGAAGCTCAAAGAGCTTACGGACTTTTCAATGCACAGATCAACGGCGATTGTAGAAGAAAACAAAACGAGAGACGGGGGCAACCCTGTGTCTGGTCTGTCCTCCCTCTCAAGCAGCGCAGTGATTAATCCAAAGCTGGAGAGAACAGAAGCTCCAACAATGCAGCTTTGTCATCACAACCCCAGAGAGCTTCAGGGAGGATCTATTGATCCAGCTGAAACTGCAATCTAAACATACACGTCCTGTAGGTGTTTCATGGTGATCTGCAGTGGTGTCTCTTTGCAGGGAGTAGAAAGATATCCCTGAGAACATATACATTTATATATAAAGCATGCAAGAATCAAACAGAAGTGACACATGTATACACAGACACACTGGTCAATTATAATGTGGCGCAGGTGCAGCAAAGCCCTGCAAACACATAAATGCTCCTGGCAGGGTGGCAGCTCCAGAGTCTTTAGCGCTCCTCTTCCTCCTTTTCTTTTTTACTTCTTCCTTACTTCCTTTCCTGTACCCCCCTCCCTCGCTGCTCCCTCCAACCCTCCTTTCCTTTATCCTGAACGCCTGGCATATTCAGATACTGAAGTCCTCATTACAGCTCAATCCAACCTCAGCAAACACACAAACAGATTAGCCGCTTAAGACGCTCCCAATCCCCCTCTCCCTCGCTGCTCCGCTGTGCTATCAGGCCCCAGCACACCCCTGTGAGATGAGCCAGGGGCAAGGCTTACTGCAGACTGCAGCCTCCGCTCGCTCCTCCACCAAATCCCTCTGCGTCACAGCCCTGTGTCACAGCTGCCCCTAATACAATTAAAAGTCATTTGCAGAACGCACAAGCTTATAGGATCACGGTGTGGGTGGGGGGTTAAATTGGGGAAGGGGGAGAGGGACAGAGAGGGAGAGAGAGAGAGTTTTGGGCATTACTTCCAGCCAGAAATATTTGAGGATCCACAGAAATAAGCACCCACACGCTCCACAGACACAATCACGCTGTTTATCTTCGCTGTTTATGGAGCTAAAATCACTCGATAGAAGTTTGACAAAGTCAAGATTAACTGGTTTCAGCAACGGCAGATCAAAGTGCGCGCATGTAAATAGGAAAATGATACAAACAAGCAACAATCACTCAAAGAAGGGATTAGTGCAATAATTATTCCTTTACTCTCAACCTGCTTTACAGTCCTTTATACCCCCTACGGCTTTACATAGAGCCCGTCAGCTCCTGGTACCTGTTGATAGGAGGAACATTAGGGAGCAACAATGCTCAGAAGACAAAAAAACCCACCGGCTCCTGTCCTGGATTTAAATCTAGTCTCATGAGCAGATTTTAGGGTTTAAGTGATTGATTATTTTGTTTTGCTCTTTAAGGCTTTATTGAGTACAAGCTGCAAATCACAGGGGTATTCTCACCGTGCCCTCTTGGATGTATCCGGGCCACCAAGCAATCGCAGGCTCCCTCATACCGCCTTCAAAGGTGGTCTGCTTCCCACAGAGGAACGGCCCGTTGCTGCCGCCTGAGAAGTCAGAGCCACAGAAACACGTGTAACTACAAAACAGATCAATTTCAAGAAGAGGAAAGAAGTGATTTCCTACCTTGATTTGGGCCAGAGACGAGAGCAGCTCCATTATCTGAGGTGAAGAAGACAAGGGTGTTCTTATCTACACCTAAACTCTTCAGCCGTGACAATATCTGACCAACGCTATCATCTAGTTCCATCACCGCGTCACCATACCTACGGAGCAGAGAAAATCATAAATCGACTTTTAATGTGCAGGTGTGTGTGTGTGTGTGTGTGTCAATCACAAAGTGAGTAAGGAAGGATGTGATCTACCATCCTCGCTGGCTCTTTCCAAGGAAACGTTTCGAGGCATAGACAGGAGCATGAGTGGCATCAGGGGCCCAGTAGAGGAAGAACGGCCGCTGACTTTGAGTTTGACGGTTTATAAAGTCAAGAGCTTCCTGCAAAAGTCGAAAGTATGAGAAGTTATAATACTGTCAACACAGATGACAAAAGACTTAATATTGCTCCATTTACAGTCCTGATGTCAAACTAGATAATAAACAAACAGCATTTTTTTATGTGTGACGTTGGTCCCCTTTGCAGTGTGTCTTCCTCTACTTTCTGCTCCCACACACTCTTATTTCTCCTGAGGTATTCTGTCCAAAAGATGCAAAAATACCTAAAAACGTTACCTGAAAAACATGCTGATAAAAAGTCAAAATAACACTTGAGAAAATTTAACTCGGGTGACCATATTCTGACTTCCCAAAAAGAGGACACGACTACGCGGGGGCGGAGTCACAGGAAGTTAATTTTGAGAGTTTTTCAGGTCGGATCGAGTGTCTTTACGCGCTTCTAACTCAGTAAGTCCACACAAAATCGAAACTTCCATACAAAACCGTGAAAATTTGAAGGATTTTATAAACTTCCTTGGACAAAGCCGGACAAACCCGGACAGGCCCCCAAAAAGAGGACATGTCCGGTTAAAAGAGGGTGAAAAGTCACAGCTCAAGTCCAGATCAGTTAGAATAAAAAAATAAAACTGATTTTTAATGTGTAAAATATATTTTTCATGTTTTTTAAAGCGGTTTTCCACTCTAAGAGACAATGAGGTTAAATTTATTTCTTTTTTGACTCCAATCAGCTCAAGGTTGAAAACAGGGCGACTACATTTGAGAAAAAGATGTTAAAGACACAGGAAGGGCTCAGCCTACCTTCAAGTAGATCTGCGTGAGGTTCGACTCTCCTGTCTCCTTGTTGATCTTGAACTCCTCATAGTATCTAAAAAATAAGTGGTTTGACAAGGTTAAAAAAATATAGTTTTATGTTAAGTTCACACATCATGCTATTTCTCCTCTTCATATTTAACCACAGTAGTAAATGTTCATTCACCATGGCTCGATTGTATAATAAGAGCGGTTATAATGTGTCTAAACTGACAGAGAAAAGTGCAATAAACAGATTTGAGCTAAACTTCCCTCTTGTGGCGTGTGTTTGCAAAAGACTTAGGAGAAAGGCGTATTTGAGAAGTCTCAGGCGAGCTGAGCAGAGGGAACTGTTATGAAGCGCTGCTGAGGCGTGGAGCGGCGAGCAGAGAAGCAGTGACAGGCATCTCTCTTTCCTACGCTTCACTTCCTCCAGGTGTCTTCACATACAGCCAACACAACCTGCCGTCTCTAGAGGGCGGGAGTGTGTCTCTGCGTATTCAAGTCTATGTGTGTGTGTACGTCTGTCCAGAACCCAGGTATGCAGCGCTGATTAAACCCACGGCTAAGCGAAAAAACACGCCCGGCTGCCAGTTCCAATGACCCTGAATACACATATGGCTGTTTTGGGGAAAACAAATGGGCGGAAAATGGAATACACAAGCACAGCTGGTACAGAGAAGAGAGAGGAGGGGAGACACTCAGCTCATTCAGCCAGCCCGACTATTCCACTGAGTCATGGAGGAGGAAAGATTTTATAGATTTCTCGCCTTTTTTCTGTTTGCTGTCATGTATAGTTGAGAGCTGGTGTATGATAATACCTGCCAACCATCTCAGAGTTGTTGTAAACAGGGATGTTTGGTGTGCTGTTGCTGTTGTAGGGGCCAAAGTGGCAGTTTGGTGCACCAAACCATTCATCAAAACCGTGCTTCAGAGGCAGGTACTGAGGTCTGTGGCCCAGATGCCTGCAGTGACATACAAAGTGCAGTCAAACACAGAACAATCAATGTGAACAGAGTGTTTGAAAGAATTTCCCAAAAAGAAAAACATACTGCTTTTATTTTTGTTGGGAAGTTTGTGCGTTTATTTAGCTTTAGCATAAAAACAGTGTGTGATCTATTTCTGCAAACTCCAAGTTAAACAAAGTAGGTCCACTGAAAGTGCTGAGCTGGGAGTGTGCAATTATAGCTGTGCAATTAAAAAAAAGACCTCACAAGTTGCTCTTTTCCTGACTGCTCCTCTACAGTTAGTCTTTATTCACCTCTTTAGAATTTAAAAGTAATTTCTGAAGAGGGTTAAAAAAGGCACTTTTAAGACTGTTTCTCCAATAAGAGCCACAATATGAGAATTCAAATCAATCAACGGATGCCTAAAAATCATCACCAGCACTGTCAAAAAGTTTGTCCGAGATATCTTAAACATGTTTTTTTAACTTATGGAACTATTTTAATGTGCATATTTATACATTTTCAGCTTGTCAGCATCCTCATGTTAATCCTGGTGTAATAAAGGCTTGAAATTATAGTATGCTTATATTTTATTGCATGCTAGCGCATCTTTCCGGCACACTATCATCAAGTTGCTTTGGTGCTTTCCTGTTAAATATTAACACTCCTGTACTTTTTATTGCTCAGTTTCACTTCATCGCAGCAGCTCAGTTGAAAAGTCAAAAGTCAAAAGTGACCATCAGTTTGTGTCCAACAGAATTCAAACACTCCCCAAGTTTGAGCCACCACCTACAATCTAAACACACAGGTGCAGCTAACTCCGGGCTATGGTATGACAAAAAGTCGGCAGAGTGCCGAAGAAACTTCAATGAAGAAACATGCTGCACATTTTGTACATGTACTACTACATTTTTTTTTATGTGCAACAGAATTATCCTTAGGAAAAAAATAAAGCACTAAACTTTGTGAAAACTCCGAAACGGTCTCCTAACTCGGGGTCATGTTTTCAGACTATGCTGGTGTAGCAGTGGAGCATTTATTTAAAGAATCTAAAAGTCATAAAGTATAATTGAAGGCATCCATTTGATCCTAAATTTTAATCACTAGTAAGGACTGTTACGTATTATTGATATGGACTTGAAATACAAAAGCATAAAATTCAAAATATGCCATTAAAATGTAATCAACTATTGAAATTCAGCATTTAATAACTAGTAAAAATATATTTATTCTTTAACAGCACAAATTATTCTAATGCCATCATTAAAACCCAATTGGTTCATTCACCTATTTTGTGCTGTTTATACATTTTTTTTAAAAATCTTCTCACAGTCACATAATGCATTTTGCTTGAAACAGTTTCTCTAGTGCACTCTATTAGCACTCAAACACATAACTGAAGGATTTTGCTTGCGAATCAGGAGTTAACCAGGATGGGTAAAGTTTGAGTCATTTCAGCACGTAACATTTCTCCTCAGCCAAAGACATCATCAGCAGTCATTTTTAGCATCATATCTAAACTTCAGTACCTCTAAAAACCTAAATTAAAGGAAGAGACTGAGCTCACCACTTGCCAACAATCTTGTTGATATATCCCTTTTTCTTCAGCAACTGGGGTAACAAAATCTCATCCTCAGAGATTCCTCCCACTATTTCCTGTGGTGTGTATGCTATATAAAAAAACAACATTAAACGTGAAAGAACTTCATGTGACTTTACAACAAAGTGGACAATGTTAAATAAGTGATAACTAATCCTACTTTAAGATATTACTTGTTTACCGTTTCTGGCGTGAGCATTAGTGGTGTAAAAACCGTTTCTGACAGGCAGCCTCCCGGTGAGAAGTGAAGCTCTTGCTGAAATTAAAATTACAGGAAAACAAGTTATTAGGATGCATGGATGTTGGTCTATTATTTTTTGTTAGTGAGCACTAAAAGTTGAGACTATTGTAGCTCTTCTTCAGGATAGCTAAAAGCAACAGAAATACTAATTAATTTATCTAGTTAGAAAATATCTGTAGCTCCTGGCAAATGTATCAGAGTACGCTGACAACAGTAACTATTTATTAAGTCCCTTTTTTAAATGTTATCTCGCTCATCACTGCTGTCAGCTATAAAATTCTCAATTTGTACACACAACAAAAAGGCAGACAGCAATATGCTACACTCGTTTTTTTCTTCACCGACTTATCCTCCATTTCAAACATTTACACTCAGCACCTACTGCATCGCTTGTGCACTTTGTGAATATTTCTCTTATACTTTATTCGTCTTGAATATGATTTTTTGTATCCTTATTTTTTATTGTACCCCTCAGTACTTATTGTGTGTTTTATCTGTACTCCCTTAAGTCGAGTGGTCCTCTCATTTCATTGCAATTATTGACCTTGCTTAACATGCACATGACAAATAAACAAATCTTGAATCTCTGTTTTGTATGCTGTATTGTAAACATTATACACTGTAAGTTTGCATGTCCCTTTATCACATATTTTTACCATGTCATTCAAGTTTGCACAGTCAAAGATAGAGAGCCGCTGTGGTTAATTCATCTCTCATCTTAAAACAATAAAAAACAGGAACTGCTGGTTCAGGTGTGTTTGGCAACCCTTTCAGCTGACTCACATGGAGAACACAGTGGGTTAGCTGTGTAGAAATTGGGTAGCAGCATTCCCTGAGCAGCCATGGCATCCAGGTTGGGGGTTTCCTTGGCTGGTTGGCCAAACACCCCCAAGTCCCCCCAGCCCATCTAAAGATATACAGAAAATAACATTGTCTTCACAGCAAAAAGGGTGAAACATAAAAAGTAGATTTGGGTACAGGCTGTGAGATTTAGTAAGATGTAAGGTGATTAAGTGTGCCTTTTTAAACCAATAAAGAAACAGAAGGTAAAGGGACAGAGGAAGGTGTGTGAAACTCTTTCATACCACAAACAGAAAACAAACCAAAATCAAACAGAAAAATGAGAAAATAACTCACATCATCCATGAGCATGATGATAATGTTTGGGGATGAAACATTTGACGGCTTCTCTGTCACAGAACAGCATATTATTGCGCTGAAAAGAGCCAAAATCAGAGCAGACATCTCTCGCAGTGCTTTGCTCTCTTGGTTTCTTGGTCATATGAGCAGCAACTTCAAGGAAGTGTTTGACTTCGCGCGTATCTTCGGCGCAACACTTGCGCATTCACTGTGTCATGATTTATCTGAGGTGCTTACTTGAATAAGTTTGCGTGTCAGTTGATTTGGAGATATAATCAGTTTTATAATATCAAAGTATGGATTTAGTAGAGTTATTAATGAGAAAGAAACAGTTTCACAACATGTAAACGTATTCATTGGCGTGTGGCGCGTTAGCGGACCTCTGTTTACATGTCTTATAAACTTTTAAACCGGTCGGAATAATGTGAAAACCATAGCCATCAAACAAAATTTAAAGTAGATGACGAAATAATACAGTTAAAGCACACAATTGTTTTATTTATTTATGTTTCTGTTTAAAAAGCATACCAGCAGACTCTCAATTATTCTGGTTTTCCGGTGGCACCTGAATGCACCGGATCACGTGACAGCAGCTGACAGCTGAGAGGAGGAACGCTAACATGGCGGTGTGCATAGCAGTGATCGCTAAAGAGGTAATAAATGCTTTTATCCGTGGTCCAATATGGTGCTTATTGAGTCCTTATCAATATTAACATACTTATCTCTAACCCTTAAATAGTTTACAAGTAAATATCAGCTTTCTGTGCTTGTCAGTTTATACAACTGTCTATTCAGGGCTAATGTTTCAGCTAACAACATTAGCATTTTAAAGGGAAGAGGCTGTTTCCTTTTTTTCCTTTGAACTGTATAAGCTGTAAAAACTCAGTTAATGTGTGGCTGTCTCTTTTCACAGAACTATCCGCTGTATATCCGAAGTGTCCCCACTCAAAACGAGTTGAAGTTTCATTACACGGTGCACACCTCTCTGGATGTGGTGGAGGAGAAGATCTCAGCTGTGGGCAAGTCTTTGGGAGACCAGAGAGAGCTGTACCTGGGTCTGCTTTACCCCACTGAAGACTACAAAGTGTATCCTTGACTTTCTGAAGGTGTAGGAGTAGATAAACCTCCAAGACAAGCACTCAGGTGTTTCAGATACACTCTTAATTAGATCATTTCCACTTTTTTGAGGTTTAAATTGTGATCTAAGGGTTGGTTATTACAGCAAGATTGTTAGCACTTTCTTATAAGATCTGTGGAACATAGCTGAAGTAACAGACTAGTGAAGCCAACAATTTCTAACCTGGGTTTTAAGATGGACAGTAATTTTAAACTAGTTGTTAAGTCCAGCTTTTTCCACCTTAGGCAGCTGGCAAATGTGAAGCCATTTCTTGCACGAGCACTTTGAGACAGTAATCCATGCCTTCATCACGTCTCGGCTGGATTACTGTAACCCACTTTATTATGGAGACAGTCAGTCTTCAGTTGCACGTCCCCAGTTGGTCCAGAATGCAGCTGCTCGTCCTTTAACTGGAATGCGTAAGAAGAAGCACATCACTTCCATTCTGGCCTCCCTCCACTGGCTGCCCGTGCATTTTTAGAGTTCATTTTAAGATTCTGTTAATTGTTTTTAAAACCTTAAATGGTCTGGCCCCATCATACCTCTCTGAGCTGCTTCACCCCTACGCTCCTGCAGGTACCAAGGTCTAAGTAGAGGCTCAGAGGTGACAGAGCCTTTTCTGTTGCTGCTCCTACGTTGTGGAACAACCTACTTCTCCACATTAGACAAGCTCCCTCACTGTGCATTTTTAAAATCCGTCTAAAAACCCTCTTTTATTCTTTGGCTTTTGACCCAGCATGAGACGGCATTTGTTTTATTTTTTTATGCTCTTTTATGGCTTTTTAATATATTTTAAAACAACCATTTATTGTTTTATGTTTTTATGTTATGTACAGCACTTTGTGTCAGCTTTTGTATTTTAAAGTGCTCTATAGAGAAGTTGAGTTGAGTAGTGCTTGGCGCTGAAATCCCTGTGATTTACAAAGGATATCCAATTATCGTTGCAGGATTGCAGGATGAACTTTGTCAGTGAAATAGTTTCACATCTGTAAAAATGTTCTTGACAGGAAAACACATTTTGCTACACAACGAAGACTCAGTATTTTGTTGCTTATCAGTATCCTTAACTGTTTAAACTAGATACGGGTACGTTACCAACTCCAAGGTGAAGTTTGTCATCGTTGTTGACTCGTCAAATACATCATTACGGGACAATGAAATTAGAAGTGTAAGTTGATTGTTTTTGGTGGATTTATCCAAATAAAAGCTTCAATTTATTTATTTTTTTAATTTGGAAAATGTCATCCTTCTGTGGTACAGTGTTGATCTTGTAAAGTATTCTGTTTTGACTGACATATACTAAGTCGCCTTTGCATAGCTGCAAGACTGGACATTTTTTAAGCATTTATCAGTATACCACCATAGACAACTTTTGGATCTGGACACCAATGCTTGAGCTTACATGTTGCACAAAGATTCATCAAAAAACCTGGCTCAAGTAATATGTACACATTAGGAGTTGGAGTTTGCTGGATAATATTTGCATTTACCTTTTCAATAACTTTGTTTTTTTTCCCTCATTGCAGATGTTCAGAAAATTACACAACTCTTTCACAGATGTAATGTGCAACCCATTCCACAATCCTGGAGACACTATTCAGTCTAAGTCAGTTCAACTTGTCATTCAAAAATACTGATCATTGATGTTGTGCTGTGGTGGTGATTTTTAATAATTTCTGACTCATTATTTTGCAGGGCCTTTGATGGCATTGTATCTGGAATGATGGTGCAAACAGGTTGACGTCTCTTCCTTCCTCTGAACCTTCACTGTACAGATAATTCTTATATCACTTTTGTTTACATGTTGCCTTGATTTTTGAAATTATTGTGAAATTAAACTTCATTGTTGCGCATCACCTTGTGTGTCATTTTAACGGATCATTGTTTTATTTAATCATTCACTTACATAGCAAAGAACTTAAGTTATACATAGGGGGGGATTCACATTTATATTGCAGGCAGAAACACAGATTCGCATCAATTTGTAAAAACAGTAAGAGACATAAACTGCTGAACAATTTGAAGACTATCCCATGCACTCACAGAAGCTTCTAATGCAACACCTCAGACTCCAGACTTCAGACTTCTTTTTCACATCTCATGTACTTTGAACGACTGATGCAGGGATGCAGTTTAAAAAGTCAAATCATTGATCCTCTCCACCTTTCGCACATGATGCCTAATTCAATAATGCCTGGAAACACTCCTTTAAAATCAGTTCTTTTCACCCATCCTTGTATGTTCACTGTGGGTGGTGCTAGCGCTGGTGAGGGTAGTGCTGCCCGCTTGACCCGGCCCCCAACTCCTCCGATGGTGGGGTGATGAGAAGAAGACAAGGATAACGTTTAGGCACCTGTTCATGGTAGTCCATGTGACCCCACTGTCTCTTCCCCACTGTGGGGCCTCCATAGTAAGGGTGGGGTGTTTGGTGTTGCGGCCTGGTTGACTGGTACCTGAACCTTCCGCGGGAGCTGCTCTGGTATCGTGGTGGACGGTAACCACCTCTGCCTCTTCCGCCTCTGGAATGTCCTCCTCTGTGTCCCCCTCTGTCAGTGGTACTGATGCCTGGCATGTTGGTCCTCTTTGGCAACACCTATAGACATTAAACACTTAGATTAGACAACGCTACATGTGACATTTAATTCTTATTTAGAAAAACTAGTAATACCTCTGAAATTATTTTTAGCAACCTACAATATCCTTCACTGACTGATAAGGATTTACTCAGTCTAATGACTTCAGCACCAAGGATTCTGTCTGCTACATGGACTACATGCACCATCATGTGACAAACTCAAGTCTTATCCTAGGATCTCTTACCTTAAGGACTCTTCCTCTGAACAAGGTCTCATGCAAACCTATAGCACTGTGCACCGAATCCCGATCGGAGAACTCAATATAAGCAAACCTGTGATAAGAGGAAGCAATCTTGGCACTTGGGATACTTACTGATATATTACGTTTCTCAGTGTGACAGAAATAAAAAGATCAAACTGCATTTAAAAGTTGAACCTACCCTTTTGGATGTCCTGAGAACCGGTCACACAGGATTGTGACTCTGTTCACTGGGCCACAGCCGTTGAAATGGATCTCTAGCTCGTCTGCAGTTGCTCCATAATCTACCTGGGATTTGTACACAAATAATGAATCAGACCAGATGTTAAAAGACAACATGCTCAGTATGGAGAAAATGAAGATATTTAAGACTCACATTTCCCACATAGACTGATCTGTTGTCTGCATCTATCCTCTCCTCTGGGGTCATATTGTAGAAAGGTCCTATAGAAGAAAAAAAAAAAAAACTATTTTTCACAGCATATATAAAAACAGTCTCAACAAAGTAAAACAGACATTTAAAATTCAATTTCTTGTACGTTCTTAAACAACACATATCAAACAAGAATCATACTCCCCCTTGATTACATCTGTAATAAGGAGGAGCCAAAAGGGGAAGAAAGGGAGGGCTTGAAGGAGATGTGGAGATGCACAGAGGCAGAAAATAGCCACAGGCAGCAAGGAGGACCCTTCTGGTTCTGTGGAGCTCGCTGCTTCGTCTCATTGGGCAGTGATGAGGCACATGTGAAGTGTCCCAGGTGTTGGCCAGATGGTGAAGGATGCAGTTACCTCACCTGCCTGGAGGCCACAATTCTACACACCTGGACAAAAACTCGCTGTCGAGGCTTCCCAAATGCATAATCAGTGTTAAGCCATACAAGGATATGACACAATAACAAACCATAGGGTAGAGAAGACCCCCAGGCTCTCTCACCAGGTCGAGGACTGCTTGTCAGGAGCTGCATCTCTGCTGCATCACACCTCTCCTCCTCCTCCTTTAGCCTCTCTGTCTCTTCCTCCATCTCTAGCTCCTGAACTCTGGCCTTGATGGCCGCCAGCTCCTGAAACACACAAGAATGGAGAGAAGAGCAGTGAGTTTCTGTTGACTAGAAGCAGAATACTACACTGGAGCCTGAAGACTGAGACTTTAAAAGGTAAACACGAATAATTGATTGCAGAAACAATATGAATTTAACTAAAACACCAACAAAGTAATCAATAAAAGGCTTGTTGTCACACTTTCTACACTCATTTCTTGGAATCAATACATCATATACAAACAACATGTGTACCAGATGAAAGACCAAAGTCTCAGGTATATATTTCATATTCATGTCATTGTCATATCATGTCTCAGTGCAGAGTTATAAGCAATCAAATAGAGAGTGTGAACATGTGACATGTTGCCCCACCATTGGGTAAGTTGTCTCACTACATGGGGTAAGATGTCAGTGGATTTTGCAGCTAATAAAACAAAAGACAAAATTATCATTGTTCTCATTTTTTACATGAATGTGAACATCAGTCAGGCACAGAAAATGTTTATCATTGAGCTAAAGAAAAACTCATTGAACAAACATTAACATAAAATATTGTGCAACATGCTCTGCAGTTTGGAGATCTGTCTGACTCTGTATTTCAGCTGCGGTGAATGTTTCGCAGTACCGAGCTAAGGTATGGTAGTTGACATTAAAGTCCTTTATTGTAGTCCAGATTGATTTATCAGCTCGGGTCACCTGCCTGAATGCCCTCAGCATCACGTCAGGTACTGCACTGCCATGTTCTGTTTTTCTTTTGTTAATCCTGACCATGTCTTCTCACTTTCTCCTCTCCTTTAAACCACTTTTTTTCTGTAATAATAAAGTCAAAATTTCATTATGAAAACTGCTGATGAACAGACTCTCTATGTCAATTTTAATCCCTTTAAACATGTGACAACTAACCCCAAAACGACTGAGACATGTTGCCCCAAACTACCATGTTTGCTAATTAAAGCTCTAGCTTTAAGTTAGCTTAAAACAGAACAATGAGGTAACTATGACAGGATGCCCTAATCTGTCCTCTAACAAGTCCACATGTATCAATGTATCACTTTTTATCTGGAAGAAGCTTATTTTAAAATATATGTTGTGTTTTTTTTTACTTTGGGTTGTGCGAAATGGTTAATTGGCGCTCGTCTCAGCTCACTTTGTGCTCTTCTCTTCTCAGACAGAACACGACCTCTGACCACGTAAAGGAATAAAACTGGTGATCTAATTTTTAGTTGCGCCCTCTGGTGGCACAGATAATTGCAATGTGACAACTTACCCATGTGACAACAAGCCCTGGTCTCCCCTACTTGATTTCAACTTTATTTATTTATTTTCATGTCACCAAACCAGAGGATACTTTCTGAATGAACAGTGTTTGTAGTAGAGTAGATGACTAGAAGCAAGACCTTTTTCAATTCATCACCCATGTGTACAAATAGTAATATGCATGACCTGAATGAACTCCAAACAATGTTTTTTTTTTTACACACTGGTTTAATATCTGAAAACATTATGCACACAAGACGTTTGAACCACCTGGCCATCACTCTTTCAGCTCTATTATTTTTTTTCTTAATTTTTAAATCATGAGTATCTTTAAAAAGCATCAGACACTAACAGGGATGTTGACATCGGTAACGCTAGACAATAAGAAGCCTCCCCGGATACTAGGTCATTGACTCACATGTAAACGGCCTCAAGTCTCAGGACAATACATCTGTAATGGTCTAATTCAACTATTTCTGCGCTTCACCCACATGTGCACCTGACTAGCACCATGCATCCAGCATGTTATTTAGGATATGGCTCAGTCATGTCATTCTCTGCACAAAACGTGTATCAATGGTGATACGATTCACTGCTATGTTTGCGCATACTGGTTCGGTCGTCTTGCTGGCGTATTCATAAAAAGGCAAAACGAGATCGCAGTATCTTCTACACGTACTGCAACACAATGATACCCACCGGGTCCTCGGCGAAATGCTCCCCCATGGACTCGCCCTCCAGGTAGCCGTACTCCAGATGATTTTCCGCCATGGTTAGCTTACTGCTCCAACATGGCATCTGCAAAACCCACTGCAGCTCGCTACGAGAAATCCCTCTCACAGTACGGAAACGCTCTGATGATCCGCAAACGCGACACCTGACAGCATATGAGGTAGGCTAATAGATATCACCTGTGAATGAGACTCATGACGCGCCCGATTGATTGACAGTGGCGCGCACGTGAGAGAGACGCTGGAGGAGGGTTTCTGCATCCCAGTGGCGCAGCAACGAGGGGCCTTCCACCCACTGCTCCCCTCTCCACATTTCATCCAGGGAGTTTTTGTAAAATTAAAGTCACACCAACAACCGGTAAGTAGGCTTATTTGATTTGTGCTAATGCTCTTATATTTTGATATAAAATGAAACATTTGTGCTATGGAAGGTGTTATAAGTCACAAAACAAAGGTTTGTCGAAGAATGTTATTTGTTTGTGTGACTGTTTCCTGTTAAAGGGATATTCTGGCGTAAAATCAATTTAGGGTCAAAAACACTGTAACACTGAGTTAGACACTAGACATGTTGCAGAGCGCTTGCTTCTCTAGTTATACCAACTTTAGTGGTGACTGCACAACAGCAATACAGAGAGCCACACGCTCAAACAAAACGCCACTTCATAGCCACAAATAATGCTCAGAACAGCACCTAACTTCATCAACAGGACATAAAGGGTCCAAGCAACAGCACTAGTCACCAAACATCTTTTTAACTTTGCTTGATTTCTTTAGCAAAGAGACAGCTCACCCACTCTCTTCCAGCAGCCGCTTGTTTTTAGCGAGACCTCGGGCCAGTCCATTACGGATTGCTGCGGGTTGGCGCAGCTCAAGAGAGAACATCTATGATCATTTTTCCATGGGAATGAAATCACACCAAGACACTAAGGCAGAAGAACTACCGCGTCTGCAGTGCAAAATGATTGATATGGTGATTATTACTTCAATTAAATGATAAAGAAATGATCATAAATGTTCTTCCTTGAGCTACGTCACCCCGCCGTAGTCCATAATGGACTGGCCCAAGGTCTTGCAACAAACAAGCGGCTGCTGGAGGAGAGTAGGTGAGTTGTGTTTAGTTTCTTTGCTAAAGAAATTAGGCAAAGTTGAAAAGATGTTTGATGGCGAGTACTATGGCTGGGACCCTGTATGTCCTGTTGATGAAGTTAGGTGCTGTTCTGAGCATTATTTGTGGCTATAGAGTGGCGTTTTGGTTGAGGATTGTTTATGGGTCCTCAGACCGCTGTGTATTTCTATCTTGCGGTCGTTACTAAAGTTGGTATAACTAGAGAAGCAAGTGGTCCGCAACATTCATCTCTCGAGGGGGTGTCTAACTCTGTGTTATGATGTGTTTGACCCTGAATTAATTTTACACCGGAATATCTCTTTAAGTTCTATTTTCTATTATAAGTTTTTTTTTTTTTGTTTGTTTTAATGAGATCTTGACTGATTTATTTAGTTATTTTTGGACAAAAAAAAGTTGTAATATTTTTACACATTAGTTTATCTCATTATCTCCAGATAATAAACTTGTTTAAACTTGTTCAATAATAGGAGGTATAGTAGAATATTTTGGACCATGATTTCCTCAAGGCACTTTCCATGAACATCATCTCAGTGACATCTCCAGTTGGTTTCTGATGTAGGGTTTTGAAGCCGTACAGAGTTGACGAGGTCTTCTTGCCTCTTCACTAACAGCGACTGTATGCCCACAAAGCAGCAACGTCCGGTCTTGGGAAATAAAGCCAATGTGGAAGTGCTGAAAACTGAAGTTACTGTAAGTGCAGAAGCACCAGAAACCACATACACACCAATTCGAATAGACACTTTTAGAGCAAGAATTTATGTTGACACAATGGTTTTAAAAAAGAGGTTTTGCTCTGGTAAAAAAAACAGATGGTTGACGCTGGTGTTGCGTCCATTTATTATAAAGTCCATGGTGCCTACCTATCAGTCGAGCCAGCCATGACTGTAGTGTTGCCAAAGATGTAACTTCAATGGATCTAAATGAATGAGTTATTAAAAAAAACTGTACATAACAGTATGAGCATGTGCAAAAGTGTGCTATTCTGACCATTTATTTAAATCTAGGCTTTAAACATGTTTACTTTTGCAGAAGTGTTGACTTCTTTAAAGGGTTTCAAAAAGGCAACCCCCTGCTGCTTCTGCAGCATATTATATATTCATTTTATATAATGATATATACTTTAGCATTTCTGTATTGACCTTTTTTGTAAAACCAGAGGTTGTTGCTTGATATGCGTCCCCTGTTGTTTAAATAACATCATCCAAAAGTCATCTTAGCATGAAAATGATAAATGATGACATTAGTGAGAAAGTTTTGCTAGAGCTGTACATGGAGGTAGATAAAATGAATTCAGTCAATGTTTATTTCATTTACCATATACTTATATATAGAAAGTTCAAGTTACTCTGACAAACATATGAACTGCATGCATTTTTTTGAGTACAGATTGATTTAGAGACTATTAATTCTACTGTTTTTTGTTTTGTTTTGTTTTGTTTGTTATTCAGATCTTGAGATCCCATTTCTGCAGACACGAGGAAGTGTAATGATATGGTTTATGAAGTTGAAATCATAGCTTTTTGTTAGTGATGACTCAATAACAATAGATGATTTCCCTGTCTTAGAGTATGCCTGTGAGTCAAGAGGAAAAGCACCACAAATAATGAATACTTCATTTCATGTTTTAATTACACAGTTACATTGTTCAACACAGACAATAACCTGAATTAGAATGTTTTACAGCTTCACACATCCAACAGAGCGAACAGTTAAAGAGCAGTATTAGCAACAGGGAGGAAAGCATGCAAGAAATAAATACAAATCAGAATTTAATTCTTCTGGCACAGTTAATTCATCTAAAAACGGCAACAGGACCTTTTGAAGAGGGAAATGAAACAAAAGGAGAAAGATCTTCAAAGCGCCAACCTTTCCTACAGAAACGTGTTTTTTTCTGTAACAATGTATTGCACAATACAGTATAGAATGCTTCCCTACACATATAAAACCTTTTTTTTTTCAATTCATGTAAAGGTAAAAACAGGACCATCCTGAGCCATGGCTTTTTGAGAAAACAAGTGCTGTATCCACTGTTTGCCTCTTTAGCTTTTTACTGTAGCTGTTTATCAGTGCCTGTTTCACAGGAAGGACGAGTCGCCGTCTCATCAGAGGAGCCTTGAATCTTCATTGGTAGAGTTACTGGTTGGGGTAGGGAGAAACAAATACCAACCTGCTAGTATTTGTCTTTTCTAAACATGCATTTTGTCCATTTCATGTACATAGTGAAACCAATAGAAAAGTGGCTGATGTAAAGTGTTCAGAGACCCTAGGATGGTATTCACAACAGCAGAGCCCTTCTGCATTTGCCATCAAAAATATCTTCACAGAGAAAAATATATGACACCTCAGCATGAATCTCATATGTTTAGTGACATGATGAAGCTGACAGACACGAAAACCCTTAACCAAAGAGTAATATGAAAGGTGAAATTGTAGCTTTTGGTTATATTTTGGTCATATATAACAGGTGTATTGGGTTTGGTTTTTGTTTAGTTTGTTTAAGGGCCTACTCGCAGACAAGCCCACACACAAAGCACTGAAAAAGTCGAAAAGCATTGCCATCACACATTATCAAATGGGATGTTTTTACTGCACATAGCTGCTGCTACATATCGTGAATCGATCTGCCACTGTAGTCTGTCTGGGATATTTCATTAAAGCTCTGAAGGTTTCAAGTAGTTTATACAGAGACACAAAAAGAAATATTTTATAATACAAAAACACACACTCTGACACTCAGATACAAACACACATGTAGTCGTTTTATCTCTGCAAGGCTTTGTAACTGTAAGAACATGCAATCAGGCTTATCCAAAATGAAATGCTCCTTTTGTTTTTTTACAGAAGCACTATTCAATGTGTAGCTGCTAGCGCTTTGATTGCTTGAATGAGAAAGTCCACACATTTAAACTCAGTCAGTTAACTCACCGTGCTCTTCGCTCTTATGCCCTGATTGTGTGTATCTCAGACACTTTGGTTAAGTGCTATAGAGGAGCTCTAACCTTATTACTTCTGGTCTGTCGATACACACTGTGTCAAAGCCACACTATGGCGATGCAGAAGTACTTTGGTCTGTGCTTTTATTGGTTTTGGACAAACAATGGCATGTCATGGTTTATTCTGTGTTAAATCTGGAATATGCAGGTTTGACTGTATGTGTACCTCTTAACAAATTCCAGCAGTATCAGTTTGGTTATAAGGATGTGTTCAAAAATGTGAAGTCTGAGAAGAATACATTTTTTTTCTGTGCATCAGACAATGGCAATGCTTTTCCAACTGATTCGTTGAGCGCTTTTTACCATGTGTGTTTCCATGTCTGCTTTCAGCCCAGCTTTTCAAAGTCCAGGTCAACCTCTCCTGGTGGTTAGCTGTATGGTCACAGGAGGTAGCTCGTGTGAGGGGGGGGGTTATGAAGAGTGGTCTGTGGTAGAAGTGGAGGAATCGGACATCACAGGAACAAGACACAAAAAGGCTGAGGTTGACACAATATTAAGGTAATCGTAACACGCATACATAAATGCTACACGTGGATGCAGGGGTACCTTGTAGCTTATCCAATTCTATTTTTAAGTCTCACATAATCCCAAAAATGTTTATTTTTCTCATGTCACTCACTGCAAACAGAAAAAAGAAATATATTTTCAAGTTTGGTCCAAGTGTGTGTAAAGCCCACAATGCAGGGTGTACTATAATCAGTATAGGCTGCAGGTGAGGCTGCTACAGGCCTTGTGTTACTGTACGTAAAGGCTTTGGGGCTGTTTCACACACACATGTCTACAAGAGGTGATCAAATAGCTGGAACATGTGGGAAGAGCTGATAAAAAGAAAATAATCCCTAAACAAGCGTTGCTACTTTATTGGCCTGTAAACAAAGACCTGTCTCAGATCCTTAGCCTATGCCAAGGAACAAATAAACAACTAGCAGTGGAAAAAAAAGCAACATTTTAAAGATTATCTATCAAAATTGGTTGGAGGTTTTCCCACAGCTTAACACTGGCGCATAAGTTAGTCTTATTGTGGTGATTTTTTTTCCTGCATTTCAGGGGGAGACAAACATTCCTATCACACTCAAACACACGGACAGGTTGATGAGGGCCAACGAGGAGGGTCAGTGCCGTGGATGCAAGGATGGCGAGAAACGAACACCTGATGAGATGAATCAAGACGGACATTTTCTAAATTTGGTGTAAAAGAGCTAATCTTTTGTTTTAAGCCTAAATAATTTCCTGCAAGATGAATGACAACAACTTCATTTGGTACGAACTGTAGATTCGATTTTTGTGGGGTTACCCTTACATGATTAATGAGGGGAGTAAAACATTAACAAAATAGTACTTTTAGAAATTTGCGTGTAATTTTAAGCAATGTCTATTCATCCTCGATGTGTTTTCATCGACTTTAAGCTGTTTTCATCTCAGCTGCATGCATTGCAGTCCACTTAAGAGTCCCCTCAGGGTCACATGACACTTTTTCCAGATTTGAAAACTGTTAAAATGAAAAAAAAAAAAAAATGGGATTGGTAAATTTGAGAAGCTAATGTACTGTGAGGAAATCATATTCTGGGTATTAAAGTTTAAAGGTTTCTGTTATTTGGCAAACACATTTTTGGACCTCTTTAAATACTATGTACATTCACATTAAGTTACTGATGTTACTTTAAATATATTTATATGTATCTATATTATATGACACCCTATGGGCAGTTGCTGAGGTTCCATTCAGTAGCTGAATTCTCTTCATATTGCACCTCCGTCCTCTCACTGTCTTACAATGCGAGCGATACAAAATATTCTACAAGAGGGGTTTCATCTCATCAATATAGATACAAATCAAACAATAAATCAAATGTGGGGCCTCCTTCTTGCTCTGACTTCACTGCTCAGCCCAAACTCAAAAGGAGGAAACTGAAAAGTAACGAAACCAAAACATCTTTCTGGATATACACAAGGGCAGCACGTATGGACATCAGCGACAAGAGACATTATTGAAATTTGAAAAGAGGGACAATATCTACAAGCAGGTTCAAACCCTTCCCACATGACTGCTCTGAGGCGCTGTCCAAAGCAGGATGAGGGGGGAGGGGGGAGAGTCGAGTCAAGTCGTCGGGGAAGAGCGTTGAAGGGAGGTGTGGGGCGAGGGGAGGTAGAAAGAGAGAGGAGAACCAAGTCTACACCGCCCTTCCGGCTCTTTTATCTGTTTATCATGCTTTGGAAAAGGAGGGAGTGAATGTAAAGGTAACAGCAATTCCTTGAAATATCTCCCTCGTTTTGGAGCTTTAAAAAAAAGGACTAACAAACAATCTTCCCATTGTATGCAATGCCTTCTCGGACAATGTTTTCAAGCTTGTTTTGAGGTTTTTTGGCAGCTCCATTGCCATGTTTATAACGTCATCTCCTTTGAGGCTGTGTTGCTTTTCCTTTCCTCTTCTTTTCTCTCTGTTACCATTCACAAAAAAAATCACACTGTGGCAGGGTTTCCATCCATTTCCTTTAGTCTTTCTCATAGGCAAGTTCACAGCTTTGTCCATATTCTCTAGTCTGGGCCATCGCTGAGGGATAGCTGTCATTTAGTCCAGACTGCAGGAAACGGCTGCAGATCTAAGCCGGTCACAGTTTAGTTACTTCTTCACTGGTTGACTATCTCTGGGTCCCGTTCTGCAGCCTCTCTGTAGCCCAGTCCTCTCAGGGCTGGCTTTTTCTGCTGAGGAGGTGATGTTGCTTTGCGTTTGGTTATAAGATGAGTGCTTCTCCTTATCGCTTGCTTACTCACTTTGGCAGTGTAATACAAAGGTTTGGATCATGTTATTTTTCATCTTTGAATTCATTTGGGTTCACAATGGTGCAGAGAGGTGAGTCCGGTGTAGATTTTCTTGGCTCGCTAGCAAGGTAGTTAGCAGTTTAAAGTTAATTTATTTTCATATTATTATTGTTATCATCAGCATCATCATCATCATCATCATCACTATTCTTCTTTACTTAGAATATTTGGACTTTCTTTATTTCCCCTTAAAGCCAGAAAGAAACTCTTAATAAATACTAAACTGTGTCTGAGGAATTAATCACATCACAGATCATTCCTCTTCCCTCATTCATTTGGAAAAAAAAAGGAGTCTAATATTCCTATCCTGTCTCAGCTTGGACACTGGAGGAAATGCCACATCAGTGAACTGGTTGGACTGGTAGTGCACATCTCAGGGCTGGGTACTGTTCTGTCATTGGTGCTAAATTAAAGGGAAATCCAATCCAAGTGCTAATCGGCCTACTCATCCCCCCTGATTTATGTTTCCTTCCCACAGCCCTTATCTTGTGTCCTCATGGGGACGGAGTTTAACATGCTTACTGAGGGAACATCCTAGTCGAATCTTCAAGTCAAACTCATCTGATATGTTTCTGTGACTCAACACAGCTACGGGAGACACATTTCATGCTTTCCACTACACTGTACCCCAGGCTGAAATCTTTGAATGTGTGGCTGTTAAAGAGACAAAGGGGGGTGAGGTGACCACCGATCACCAAGTAGTGACGAGATTTTCAGAAGGGCTCAGCATAAGTGAGAAATAAGAGCTGGAAGTGGGGAGGAGGAAAGGGAGCAATGTGCGATGAAGATTCCTCAGTTTGGTTTTGTGTGGAGAGTGAGCACTGTCATATCAGTACACGAGGGGAGGGGGACGAGGGTCCGACTTCAGCGAGAAGTTGCATCCAGCAGGGCAGGGGTAGCTGGAGTTGTAGAGCGAGAGGCACTGCTGGAACTGCTCTCCTTGGGGCTGGCGGACACACTTCCACTGCCACTGCCGCCCCCACCCACAATACTGCTCTGGCCCACCAGGGAAAGAGGTCCTGGAGGAGTGCTCTCTGAGTGAGTGGGGGGCGCGTTGGAGGACGCTGAAGAAGCGGCGGAGGAGGAGGGGGTGCCCAGAGGGACACTGCTGCCCCCTGGCAGCCCCTGCAGGCCCTGTCCACAGACGTGGTGGTGCTTCTCCCAGTCTTTGTGTTGGCAGAAGGAGCCGCAGTAGCGAGCCGTGTTGCAGCCGCTGCACGTCTCACTGGCTTTCCTTCCGCAGTTCCAGCAACTCTGGTGAGACAGTGGGGAGAGAGTGGGATGATAAAAATAAGTCTCTTTTTTGTTCCAAGAGAGAACAGTAATTTTTGCACAAAAATCAAAACATTAAATGAATGATTTTTTTTAACACTTCGCAGGAGGACTTGATTTTAAGTTTTAGAGTCCTGGTCCAACTCCACTGGTATGTGTAACCAGCAGGTGGTGGTCAACTGCTCTGTAATGGCCTCAGCCTGGCTCTCTGCTCCGACCATCTGGCTCTGTCTACTTTAATGTGTGCAGACAACTGGACTGCTTTTGCAATAATGATGACAACATGTTGCAGCGAAAAATCAAAAGCAGACAGCTGTGCAGATAACACAGAACAGGACAACTCAGAAGACAAGGAATAAACGGATGGATAACGGGGCAGAGAAGCATGTAGTGAATGAGTTCAAGGACTTTGAGAGCAAATGAGAAAAGTACGAGGTGAAATGTAGGTGGGGGGTCTGTGATACTCACTTCACTTGAGTCCTCCTGCTGGTTAATGACCGTTAGTGCATCCTCAGATGCTTGTCTCTTGGCCTCAGCCAGCGCTCTTTCCATTTTTGAGCGCTCCGCTGAAATCATCTCATGAGCCTTCCTCTCTGCGTCTGACACAGCCTTCTGCAGCTCTGACATCGCCTGTCGCTTCACCTCATTCACGGCCTCCTCTGAGAGAGAGAGAGAGAGAGAGAGAGAGAGAGAGGAAGGGACATAGCGAGAGAGGTGTTAATGCGTGTGACCACCGTCCCATCTTGTCTTGCTCTGTCATTCTTTATTGAAGCTCTTTAAGCTGCCATCTTGTTGTATCTAAGCGAACAGATGTACATCATCCAAGATTTAAAACTTTCTGCCAGAAAAGGGAAACAGCCAGACTTCAATAATTAATTCAAACACGTCTGGCCACAATCATTTCCAGAGCTGAGAACAGCAGATGTCTGCAAAGTTTGGTCACAAACTTTACTGCTTTCCTGGGATTCCCTGTTTGCACGATCGCAGTTTTGTCATGAGATTAATTTTATTATAAACTGTCAGACTACATTTATAGTTAATGATTTTCCCATGAGTGTGCATGCACGTCTCAGCAGTAGAGCTTCCTATATCGTAGATTTTATCACAGGATCTCTTCAAGATCATACTGTGTGAGTGAGGAGACAGTGTTTTTACAACAGGCAGGTGTGTAGGCTCTTTTCCAGATGGCAGACTTAAATAAAAACTTGCTGCAGTCGTCACTTCGGTTAGTCATGATGATTGTTTTTTTTACTATCTTTCACAGTTGACCTCACAAATTACAAATGTATATTACAGGGTATTAAACACCTGTGAAATAGAAAGCAATATAAATACTATTAATTAATAATTTATCAATCAAATGCTGATATCATACTGTATGTTGTGATGGTAAGATATACTAATAATAATAACTTTATTTAAATAGCACTTTTCAAAATAGAGTTACAAAGTGTTTCGTAACATAAAAATAGAATAGAAATAGCAATGATGAATGAAATGATAACAGTTACTATGTTGACTGAACATACAGCAGTAAAGACATCGATACAATCGGTCTAGGGAATGATTTAGAATTCAATAAAGGATGAAACTCAAACCAAGTTAAAATTTAGGAAAACAGGTTAAACAAAATAAAATCAGTTAAAACTCAGTTAAAAACTAACTTTAAACTCATATCCAGTAGAAGGAATTTATAAAAATTAGCTTTTAGGAAAGATTTTAAAGAAGATAAGGAACTTGTCAGTCTGATCATTTCAGGCAGTTTATTCCAGATAGTGGGGGCCCTGACAAAAAAAGCCCGGTCCCCCTTAGTCCTCGGCCTGGACTTTTGAACAACAAGCAGACCCTTGGGACTGGTCTCATAAAGTGAAAGGAGATTGGCAATGTACTTAGGGGGCAAGTTCGGATAGTACTTTAAAAGTTAGAAGCATTCTGGGCTAGCCGTGGGTTTTTTTTAGGCTCTGCTGTGATAGACAGGAATAAAGGGAATTAGAGTAGTACATGTGGGAGGAGATGAGGGTATGTATGATAGTTTCAGTGTGTTTTCTGGGAAGCAAATAACTGATTTTGGAAAGTCTTCTAAGCTGATAAAAACATGATTGAATGACTGAATCGACGTGCTTCTCCAGACCGAGGTTGCTGTTACAAATGACTCCAATATTTTTGCAGCTGTTAAAAATATTTGCTGAGAGAGGCTCTAGATGTTCAGAGACGTGGGTGTGTGTGGTGTCTGGGCCAATTATGATTACCTCTGTCTTGTTCATGTTCTAGATGTAGGAAGTTGTAGGTCTTCCATTTTTAGGGGCAGTTATACAGTTAGTAAGTGAGGAGATGTGATCCAGGTTGTCATGGCTAAAAGAGAGGTAGAGCTGCGTGTCTTCAGAATAAAAATGGAAATCAATGCTGTGTCTGTGGACCACATGTCCAAGAGGCACATTGAAAAATAGGAGTGGTCCAAGAACTGACCCCTGAGGCACCCCACAAGACAAATTAGCCTTGAGTTTCCGATGGCAACACTAAAAGACCTCCCAGTTAAATAAGAATAAAACTATTTAAAAGCTAAACTGGAGACACCAGCCCAGAGTTTAAGATAATGCATTAAAATTGCATGGTCAACGGTATAAAATGCAGCACTTAAAGTAACTAAAATTGGACATTTTTCCACTATCCCAAGTCATCAACAAATCATTCATTAGTTCAAGCAGAGCAGTCTCTGTGCTGATACAAGATTTTCACCTCTGTCCTCAAATACAGAAACACTTTTCTCTCTCCCACTGTCTACATGTGGACAAACACACACAAACACATATTCACTAATGGACAAATAACACGAGTGTAGGTGGCTCTCCAGGTGTGTTAGGCCAACCGAGTAGGAGGTAAGACTGATATTGTTTCCTCCACTGCTCCCGATTTCCTCCAGCCAGTGTTTGTTTGAGAGAGAACTCATAAATAACTGTCACTTTTCCTCCCTGCTCCACTCCAGTTGTCTCAAACTACTGTGCAAAAAGATAGGCAACGAGTGGAGCCTTTTCGCACTTTACCGCATGTTTATGTGCATGTCTGAGCTTACTCCTATGCAAATATTTTTAAAAGTTAGTCAATCCTGTCAACATACAGTCACACTCAGACACACGTCTCAATGCTTTCCCCTCATCCTGTCATTGCGCCTCCACCCTTATCTTTAATTTCTTTCCCAGTTCATTTTTCTCCTTCTTCTATCCATCCTCCCCCTCTTTCTTCTCTCTCTTGCAAACATTATCTGCATTCTCAATTATCTGGCCTAATGCATGCACCACTAAGATTAGTTTGCAAATTTAATTAATTCTTATCAAGGAGACTGCATAGCAGATGCTGGGGCAATTAGCACTTAATGGAAAACACGGGGGCAGCAATATTAACGTTTTAATTCCGCAGGGATTTGGCAAGTCCCTGAGACGTGTTATTTCTGTCTGCTTCTTCACACTTCAGATCTTATTTTTCAAAAGCACTACAGTCTCTCAACCTGAACCAGACCAGAGAATACGTGTCTGGTTTTAATTAAAACCAAGAGGTGCTGCTGCTACAGCAGGCAGGCTACCTGGCGGCTGAGATAGAGGTGACACATACACACACACAGACACACACATACACACTGTAGGTGAGATGTTGTGAGTTAGATCTTTTACTCACCCTGCCTGTTTTGGAGGTGCTTTAGAGCTGGGGAGAGCGGGATGCTTGTAGTACCTGAATGAAAAACAACTGCAATTAAAAGAGCTTTTTTTTCTGCTGGTGAAAATGCAGCACAGTATTTTGCCGACAGCAGCAGCATCTTCCTCCCCTGCAGGGTATTGGTGTATAACTTCAACATAATAGTGCTGGGACTGTGGTGGAACCAGGGCTGAGCCAGATGAATCCTGGTATTAGCTCCATCTAACATGCAGTATAACGTACAAGAAGGCCCGTGCAATAAATTACAATGACTGGGATATTTTGGTAAAAAGTTTGTTTATGTGCATGAGGAAACAATCACAATGAAAAAGAGGAGAATGTGTGCTTCTCAGGGCAATGGAGACCAGTTAGGCTGGTCCAACCTGTGCTGCGCTGCTGTGGCCGGTCTCGGGCCAGGTGACTGCATTTTCACTGCAGCTTTAACTGCAGTGGCCTTTCATAGTGGTGACAGATGGAGAGCATTTAGCCCTAATGACACAGAAGGCCTCCAATCCTCTGCCCTGATGGACCTGTGGCTGAAAGGCCTCTGATCTGTCTGTCTCTGTGGCAAAGGCGAGGTAGCCTTGATGACTGATGATGGTGACTGTGTGTGTGTGTGTTTTGTGAATGTGTGAGGTCAGTCATACAGTAGAAAAAAGAGGGAGTGGGAGTGGGGGGTGAATTTCTCTTACCAGCTTTCCTCCAGATTTCCTCTGGCAGGTATCCTGAGGGAGGCCTGTGTAAGAAGTCTCTGTGGATCTCTGAAACACACATGAGGCTCACACTTAAGACACAATTAAACACGTGATCAATACAAACAGTCACAGTATCTCTCATACAGATTGCAATTCTACTTTGTACAGTACTATGAGTGTGTCAAGATCACTACGTAAGCTTTCACACACTATTTTGGCAGTTTGTTGGAAGGAAAGGGAATACAAGATTTTGTAGTGAATACAAATGTTAATTATGAATGAGCATGCTGGCAGCATGAGGGTGCAATCAGGTGGTTAAAGATTTGGATTTGTATTGACTCACAGTTTGAGCTCATATTTGTACATTCACTGAAAAATATGATAAGCTAACTGACTTTTTATGTGCAAATTGGCATTTTCAGCTTTTCAAATCAAACCCTACCTTGCTACGAGTGTTTTGCTTTGCCAAACAAACCCTGCGTGTGTTTGTCTACCTGTCTGTCTGTGTGTCTGCCTTTCGGCAGCCGAGGAAGTTCCTATGGGCAGTGACTCGCTGCTGCTAGCTGTGTTGGAGGAGGAGTTGTGGTGAGGAGTAGGAGGAGGAAGAGGAGGAGGAGGAGGAGGAAGGCAGTGCTGTCCGTTGCTCCCACCTTTTTTCATCTCCTCCACGTCGCTGTAGCGCCGAATCCAGTGGTTCATCTCCTCGCGGTCAGCCTCCTGACAGCGCCGCAGCACCGTCAGAGAGCGGCGCGTCTTCTCCACCATGTCCATAATGCAGTTCAACAGCTGCAGAGGGACACAACAAGAACAAGTTAAAGGATGTAAACTTATCTGTAGATGAGGAGAATTTTAACAGTTCTTCATGTAGTTACATCAAGTCCCTTTATCTCAAACACAGGACACTAAATCACCCACGCAAAATTACTAAAAATGAGTAAGCTGTTCAAAAACAATGAATTATTTGTGTCTATAGAGTGGCGTTTTGGAGGTTACTAAACTAGAGAAGCAAGCGGTCGGCAACATTTATCTCTCCACAAGGCGTCTAACTCGGTGTTATGGTGTGTTTGACCCGAAATTAATTTTATGCAGGAATATCCCTTTAACCCTTGCCTGACATACACCACCCAGCAGATGTGTGTTTCTGCCTATCTGTTCATGGATTGTGTGCTTGTCAGTGAACTTCAGCGTCTAAGAGCATTACAACGACCATAATGTAACAGCTGGGCTGCTGATGAAAAAAAGTTGAGCCAATTCCTTCCACCCTTCTGCTCCGTTCTCTGCCAACTCGACAGCTTTCTTTCTTTCCCCCTTCAGTAGTAAACAGTGTCACTTTTTTTTCCACAGTGCCCTATGTTTCCAGACCCGGTCCGGTCCTGCTAAATGGGTTTAGCATGCTTGACATTCAATCCATATCGTTCTTCCCATTCATCTTTCCCTCTCTCTGTCTCTGCCTCCTTTCCTCCCTCCTCCCGCTCCTCCTCCTCCCCCCTCCCCTCTGAGTAAGCTATATTTATTTCACTGAAGTGTTTCTAATTTGGCAGGGGTCCAGGCCTGGCCGGTTCTCTCCATGACTGCAGCTCTTGTCTCAGCTGCTCTCCCCAGCTGGAGCTGCTCTCTGCTGGGTCTCAAGCTCCATCTGGGGCCTAGTTTTTCTGAGTGTGCGTGTCTGTCTGCGCGCATATGTGTGTGTGTTTGTGTCTAGTGTACATGTTTTTGTCTTTATGGAGTTAGGTGCAGGGAAGCCTGATGGATGCCTGTCTGTTGTTGATTCACTGCTCTGACACAGACCTCCTAAGATCAGCTGCCTGTCAACTGCTCCGTCAGCTTGGACAGAGACTATTCTGCCTGTCAACAGTTCACTCTCTGGCATCTGAATCTTGTCTTTAGCGCTATAATTAACTTTAATCTCCTGATGACCTGACACCTTCTCTCAACAACTGCTGTGTGACATTTGTGAATGAGGCAAAAGAAATAATCGACTATGGACGCGGCAATCAAAGTGATACGTACATTATCAAGGTGCTTCCATTCCTCCGCCCACTCGCGATCCGTGAGACGGTGATCGATCACCTCCTCTTGGCGGGCTCCATGCACTGCTACAAGACAAAGACACAAACAGTTAAACACAAATTATGTTTGTTACGGGACTTAAAATGCAGATGCAGGGTAGATATTGAGCAATAGAGGGAAAAAAATAGTGTTTGATGAGGGCTGAATTCTGACCAAAAACCCAGTCTTGGCAGACATAATCAGTCATTTAATGATCGACCTCTTTCAGAACAATTATTATAGAGCAGTTTGTGCAAAAACAAAACAAAAATGCCACATGAAGAGAATATACAAGCTGAGACATAGGTTTCAATGTGAAATGAATAATTCATTTTGATGGAAGACAAAATCACCTATAATAGTCAGAAATCAATCCATCAAAAGTCATCATGTGCCTCTCTTATCAGTGAGACAGTTGGACTCAGTATTCCCCTCTCTGCTTTTGCTAAAGCAGAGTAAAGGCATATATGGTAGCCACAGTTGTAGCACATGGGCATGTATGGCTGTGGTCTTTATTTAGACACGCTGCCACAAGGATTATCACACTGGGCTGACAACTGGCCTTTGTTCTACCCATACACACCATCTACATAAACACAAGCTTGACCACATAACTCAAGAAGACCAGAGATCTGTAGGTGTATCAGTCCCTGAGAATGCATCCCAGCTGTCTTACCTGTCTGTCTGTGTCTGTCACGGGCTTCGCGGTGCTCGTTGTGTCTGTAAGCATCTCTGTATTGGTGCGCCAGAGCCATGTCTTCTAGCCGATAGTGCTGGGGAGCCATTTGGGGGTTGGGTGGGTGTGAGAGGCCGTTTGGAGGGTGCGTGGAGAGGCCGTTGGGAGGTGGGTGAGCAGGAAGGCCTGTGCTGGGGCTGAAGCGTTGGCTCGGGCTGATGGTGCAGGGTCTCTTAGCCAGGTGATCCGGGTGCAGGCCGTCTCTGTCAGCACTCTCTTTGGTCCTGAGAAGAGAGAGATGAAGTGAGTTTACGTAAGATTAAGAGAAAGTCACATAGCAAATTGCTTCAAACAGATAAAGAAACATATCCAGAAATTAGTAGTGTATGAAGTGACTGGTTCAGGGTTTGTTTTTTTTTATATATTTTTTAACATCTGCTTGGCACAGATAAAGCATTGTCAGTGTTGGACAGCTTGAAACAGCCAGACTGTATCTCTTATTATGTGTTTCCACCACCACATTAACCAGAACTCCACTTACGACCAACCAAATCACTTTTTGCTGTCCATATAAAGGCTGCAACATCGAAAAAGTGAACAGTCTTAAAAATGACTACTAAAAAAAGAAAATCAACAATGATGCGACTCCTGTATTCATATTCAGTTACAGTTACAGAAGAAGTGAGTTCACTTTTGTACAGCCCACTTCATCTTTCCCCCCGTTATGTTCTGTCTTCGCCAGACCACAATGAGTAATGTCAAAATCTGTGGGTTTGCTTTGCCAGGATAAAATACAACGCCAGAGCATTACTTCATGGTTCAGGAAAACATGCCCCCGCAAGGAACTCAGATGCTTTTGAAAATCGGATCAAGATGCAAAAAAGTGGCTGCTGTGAAAAACTTGAGCAGAAAATGAGCAGAGAGATGACCCATCGAGTCGTTTCACGTGTCAGTTAGAAATAAGTTTTCATGAGTAACATAGATCTGCTTACTTTTCCATCTCATTCCCACCATGTAAGGCAACACGTATGTTAAATTATGACTAAATGGAAGGAAATGTAAAGGGCTGTAATCAACCAAAGAAATTCTTGGTCGACTAAAACCCTGAAATTTTAGACCAAAAAGCAACTAATTGGGGGTGGGGGTTTCGACTCTGACGGCAAACCCTGCTGCGGCGAGGGACAACGCGGCTCGGCGGGCTGAAAATATACTAATATCAGCAGAAGACGGCAATTAATCACTAAAGTTGAAATGCTCAAAATAAAAATAAATATTCAGCAAACCACCAGGCGTTGGTTAACGTTGATGCTCTTTCAGATTTATGACCTATACAGCAGCCCGTCACCAGAGGATGCTGCTCTGTCCATTCTATATACAGTCTATGCCTGTGAAACAGGGGTGCTCTGAAAACACCCCCATTAGCACTTGGTACGTTCCTCCCGATGAACTCAACCATAGATTGTAAATTGACGCGGAAACAAAACAAGTCGACCCAGCATGTATCGACCAATAAGTCGACCAGTTGACTAGGACTTAACAGCCCTGGAAGTGAATAATATCTTAGCTCAGTCAGCCAAATACAGAAAAAATCCTTCAGCGATAACACATTTTCAAACATCATGGCATCTCGTACTGTGGACTCAAACTGCATTAGCAAATAAAGGCAGAATTATTTCCAGACTTCAACAACTCCCATATGATGTAAACACATCCACACACCAACGTTTTCCTGCTGAGAGCTGCCTGTTGTTCAGTTCCAGCACTGCAGCGGCCCTCCGAAGCTCTAGCACAGCTGTACGCCATATGTACCAAACAAAGCAAAGTCCAACTGTACACCACGCGTCTCGAGCTCTTAATCTGAATATCCCTCAGCCTACTCTTAGATTGCAAGTATTTCTCCCTCTCCCTCCCACCCTGCTCTCGGGCTTAAGGGGCAATATGGACTGGATGCTGTGCGTTTGGCAGATGTTTGGTGACACTCATTTGTGTCTGTGCTTTAAGTGTGTGTGTGTGTGTAAGAGAGAGAGAGTGTTTTTAAGCCATCTGGACAGTTTAAATGGGAGTGTTGATATTAATCTGTTTAGCTGGATGGCAAGAGGCGGGCATTGGGATAGAAATCACTCTTTATCATCCAGGGGATCAAAGGCGAATAAAAGCAGCACTACCCCATGCAGATAATGTATATGTGTGTGCGTGTGTGTGTGCGTGTATGTGTGCGTGTGTAATCATATTTATCCTTGTGTGTATTTGTGCGTACTGGCTGTACGCATAAACATCTCCTGTTCTAGAATCTGAGAAATCACAGGAACAGCTGGTACGATGTAGGCCTTGCCCGTCCCATGCTCATCCCCCACCCCCTCCTTCACACCTCCGCCTCCTAAACCACAGGTAAGGAGGCGGCAGGGGGTGGTGTGGATTACCACGGGAGTGAACATTCAAACTCCAACCTTTAGTCTCATCCAAACCACCACCATCACCACTGCCTCGACGCTCCCACCTCCCCTCTCACCCCCCTCCTGCTCAGGATGTGCTCAGTGTTACGGTCAGCACATCACCATCTGGACACATCCCTGACATATGGACAGCTGCTGGGAGCCTGCAGGTCAGGCAGTTGGATAGAAAGAGAAAAAAGTCAGAGAGGTAAAAAAAAAAAAAAAAAAGGACAGGGCTAGAAAAAAAGACAAAGACAGAAAAAAGGGAAGAAAAGGAAATGGCTGCTAATTCTCTCTTGAGGCATCATCTTAGCGGCTTGGATAAAGTAGTGCGTTGGAGGAAATGTGGGACAAACCAAGGCTAATTGCTGGTCCTGAGGTTGTGCTGAGGACATCTACTGTACTTCACTCCATACTCACGTCTCCTTTTCTTTTTCCCTTTACAAACAATCTCTGTGTTTTCCTACTCTACTTTTATCCCCCTCCTCCCTCACAGACAGCTGGCAGATTCATCCTGGCATCAGGGCTGTCCAGACTTCCGCCTCCTGCACAGAGGATTTATAGACTCTTCTTGTTGCTTGGCTTTCTGAAAATACCCTAAAATAATTCAAACATACAGTACAAAGTCCATCTGGAGTCGGCTTGTATGTTTTCTTGTGTTGCATAAAGAGATGTAAAGATTACCTGTCTGGGGTCCTCCTCTTGCCATGCTCGTTCATCTCCAGCATGATCTCAGACGAGTCAAGGGGTGAACTGGCGTTGGCGTCCAGAAGAAGCTGCTCGTGTTGGGCCAGATACTGAGCCGGAGTCTGTTTAGCCAACCGGGCGCAGTGCAGCAACTCCCTCTGCAGCAGGGGCAGGTTTGCCTTCAGGGGTATAAAAAAAACATCTCTGGATTAGGGATGAAATAAGTTGTTTCAGGAAGGATATGGATTTATTGAGCCGATGTAAATTTAGATAAGAGAGTTAAGTAGACAAGAGGTGAGCTCCAGACTCAACAGATAAAATAACAAAAGATAGGCAGAGGAGAAAAAGAAAGCGATAGATGGAGAGACAGGATGAGATAAGACAGGTCCCTTGACACCTTCCTCTGCCATGTGTCTCTCGCTCCCTCTTCAGGGTGGGCTTATGTGTATATTGTGTGTGAGTATGTGTGTATCAGCGCTGTCAAATAGCTCTCTCAGACCTGTCGAGTTGATATAACGCAGCCATTGCTGCAATGTCCCAGATGTGGAGGATCATCACACGCCAGGGGGTCTGACACACTCACTCACACCGCTTTCGATGGACAGTCACAGACACTCCCCCCCCATTTTGTACACAGTACTACAGCAGTATACATCCATCACGTATTAATCCAGAAACTAATCCAGAAAAAGAAAATCCACAAAAACTCTAAACACAGACAAACAAACTTAAACACTGAGAATATAGTCGGCAGCAGTTCCCTGAGCCTGTCGACTGAGATATCACGCTTCATTTACCTTACGAGAAAATAAAAGCACGATTGTTTACCTTTAAAAAAGGAATGACGAACGGTCTCAGAGGGAAGTTGGTGGCCTCGTGAAGTTTAGAGTGAAACTCTTCAATGGTGAGAGTGGAGTTCTGCAAAAGACAACAGGCGAGAAAAAGATGACACTTTTAAACTTTATGACAGTGAGTTAACGGTGCTATAAGATGGACTATTATACTAGAAAACAGGGTCAGAGTAAAACAAACTGCTTAAAGATATTCAGAAGTTAACATAGCTCCTCAGGGGAACTCACCACCAAACCCAGCACCAGGCTACGCACTCTCTCCCCGATCTCAGGCGATATGTCGTTGCCAAACTGCTGCAGCGTGGTCAGGAAGCGCTTCAGCTTACACAGTTGCCGGGCACCACAGGCTGGCGGAAGCTGCTGGTTTGAAAGTGAGGCGGTCGAGGACATGGCTGGCCCATTACTGAAGCCATTAGGAGTAGAGGGAGCACCGTTCAGCGATGTAGGAGAGTGGCTGCTCCCGTTCAGCACTGAGGGGAAACAGACAGAAGGGGGAGAAAACATGAAGTGGGTCAGCGGTTTTTTGTGGGGCCTAAGGGGCTTCTGACAGATCTGGGGGCATTATGAGGGTAGACACAGTCACATCCTGCTAACTGACGACTGAATGGATGAGATTTAATAGAAGTTCAGCTCACAGTAGAATCAAGTCTGCAGTCCACATGATGCATAGTGTAACTTTACTGGTGCAATTTTGTGCCAGTTTTATTGAGCTTAGAGTGTGTGTTTATGTGTGTGTGCGTGTGTGTGTGTATGTTTGCAGTAACTTCAGCTGTCTCACAAGTGGTACCATTTGACTCCCCCTACACCCCCCTCTCACCCTGTATCAGCCTATTCCACCCTGCTCCTCACCCTCTCCCCTCACTCACTAGGACACAACTATAAGAGGAACTTGTTAAGGAGGTGCCAAAAATAGACCCGCGGCCTGTGTTACTTTTATTCCAATAGCAGGTGTGTAGCTAAATCTGGCCCTACACATGTTCACCAGCTGAAAGTAGATTTGCAGCTCGAAGGGTTCAGAATAGACACAGCATTCACGCACACATATATAATCACTCACATATTCTTCCAAATGCTGGCACAAACAAAGTCACAATTACACGGGAGCTGACAAACGCACGTTTGACCTTTCCTCTGTTTTTATGTTCGAGCTGAGCGAGATCACACAAAAGACTTAACTGTTTTTTTCTGTTTCTTCCCAGTCGGACATAATGTTATAAATATTAAATCTTTATGTTTGAATAAAAATACAACAAACACACAAACAAAAGACCTTACTGCGCTTGATGTTTTTCTTTTCTTTAAGACTTATCTTCGCATTTATTCAACGTTTGTTTTTCTGTATTACTGATATTATTGAGATAGGTAAGTTGTTCGTAGTGTGTTTTGCCTTGCATATGACTGCTCTTCACAGGTTTCTCCTATGTATATACATGCTTTCTCATTGTGCTTTTAAGTGAAAAAAAACAAACTAATACTTCACTAAAACTAGAGGAAGCAGTGCATAATATACAAAAGCATCTGAGAAATAATACTCAATAAGTCTGTTTAAAGTGTATTTACAGAATCCTGTGCACTGTAACACCATCCTCTACTATCATTCTTGAAAAACAAAACTATATACAGTTCAGTTGTCCAACAGAAAAAGTTCCTGTGGTTTCTTTTAGGCATGCTTGTTGCTTGATGGCAGGCCTGAACACATATGGACTGACCCATGTGATCCCGACAAGCAGCACTTGTGTTCTGGTTTTAGAGTGAGGGAGAGGTGCAAGGAGAGAGCCGCATGATGACCGCCCGCCACGACAGGTGAAACAACAGGGTCCTGTCAATTGCTATATAGGGAAGAAAGTAGTCTACACACTGCATCGCCACTCTGACTGATGTCCCCTGAACCCACCACCACCCAACCAGCCAGCTGGTAAACAACACAGACACACACATACACACACTCACAATGCAACAGTCACACTCGCACATGCTCTGAGAGACACTTGTCCCACTAGCAAGGGCATTCTCTACACCAAAAAAAACCGACATTCTCGAATACATGCGTGATGAAACACACACCTGACACACAAGTGACTCACACTTGTTCACTAGAGGGGGGAAGACGCACATATTTGGGATTTTTGTCCCTTTACATAAGGGTATTAAGTGTTCATGACGGTTGACCCAAAGAGACAAATGACTGTGCAGTCTATGTTAGACTGCTTCAGAGAGACTGCAGGCTCTTTTTCTTTAAGCTGAACACCTGTTATGAGTAGTTTAAACATGTAGAAGGTTTTACTCGCAGCTGAAGAGGAAGGTGGTAAACAAAACATAAGAAAAGTATTGAATGTAAGCTTTTGCACCAGATTTTATCGATCTATTTATTCATTTATTTATTTATTTTGATCCCTATTAGCTATTACCTAAGTAGCAGCTACTTTTCCTGGGTTCCGCAAGAAGACAGTAAATATTTGTATAGATTACAATGATACAAGTCCAAACAGGCGATTTATACACGATGTTAAAATCAGAACTAAAACCAAAATTATGATGACATTACATTTGAAATTACAACAGACACCAATAAAGGCCAAGATTAATCTACTGGTAATCAAAAATCTCATTGGCATGTATTGTATGTTGTCTCAGCCTAGTTTAGGTGTTCTGTTTCCTCTTGCAACAATTATTTGAAGTAACTTCACGATGACAGTGTTACACAGAAGGTCACCCAAAAAATAAATACATAATAATAATAATAATAATAATAATAATAATAATAATAATAATAATAGATAGATAAATAAATAAAATAACTGTACCAAATATTTTGAATTCCATTAAGCTTATTTCAGTGAGTCTGGGTCATTAGATATTGGTGTACCATCTTTTTAAACACATGTTTACGACTATTCCATATTTTCATACCTCCAAACATGTCCAGAGTCAGTATTGGTGAGTGGAAGTGTGGCTTTTGCACCAGATTTACTCATTGATCACTCAGGCAAAGCCAGAGAGTGACATAATACCACACAGTCGCCAGAAGCGTCGTTTGCAACAATGTGGATACTGCTGCCATATAAAAGTTTGAATTTCCACTCCTATGCTAACCGTGAAATCAAGGGTTAGGAGTAAGTCCACTATAGTTTTGCTGATCCAACATGCCTCCCACATTACTGTGTTTCCAACACCTGCCTGTTTGACTGCCTGCTGACATGCCTCATCAGCACAAAAGGATCATCTCCAAGTCAAAGAAAACACAGAGCTTAACAACTGTTACGTTTGGATGAATAACTGATATATTTGCTTTAGGGATACAGATAATAATAGCAGTGACCCTGTGTTCCTATCAAGTTGACTACTTAATGTTAGAATCATGTGAGTAACAGAAAGGGGTCTTACTGGATTTACTAGTAGTTGGGGTGAATGAAGCATTGCGATTGGTTGCCTGGCTGACAGCCGGGGGTGGAGGAGGCATGGTGGGTGGGGTGGACCTGGGCTGGGTTTTCACATCCGCAGGTGAATCTGGCATTGTTCCAACCTTCTGCACTCTGCTACCTGTGATATGAAAGAAGAATAAGAAAAAAAAAAAGAAAAAAAGAAAAAAAGAGATGGTCATCAAAATGGAGCTTCTGCATGAGTGAAAATAAATAAATAAAAAAACTTTCAAAGAGGAGACAGCTGGTTAAGGAGCAGGGCTCTGACATTTTCACCTGGGGGCCATCGATTGTTTCCCTTAAACCAAAAGCCCCATAAAAAGAAGCAAAACAAATCAATGCAGGGAGTGGAAATGGATCCAAACTTGTATTGTGTCTCTCTTGTTGAAGATTCATGGGCCTGGGAGACATACAGTAACACCTGCTCACCCGCTCAGCTGCTGCTCACTAGCCCCCTCTCACCCCCACCCCCTTCTCTCTCCCCTTCACGTACACACACTCCATGTAGCTTTGACATCCCAATCAGCGCCCCTCCACTGTAACCTCCAACCTCCTGACACACACTCACACACACACACATATTCCCATGCACACTCTCCTCCCCGCCTGTCCCCTCTCGTCCCCTATTTCAGACAGCCGCTTTGACAGCCAGTGACAAGTGCAGCTGGATCTGCTGCTGTCCGTCACCGTGCGGACCGGCTTTCAGCAGAGCTCTGTCCTGCTACCAAAAGCCTCGCTGTCCTCTGCCAGACACCCTGCCAGGACCAAACAAGGCAAGGCCGGGCTGTGTAGCATGAAGGGAATGGATGGTACAGTGAGGGGCATGAGGAGAAAAACATGACACGGGGTGGATGTAGGACGACCACAAGCATGTGTGGGGACGGCTGCCTTACATTGTGTATCTGTCGCAGAAGGCCCTATGAGGTCTATACATGCACTGTGTCCACATTAAAACACTGTGATATGCAAACTACAAACACAATGTCAAAATGCCCATTTACACATAACATAGATGTGCATCAGGAGCCAAGTGTGTTGACTGTTACTGTGTGTGTGTCCTTCTGTCGGTGCAGCTGCAGGAACCAGATCTTTCTGCAATGCAAATCTGAGCTCAGGGTTTGATGACTTTTGCAGTCTGTGAGAAGATAGCTTTAGAGTCTGTGTACATGTGCATACCTGAAAGAGAGCATTAAATGCAAATTGATATGTTGCGTGGTTTATATGTTGGCAGGGAAATGCGCATGGTTTGGCTCTACACACCAATATTATGTGTGGTAAACAAATGTTTTCATAATGAGGAAGCATACGGAGGAGGTCCTCTTATGCACTAGTAAAGCTGGTATAAAGCATTTGTTGACTTTGGTTATCTTGACAAAAAATATTAAAAATTGAGTAAAAACAAAACCAAACAAATTCAAAAGTTGCCACAGAGTAATAAACTAATGACATAGTGAAAGGTGTTATGGGTGGTCATTAATTAATTTAGAGTTTTCATGCTGCTGATAATACATTTCAAATAAATTGAAATAAATGTATAAAAGTATTAATTATTCCAGTGTTTTCTATCTTTTTTGAGCCATGGTACATATTTTCATTAAATAAATACGAGGCACACCAACAACCAAAAATGTTACTAAATGACACTTGGCAGCCCCAAATACAGTTTTTAAAATGACAATAGAGTCTCTCAATTTGTTCATACTCACCCAGTGTGAAACTTGGGGCGGTAGGTTACAGCACAGACACATGAGAATTGCGTATTATTTGCAGATAATAATTTATAATAAAAAAATAGACCAATAAAGTGAAATTGGATAATTTCTCAGGGTACACCTGACTATCTGTCATGGCACACTGGTTGAAAAATACTGACCTATTCTGTCAAACTGAAAGGTCTACAGTTTTATTCATCTGAACATTAAAAAAACAATAATAAACCTTTGGCATGTTATTAAATCACCCCCCCAAAAATGTGTTTCTCATTCCAGCCTTTGTGAACCATCAATGAATCTAGTGTTTTCCTCTACAAAATTCCTGCCTCACTTGGCCCCCGTCCTTGCTTTCGCCTATTTCTGAGAGAGAGCTCATGTCGGCGTGTTCAACAGCTGGTGTCTGTATTTAAAGAGTGCCACTCTGGAGTGTGCTGCACGAGGGCCATTGACACACTGATCCTCAAGAACACAAGGGGCACTCCGCTGTTTGCCCCATGCCTGACGCTCTGAACATAAACACAAGGTTGTAGATCGAGGCAGATGGGGAAGGTTGGTATAAATAGATGCGGCTATTCTCTACAGTCAAATCCTAAACACACAAACAAGCTCTCAGTGGTGCAAGATTGGTGAGTTGCTCCATGTAGGGAGGCAACCATATGTTTCTGGGAACCTCCTCTTGTCTTGGATTAGAAAGACTATACATTGTATAGTAATGCGTACTATGGGATTTGCATTGAGCGCCAAAACTTAAACCCTTTAAGTGCATAAAAAGAGTGCATAGTATTTGTATCATCCTTTTCTCTAGGTACTTTTTTAAATGAGTTAAATTGGTATGAATCAACATTCAAAAGAATGAGTGAGTTTTAACAAGTCTATTTTATATGGTACCTTTTAGAGTGCCTCATCAATTTCAACGAAAAAAACTATGAAATTATGATAAAAAAAAATAAAAAACATCAGAAGGAAACAAACCAAAACAAAAGAGACAACAGTTTAAAACCTGAACTAAAGGCACAAAACAACTCAAATCTCTAAAATTACAGTAGAGGTGATAACATTTATTAACTTGTAATCAGAGGAGTGACATTAAATAAAAACACTCCCATGACTCTGTTTATGAAACATCTATTTTTATCACTTCTTCAGCAAAGAGGAGAGGGCAGGAGGAAGAGAGCGAGGGGATAAGGGGACCGCCCGGTCAGCCTGTGTGTCTGCTCCCATCATGGGATTATAGACAGCTGTTTAATCTGACCAGCTACACACACACACACACACACACCACACACACATACGCACCATGCTCTGGATTTCACTTCTAATACATTAGGAAGTCCGCGAGGTCTGCCAACCCATCTGTGGCCATTTGTGCTCCTATTGTGCTCTGTGCTGACAGGCTCAAAACAAGGGAAGTAGAAAATGAGAGAGACTGGTACACCACGTAAAAACAGACAGACTAAACACTAGATCTGGACCATGCTGCTCTATTTACCCCCACGGGTTTTTATCCGTCTGAGAGGAGCCACTTAGTGATCAATACAGCTGAGTGGCGATCTGCAGAGGGTACAAATATGTTGCTGTATATCCTAAACACTCACTATTGAATAAAACGCGGATTTAAAAAAACAGTAGGTTACATTCATTGCCATCTTGACTTCTGCTCTGTGCTTCTCCCAGTGTTTCTCCGACTCTCTGAACAGCTGTATGTCTGCACATTTGACGTAATTGGGGCTAAAAGATTGCTCACCAAAGAAACAGTATGCAGCCTGAGTTCTAAATATGTTCTCTGTCTTTTACTCTCCCCTTGTGCCATGATGAAACGAGATGAAAAACAATTCACAGAGAGAGACACACCAAACCACCGATCGTGTGCAAGTACGACCCACACACAAACACTTAGGTGGTTGGGGTTTCATGATAGATTTAAAGACATGTGCCAATGTTCAAGCTCTTAAAAATAAACACACTCATTCACAAATAAATACCGTCAAGTAATGACAACCCATTAGAGGGCCATTCAATGCATTTTGGTCTCAGTTTGCATTCACATATGTTCGTGTGCTGACTATATGCATGTATCTGCGTGTGTAAGTGTGTGCGTGCTTCCACTGAAGATACAGCTGCATCTTATTAGCTTTAGCTAACCGCTGCAGAACAGTCCCCTTAAATCCCCCTCTGTCTATTCAATCTCTCGTTCTCCACAGAGACTCTCCTCAGTGACCACATAGCCTTAAAACTCTCTCCGTCTTTCTGTCTCTCGCTCCTTACATCCCCTCCTCCCCTCCCTCCCTGCCTCCCTCCCTCCCTCTCTCTCTCCCTCGCACTGTAATTCCCCCAGTCTCCAGGAATGCTGTTGTTTTTAATTTCTCCCAGCTGCTCTGGCTGGCTGCCCGGCCGCCTGCCTTCCCACATCTGTTCCCTATCAGGCCGCTGAGGAGTCCACACAAACAGAGCCTGAGCCCCTGGCCCCCAGCCTCCCACCAGGCCTTCATATCAAAACATGGGGATTGCAGCCCTGTTCCCTGGACCTGAGACTTAAGGATACAGCACCCATAGCAACGTCCACTCTCCTACAGCCAGCCTAAACGGCATTCAAAAGAAAAAAGACTTCTGACGTCAGTGGACCAATCTTCCTCTGACCTAGAGCAATCTACAAACATCATTTTTCTTCTCCTGTGGGTCTGATAGTTCCATATTTTGCCGTACAAGTTGTCACCAGTGTGAAGTCTGAGCTTGGTCACAGGTAAAATGGGATTGTACGTGTGTGTGTATGTGGATTTGTGTGTCAGCGCACAGGCTGCCTCTGCAGACAGATCGCAGACTCCACTTCATCTTGAGCTGATTTAGAGTTCAGAGGCTTTAAAGCTCTCACTAATGACAGGGTGGGAGACAAGCTTGTGCATTGCTAGGCACACACACACACACACGAATAGATGCACAGATGTACACGCACACACGCTTAACAAAGTTTGCTGGATGCATATGCTCACGCTGCGGACACAAACACATATTTTCCTCCATGTTACTTGAGAATCCCTGTGATAGTACACATGCAGTGCCGGCTGAACAAACATGTGGAACAAAAAAACACAAACAGGGGATGAGGGGGGTGGAGGACTTTAACTTATTAAGCACTAACAAAAGCTGTGCTGTCTTTGATCAGATTACCACGAGCAAATCAATGACAAGTCACTGGTTATAAACTGGCAGGAAAAACGAGGCTAACTTGAGGACAAGAGGGGAGCGAGGGCGGATTAAAGGCAACGTATGCCGAGCCAGAGGTGCTAAGGGTAGAGGAGTTGTACTTCTGCCTCTCGGAGCTGCAGGGATCCTGTCACACAGTGCTTCTATCTGTGAAAGCTGTTATTGATGTAATTGTATTGAAGTTCTAGCGACCATCTGTTCTCCTCTGGGAGGGCCTGGCTCCTCTCGTCGGCAGTGAAGTGGTTATGTGCAGCATATCACTGCTGCCGACGTGCTTGCAGAGAAAAAACTTCCTTTTCAGATTTTCCCAACGGCTGCTAATAAAATCCAGATGCTAGACTGGAGCTGTTTCTGCTTCGCTCGCTCACCGCTCCCTCCTCCTCCTCCTCCTCCTCCTCCTCCATCTTCTGTCCTTACTCCATCTCTTCTCCTCCCTCTCCTCTGTCCCTCTCCACTGCTAATCATTCATTTTGCTCTTTTCATCTGCCTCTCCTCTTTTCACTCCCCCAACCATCCATCCATCCTCACCTCCTTCTTTCTCTGCAGCCACTAACCCAGAGCAATACCTAAATAAAGGAAAGTATTTGTGACATTCAACCAAGGCAGCTGTGCCAAGAACAACTCCCAGCTAGCCAGAAACATCTGGAGTGTGTTAGGTCTGCACTGGGCACTGGTACCAACACCGGCTATCCCACCATACATCCACACAAATACAAAAAGGGGTCACGAATTCTGGATATTACAAACTCGATTGCATACAATTGCACAATGAAGAGCTTGTTATGAAAACTGTAATCCAGGTTCCTTGCCAGACAGCCCGGCAGCTGTGTGCATGAATCCTCTGTTGTATTTCCTCAGCAGCAGGAGAGGGGAAACACACTTTTGTTCATAATTGTGCAAACACATGACTACTTCCATGTATTTTGTGTCTGCATGTGATCTACATTGGAGTGCATGCATGTGTTTTGTGCATCTGCACGAGTATGTTTGTGTGTGCGTGTGTTTCTTTACGTGTGTGGCTCTAGGGTCTCTGTGTGAGAGGAGTCGAACACCTGAACATCAATAACTGTCATGTGGGCCACCTGGGACCCCACAGCCAGCTTGCACCATGGGCACACAGCCATCACCAGCACAGCTGCCACAGAGAGAAAGGGGAGGGAGAAAGAGAGGAGAGAGAGAAAGAGAGAGCTGGGGGAGGAAGGAGGAGACAAGAAAGACAAGACACACTCACACGGCTATAAGAGAAGGTGACTGTGCATATACATCTGGGAGCAGGTCAGAGAGAGACAGACAGACGTGAGCAGAGAGGAGGATTTCCATGAAGCCTCTGCTCTGCATGATAACTCTCCTTTGTTCCCTCTTGTCTACATCTTCTTCTTTATACCGCCAGCCATGTGCCTCATTTTGCCAGCTGAGAGCTCAGCCTCAGGCTGCCACGTTTTAACCTCCAAATCAGACTATCTTCTTCTTTCAAATGAACCCAGTTAGTAGGCTCCATCAGACATGTCGTAATCTTTTTTTTTATTATCCAGTTAGCTGAAGAAAAAGAGTTCTGCACATGACTTAAAAACTCCACCTGTGACAGTTTCTAAAATTACATCACAAGAAAAAGATTAGCATCCTGAAGTGTTTTCTTTTTTTTTTCCAAGTTTTTTTCTGGCTCGCTCTACAGTTCTCTTAATAAAACCCCATAAATAAAGGGAAGGCAGTGGTGATATCTGACCAAACTAATTGCAGCTGGTATTGTTTGAACCAAAGCTGGACCTGAGAATTGAAAGTGAAGTTTCAGACTGCTAGCTAACCAGGTAACGCAATTAATTATCTCTTTTTGATGCATCCTTCTGACTGATACACATCGACTTGCAGCACCCTGCACGCATGCTTGCACACATGATTGGCACAGAAAGAGAGAGAGAGAGAGAGGCATCACTTAATGAACAACACTGAAAACAACCACACCTGTTTGGTTTTAGAGTTATGCTGTGTGACCTGGATATGACAGACATCTCCAGAACATCTGGTTGTGGTCAGATAGCAGAACTCTTGTATTAAAACCAAACAACAAATGACTACAATGACTTACACTTATTCACTAACTAACAAAAAGCCAATTCTAAGTTTGAAACAGTTGAATATAAAACGAGCGATAAGGAGAAATAATGTTTGAATCAAGCCCTCCTTCTTTCTGTCGGAGGATGTTTACAATAAATGCACTTCCATAAATACACTCCCTGATCTAAACACCTGCAGCCTCACCCAGCACCAATTAGCTCATCAGGCTTTTAATTACTCCGTTAATTGCATACAGGCAGCATGAAGGGCAGCCTGGGAATAGGGCAAGGGGGGCCTCAGGAGGACCCAGCCTGACAAGCCTGACAAACAAAGAGGAGCTTTTCTACCATCAACAGTCGTAATATGAGAGAGAGAGAGAGAGAGAGAGAGAGCTGCTCTGGAGGCTGGGAGGAGAAGCAAGACAGGAGACAACAGCTCCAAGTGCCTCATCAGCAGCGCTGCGGCACCCAGTGACATCACTTCCTGCAGGGATCAGTTCGAGACTGTGATCTGAGTGATGAGAGAGGCTGGGGAAAACAGAAACATGAAGGGCCGAGAAGCATTTGCGTGGAAGAAAAAAAAAAAAAAACATGTGAAGAGAGTTATGCGTACATCTGTGAGCGGCTACACTACATCTGGATTAGTTCATATTGGTTTGGAGGGAGGCGGGGTGGGGTGAGAGGAGAAAGCGTGGGAATGTCCCAGTGTTAAGTTTAGGACATGTGGGCTTATTGTATTTGTGGGAGAGTTAGGCTGAAGTCTCCACAGAGTGACCTGTCTGTCACAGAGCGCAGCGATAACACAAACATCCTCTTAATCGGAAAACACGCAAACACGCACACACAAATCACAAAACAGGCATGAGAAAGTGCATTTGTTTTCACCCTTGTTATTTGACATTTCCTCCAGCAAATCTCTTTATCATTGATCATGTCAGGCTGTCCACCTGTCTATCTCTCCCTCACAGCAGATGTCCTCCCTCCGTTTCTTCCAGGAGCGCTGTTTGAGGAGGTGTATCCAGGAAACAGTGGCCAGCGCTCACTTCCTGTGTGACAGGTGTGCGATGGAGGCCTGACAGCTGCTGTCCTGCTCTCTCTTTCCCCTCTCTGTATTCCTGTTTCTCCCTCTTTCCAGCCAGCTGCAGCCAGAGAGCGGCTCTGTTTGTTCTTACGTCACTGCTACTGCCGCTGCCTGCTGATTTATGGAGCACAAAAGACTTCGATTTGACCCTGGCAACATACACACATAGACACACACACACACACTTCATGGCTGTCCTCATAACCCTCATCATCCTGACTCTTCACATGTAAATATGAATCGTGGCTGCATCATTTTTTCCCCCCTCCCTCCTTTGCTTTGTGTGCTGCTAAAAACCTGACACTGAGCTGTCACTTACAGCTAAGATGGGAAAACAAACAGCAGATTAGTCATTCTCCTGCTTGTTGTCATGTATTTCATTTCATTTCAGTGTTAAATGTCTGCTCGTCACTATGGAGCTGTCAGCGCTGACAACACTGTCTGTAGCCTGAACTGTTCCTGCAGCCTGCCAGCGCTCTCATGCCTCTTCATTTGGCTCGCAGGCACAGCAACAATAGCTCCTGACATTAGCCAGGCATGGGCAGGGTGTTCTGTATTATCCTGCAGGACCCCATAGGTTTCTCACATACACACACACTGACACGCACAAAAACACCGGGAGAAGCGAGGGGAGGGGGGGGGACACTCATGTGACAGGTTGGAGAGAAGCTTTGACAGTTTCTCCATTTAGCCCACAGCCAGCTCATGCTGGAAGCTGCTGAAATAAATACCAGCTCCTCCTGTGGGACACCAGCCGACTACAGGACGCCGCCACAAAAACAGAGCGAGCGGGTGAAGAAAGAGGGCCACTGTGGTGCCAATAACATGGTGATTATGTGAGCTAATTAAAATGACCCACCGTCATGTGAAGTTAGTGGACAGCAAACACTGGGACTTTAAAGGATCAGTGCTGCCCTTTTGTGTGTCATTAGAGGTTTGACTGACCATATTAGAATCAGGGAGTGTTTTTTGCACATTTTAATAGCCTACTGTCACAAAGAGGTCAGATTCAGGTATAGGGCTTTAATTTTGAGGATAAAACTACAGTGACATGGAGTTAAAATGGACAAAACTTGACGCTTGAACATGATGTAGTCTGTTTCTCAATCTTTCTAAGCTTCACAAATTAAGTTTTAAAGTCTATATTTGACATGATAAACCTTTTTTCAAGAACTTGGAAGATTCTTAAATGATCAAATGTGTTTTTTCTGTCATCGTGTTTATTTTGTCTTACCATTATGATATTGGACAATTAGCATCACATTATAAACAATAGGGCCAATGCAGCCTTATGTTATCTAACACAACAGCTCTACCACAAATTATACTTTCAGGAGGCTTTTCTTGACACGATGACACTGGTGATCACAACTTTTTTATCACTGAAGATGCAGTGGTGAGCGGTGGTGTACAGGAGTGTTATTTTGGAAAGTGTTTCTGTTGTTTTGTCCACTTTATTAACAAATATGGGGGGAGGGGGCAAAGTATTAAGAACACCTTTTAATATGATGCCAACACCCACTACAACAGGCGATATGGGCTAAAAAATTAGCACGGTAAGATTTGCCATTTTGGCGATAACGATAAAAGTCTCAATAAGAATATGATAATTCCAGTTTTGACTCATTTTGTCTTGAGAACACCAGTTAGAATAGTCAAATAAGATACTTAACCACATGTTTGAGGACTAAATTATCATGACAGTGTGCTGCGAGATTTGTGTGCTTTTGACTGAATTATCTAATCAGCTTCCTTTAGAAATGTGCTCCCCGTCACTTCTGCCCTAAAGTTCCTACTTGTCTTCAATCGTCCTGTGAGTGTAAAAACCGTTCTATCAGCGATGTCCTCCTTGAGGTCAGAAAACAGGAGTAATAGGCTGAGCTTTGTCAAAGGAACTACTTAAAAAGACTCAGTGGAAACCTTCAATTACAAATTGTATACCATGCTGGTGGTGACAAATGAAATGCCAGGTGATCACTCATCTTACTGCCCTTTGACATATCAAGAACATCTCCGACTTCCTCTCTCTCTGCACTTCAAATACCCTCAGAAGCCCAAACATCCATCTTCTGGTGAAATTAGCTCTTTCCACATGCCATAATTTTATCTAGGAAAGGTAAAGTTTGTCAGAGAGAGAGTGTGTGTTTGTGTGTGTGTGTGTGTAGACAGATAGACAGAGAGCAGAGGAAGGAAGGCTGGAGCTGAGATAGGGTCTGTACAGCTAACTGGTAACACAACGGCACTCAGCGGCTCAGCGTCCCATTTGAAGAGAGACGGAACCATCTGTGTGGCACAGGATCTGTTTCCAGGAGATAACGGCTTTTTTAATTTCACAAATACTGTACATGGAGCGAGAGGGAGAGAGAGAGAGAGAGAGAGAGAGAGTTAGAGAGAGACGTGCTTTCCTCTCCAATCTCAGTCTGAATGCTCGTAGCACTTCCCCAGACGTCCAGAGAAGACTGATTCAAAGTGGAGGCCTTAATAACATCAATCTGTGCTCTTTTGGACTTGTTTACCCCCTGCCTGTGATAAAAACCCTCTATGTCAGGCACAAGGAAAGGGAGGGACCCATTATATCAGGTAGCATTGGTTGATACGAACTTCCCATTTTCTCCGCTGACCTGTCCGCTAGGCCTGATTAACACAGAGCGCAGGGCTACTGTAGATTAGCCCAGCTGTTTCCTGTGTCTGACTCGGATCTGGACACACTTCCTACCATGAAGGACAAGGAAGGTGCTGCTGGGAGAATGGGACAGGGAGTAGCCCAAGGGTGAAAATGAGGTCAGAGGTTGGCGGGCAAGTGGGGAAGTAAAAGGTGAGGAGGGGGGGAGCAGGAGGTGAAGCAGGCACAAGACAAGGAAGGGAGGAGGAGGAAGCCTTTTCTCATTCTCTAGCTGTCAGCAATTCAGCAATGTTGTGACACTTGTTTACAGTTGCATTTACGAGGGAGCATGTCTGTGCGATGGAAAAAATGCGCTGTCTTTTGAAATGCATAATTGAGGATGCAATTTGTCAGAGCTGTATACGTCGGAGTAATGAAGAGGCAATTCAACAAATAATTTCCAGAAATACTCAGCCACAGACGGTGTAGGTAAGGTAGCAAAGAGCACTTCCCCTGCTCTGCATCCATGGAAATGTAGAGAAACCACACTTGATAGTTCCAGTGAATGCTGGCATAGGAGGAATTTAGATTACGTGTGTGTTTATAAGTGTTATTCCTGGGAATGAGAGGATATACGCACATGTAAGGGCACCAAATGAGGAAATGGAGAAAGAGTGATATTTAACACACACGCATTTGGGGTTTTACTTGGCCTCCACCCTCCACTCTGCTCCCACGCTGTGGCGTCAGCAGGCCGGCCATCCAGTGAGTGTGCTTCTCATTCCATCAGATGTTGGGAAGCCGTTCGCTTCTCTGCTCTACTCTCTGACATTCTCCATCTCCCCCGAGAGGCTGGGCAGCCTTGTCACAGTAATGTCAAACACATGTGGAACAGACCAGGAGCAAACCAACACATACACACACACACTCACACACACAAGTGAAGGAGGATGGAGCGCAAGGCAGCCAGAACCACACTGGTCTGTCCCGCTGTGTATTAGAATAAACAGCAGTGAAACCATAGAGATTAAGCATCGGGAAAGTCACTTCATCACTCCTTCCATCACCCTCATGCTCTGTGTTCTCAAAAAACACCATGTAGCACACTTTGAACTCATTTGAACTGTATCGTCATTACATAGTCAGTCATATCAAGTCTGCTAGAACTGCTGTTAATTTGACCGTAGAAATACAGACGAAACCATGTGACTTCGACATTAACACGTCCCTGTCTCCTCTCGAAAAACCGCTGCAAATGAGCAGTCTGCCATGTTCTGCTTCTACCATGAAAACACACACTCACAGTCGGGTAGGAATGGTAAAACCCCTCATCTTACCAACAATTATGGCTTCCTCAGTATTTACAGTTTAAACTGCAGCAGCTATTTCCTCTCCGTGACACAAAATAAATAGCAGCAAACTTCCACTCTTATTTTTAGTAGCCTATACCCCTCCATCTATTGGGGGTTGGTGTAGCGCCATTCAGCTAATCAGAAAAATATAGTCCCCTATTTGAGTGTCAGACTGATCGTTCACGGTAAAGTAACAATGACGATAAAAATCATGTTTTTCTCGTCATCTACATGTTCATATGCAATTTTTCTGATCCTACAGGACATATCATGAGAAAACAAACTGCGAAATTGCAATTCTGGTTATTTCTGCATTCAAAGAGAAGTGTGCAGATCAGCGCCGTCTCCACCCGCGACTCAGAGGCGAATTGCTAATGAGCTACTGGAGCTCTGCAGAAGAAAAGTCCTTAAAAATGACACAGGTAACGTGAATTTGGCGAAAAACTCCATAATCACAATTTAAAGACCACTGAGAACACTTTGACTATTAAAAAAAAAACAATAGGAGTGAGACTTTAAATCAACATCTTACAGTATGAGCTGCACAAATATGGGCGATTTCAACGCAAATGTAAACAACCTTCTTGAATGTGATTTCTATAATGTACAGTATATGTAAAAGTGCCATGGTACTATAGAGGGGAAAATCCCACAGAGCATACATTTAACACCACACGATATAAAGGAAAAGGCTCAAACACTAACTGTGGGACACATCAGCTCCACACGCACAATAAAAAGAGTCAACTTAGTGTTAAAACACGCAATACTGGATAAAACACAATGTACGTGTTTGTTTGCATACGACATTAAATCCGTCTACGCACACATGTAATCACACAAACAGCCCTGGTGACTGCGCCTTGACCATCTTGCGACGGTCCAGGTGTGTGTGCATGTGTGTGTTGAGTTGACCACCTGACCGGCTCACTGTGCACCCGCAGCTCCACCACCGCCACCACCGCCCACCCGAGGCCATCTGCTCTGCTCATTAATTAGAAGCCAGCCAGTTTCACCTGCACAGCCCGCATTTAGATCACAATAATTACCACACATACATGAATAAAGCGCACTCAACAAGCCCACACACTCATACGGCAAACATGTAAGCTGTATACCCAGATCAGGTGCAGACAGTCTTTTGACCTGCACCTGGCGACACAGACACTTACTGACACACACACACACGAGAAGATGAAAAAACAGGAAGGACTTGCACCATCTTGTGCAGTTTTTCCTTGGATGTTATTCACTGTTGACTACCTTGTTAACACTGGCATGCATGGAACATAAAAAATATTGTTCTTCTGATACGTTTGTGGTGAAACGTTATGATATGATGTGCCTAGAATAGCAGCGATAGATCACTGAATAACAAAACAAGAAAAGAAGGGAGGACTAAGTGAAGTGTTTCTCCAGTTTCTCATTGTTTTGGTAATAAAATAATTCGACAAGTAAAATAGATTTGAGGTCCTGACAAATATCTTTCACTCTCCAACAAAAGCCTGATATTCACATTTTAAATTAGCCTTCTTCTTACTGCTTTTCCTACTCTTTCTCGCTCATGTAAGCTGAGGGGCTTAAAAAATGAGGACTGCAGATACAACTACTGTCTTGTTTTGTTTTGTTTTATTCTGATTATCTTTTATTTGTATTTTTAACTGTTTTTAGGTTCATTTACATGATCAAAATAAAGATATCAATCAATCAATCCATCTTTATTTTTAACATACTGATTTGAGCTGAGCTGTAAACGCTTTCTGTTTATGCATATATTGTTGCTCTTGTTCAGCTAATCATCTACTTGTATACCATGTTTTTGTTGTTTTTGTACCATGTGGTATGCCTCCTTCTTACAGAGTACATCCCATTCATGCACCTGTGGTCTATATGTAGTGAATAAACACTCTGAGGTCAGAATGAATGGTCAGCCTTTTAAGAGAGAGCTACTTAATGATGAAGAGGGGACATCTGCCTGAGCGGACGGACGGCCAGCAGGGCCCAGCTGAGGGATGGAGGTGGAGAGGAAAAGATGCCCGTTTGTGGTGGTGGTGATGGAGGTATAATGTGCGGTGGGGCTGGGTGTGTGCACTGCGGTTTCACCTCTGCAACCCCCCGTCTATTGTTCGAGACTATTATCAACTGTTCAATTATTCAGATGATATTTACCAGGGCCAATTATACAGGGCCGCATCCTGCAGAGAAAATGGCCTGAGTGTTTTACTGTTGCACTCACAGGCGGAAGAGAGCGCTGCTGAGGCTGTTCAAGTCAGGGAGGAGAAACCTCTGGCAGGACATATTCTTCACAGGGAGTGTCCCCCACAGTCACCAGGGTCAGTAGAAATTACCCACCATGATTCAAGCTTTTTCAATCAATTTTCTGCTGTGTTTATTTCCCGCTGTTGCCATAGTGTCCCTGTTAAACACTTCCTCTACCTCTGTCTTCTACTGTCTCGAGTTTGTATCTTCCACAGTGCAACAGGAACACCCTGCACTTAAAAAAGAAACAGTTGATCTCTTAAAAAGTTTCTTTTGTTCTGGACTAAAGTAAAGTACAGTAAAATAGCGGGTTACTGGAGTTCAGTTGAGGGTAAGGGTCTGAATGTATCACTTCACACACATCATCATTCATCCAGTCCAGGTGAACACCAAGTTCACAGAGCAAAGATTTAGAGTCATCACTTTGTGCAGCACCACTTTGATGTGCAGCACAGGCTGATGAGGCAAACAACACATGAACCCTTTATATCTCTCCCGCTCCCTCTCCCTCTTGTTCGCAGTCACATTTTGGTCACTTTTAGGTAACAAAAGAAGTAAATGAAAAGATGAGGGTGTACACATCCAATAAACATATTGCTGCCTGCATCGCCAAGAACAGACAAATAATAACATGCAACAATTCCCAGGACCATCTGTATGTGCAGGAACAACTGAATCAGAAAAAAAGTGCTTTTCCACTGACAATATTTTTTTTTCTGTGTTTCATACACTTAACTGTCTGGAGACGACTTAAACTGCAAAATAACGCATTTAGAGAGGATAAGGTAAATGATAAAAAGACATGTTCAAGACAACAGAGAGAGCAGGTCTGGTTTGCACTCTTCTTAAACTCAGTCTACTGAAAGATGTTTATCAAAACAGGAGATACAATTTGTGATATTAAAGCAGCTTTCTCTTGATAGTGTGAACCCCTTTTTTTATCACAACAGATGTTCAGAAAGCAGGAAAAACTGATTACGCTCCAGCTCTTGAAATATCTGATATCTAGAAAACGAATTTAAATCAATAACAAACTAAATGTTTCCCCATGCTCTGCTCCAGTCTGCAGGTTGTACTTACTTTGTGAAGGTCGAGGTCAGGCTGAGGTAATTGTAGCGGTGATAATCCACACCGAATGGTTTCTCAGACAGGTTTTATACCGTCTCAATCCTCATTATTTGGGTGAAAAAAGGGGTAAAGCCTTATTTGCTTTAGATCGGTGAACTATTAAGGTGTTATCCTCGGATTTCTTTTATTTCTTTGAAGTATGGAGAGGAAAGAGGGGCAGACGCCACAGTCTTGTACAAAAGAAAATGTTAAACTTTCCTTTCAAAGTTCACGAAGGATGATTTCTGACTTTCCAGGGTTTAATAAATTATGAGGTATTTCTTTTTTCAGTAATACCGAAAAAGGAAGACACTAAATTTTGGATCCTTACGCACTTGAATGTCTTTGGTTTCGCTGTCCGTTTTTTTTTTTTAAAGAAAGCAAACAGCTCCTGGTGTTGACAGTGATGTAAGGAAAAAAAAGAAATCACAACTTGTCCCAGTCATGTAAATCCACTCTCTTTCTCATGGTAACCAGCTCAGACTGAAAGAATAACAGAAGAAACGAAGGTTCAAGCTGGAAGAAGGTCCGTTTAGTTCGGTACAAGCAGACAAAACTATTTAGGGGGTTTTGTTTTGTTGCTGTGAAGTCCACGAGTGCTCGCGTAAAAACGCAAAATATGAAGATGCGGGTCCTCCTGTTTGCAGGGTGCGTCTGTTATTCCTCCAACTTTAAACCCTCTTCTTTAGTTCACAGTTCAGCCACAGTCTCTGCTGTCAGGAACAAGTCATTATACATCCAGGGAAATGAATTCAGTTTCCTTTTCTGGTTGAAAAACACAGTTTCTCTTCAGCCCGGGGACTCTCCACGTTTCTCTGTACGGTCCTTCTCCTCCTCTCTCTCTCTCTCTCCGTCGCGCCGCCGATCCTCTACCGACCTGCCTCCTTCACAGGCTGCTGGGAAAGATTCACTTCTCCCGGAGTAATTATCAGTTAGTTGGGCTAATTTTAGGCTTTCTTTTTTTTCCAGCCGAAGAATAATTTCGGGTTTGATAGAGTAGTTGTTTTGTCCTCAGTGATGAGTGGAGCGTACGGGCCCACTGTGCGCAGTAACCGCGGCTCTCTCTCCACCTCCTCCTCTCTCTCTGTCCTCGCTGTAGCCTTCTGTCTGCGTTTAAACACCATCTGGAGCTCCTAACCTCTCTCTCTCTCTCTCTCTCTCTCTCTCTCTCTCTCTCCCTCTCTCTCTCTCCCTCTCTCTCTCTGGTACCATCAGAGACACAGGAGCTGGCAGCTATTGTACAGGAATCCTCTTAAAATTGAAGAAAAATCCACATGAACCCCAAAATTTTATGTTGATAAATTAAGATAACGCCTCTGGTAAATAAATATGCTGTGGGGTTTAACAAGACATGCATAAACACTGTTTTGTAATTAAGATTAAAACACAGCTACTTTTACATAAAGGATTGTAGCTGAAGAGAAGAAGTAGTTGCGTTTAAGTATGGACTGTAAAGTGCAGTCTGCAATATATTCAATCCTTTATGTTTATAACCTGATACCAAAAGCATCAAATCAAAAGGGGTCCAGTTAGACTATGTTGCTGTGCCGCTGTCTGCCCGTGGGGGCCGCTGTTTCCTCAGATCAGGACTACAACAAGGTGGAGCAGGATGGAGTCCACGAGACTGCAGACTTTATCTGACTTATTTAGCACAAAAAAATGACAAGAACAACTTCCCGAGACAGCAGTGAACAAAGAAAGAGTAAAGAGTGCGGAGCTTGTAAAATCTGTTAAGTTTACCTTGAGTTGTCATCAACAGTCAGGTGAATAGATTGAAGATAGCATGGCTGTCTTGAATGGAAAATAGCCCTTTTATCACTATCATTAATGTTCCCTTTTTACTGCTCTGCATACATTATATGCATCTTTATGTCTTTTTTATAGTGCCTGATAATGTTGCATTTATGTTGTTCCAGTGTATATAGCACATCTTAACATCCTCTTTAATTGGCAGTTAAAACACTGTATTTTTTAAAGGTGACAGTGGGACATCTGTTATAGGACTATGATAAGGCTGCGAAACGAGACTATTCCAATTCTTATATTGTTGCAAAAAAGAAAAAAAATAAGGCTTTTGTTTCTGGTTTACAAAGTCAACAGAATTTTTCTAGTTTCCATAGTTTGCTATGACAATACAACAGGGGCGTCTCTAAAGGGGTGATCATGGGGTGGCTTGGGCCCTCCATAAATATTAACGCTCTTTACGTTTCTGAATCAAGCTTCAAAACTCTTAGTTTAGAAGGAGGTGACAAGACGTCAACGATTTCCAGGAAAAGTCTCTGTTTTGAGATGACCCCAGAAAATTCCCTGATTTAAGTGTTTCATGAATGAGAAAAAAAAAAAGTTACGTGTAGACTAGAACAGCGAATATTACGGTAGCTGAGTAGTTAGGAAGCGCAGGTAGGCATGTTGCGCGCAGTAGTGTTGTGTCGTTCCTGAACGATTCGTTCAAAAGAACCGAATCTTTTAAGTGAACGTACTGAACTGAATCACTTCCTCAAGTGATTCGTTCGTTTCTCACTTCAGTTGAGCTGAAGTGAGAAACAGCGTTGCCAGGCCAGCAGCTGGCGAACGAGGGACCACATGCACCGACGTCTGAATCACTTGGTGAACAAATCACGCATTGAACTACACTCTCTGGAATCATTTTTGTCGGACAAAACTACCTTTTTTTCCACTGCTAAATTGCCACCACAACAACTTCATACAATAGGACACAGCATGTAACAAGTAGTGCATTAAACCTGCAGCATCCTATCATTGCAGCGGTTTGCGAGGGAACGGTGCATGTTCAGTGTGACATTCAGTGAACGAATCACTCACTGAGCCCAACTTACTGAGCAGACCTGATAAATAGCATACCATAGGAGTGTACACTTAAAACATCATGACTTATAAACAAGTTCATTTTTACAAACCTGTTTGCCAAATCAACATAGCTCTCAACACTCTCATCTCCCGGCCCCAGAAGCTATGAAATCCTAAAACGTTCAGCTGTGTATCAGTTCAGGAGGTCGGAGTCGCAGGCTTCTCCAGCTAAATGATTTGGTGATTTGGTGAACGTATCTTTTAAACAAATCTTTTTAGTGAACTGAGAACTTTCAGTGAAGTGAACTTTAGTGAACTGCCGTGCCCATCACTAGCGCACAGTCCTAAACAACAGTTTTTATGGTGTGTTTAGACTAGCTATAAATGTTCTTTAATTTGTTGATTTTATGCATTTATATGTTTAGTTAACATTGCTGCTTATTTTAAAACTGCCTCGTATGGAAACCTTGACTGTTTTGAAAGGCCCCTACACATAAAATGTCTTGTTATTATGTTACTTATATCATCTACATTAATTCTATTATCAAGTCCATGTATTTTGCTATATTACTTATTTCAATATGTTTTAAATTGACTTCAATTAGCATCACTTTGTTTTGAACACACACACAGCTCTCATCTCTTTGCACTCACAGATGTGTCCCGTCCTGCCATTTCTGTAGATGAAAGATAGACTTTTGAATGACCACGTCACATTTGGATACTACAAACTGCACCATCACTTAGGAATAAACAACTTCATGTTAAAAGTATGTATATGGGTAGACAAACACAGGCGGAGAAAATGGCAGGTACATCTGGTTCCTCTATAGTGAGAATCCTCCACCTGTCCACACTGGTCTGTTAGGCTCTTACCCCACCCACCTGCCTCTCTCTCTCTCTCCCTCTGGCGGACACATACACACACCTTACCACACACACATACACACACATAGCCATAGTGGGGGACAGAAGACAAAGCTGACAACCCCCTGACCTCTCCTGTGTCTACAGAACAAACAGAACCAGCTTGTAAAGTACACACAGACAGCTGCTCTGCCCTGACTCTAGTCTCACCAGCCTCACCATGCATCCTCTAACACAAACACTGCCTTCATATATTAAAGAGCAGGAAAATGGATTCAGAAAAGAAAAAGCAGGGCAGGAAGAAGTCCTGACTTCGATGGATTGGTGTGTAAAAGTGTCCTGTAAAAGAGGAAACAAACTGATATGACCTGATACGCCGGGCTGATGAATTTGTTGAATCCATACAAAGCTGATTTACTGTTCAAACACACACTGATACAAAGTAAAACACACCAACATTACACACATAAGCAGATGCACAAGCTATTACAAGGTGGGTCTGTTAGAGGCAACATGTGTAGAATAACATGGTGGAAGTACGGTTGTCAAGGAGATGGATGGAGTGTTTATGAAACTCCCTCTCTTCACTTTTCTCTCCTCTAGAGTTATGGCCCTAGGTGTACACATGCAGCTGTTTGTGAGTGTACGTCTCCTTAGTATGTGGCTATAGAAGGCTTATTTGTTTCATGTGCAGAATACTTATAAGGGAAGAAAAGGTGTGCGTGCATGTCAAAGTGTGTGTGTGTGTGGGTGTGTGTGTGTGGCCTTGAGTGACAGAAAGGTTGGGCAATGGGGGTTGCATTCAAAGAAAGGATTCCTGTCAAGGTGACAGCTCATGAGATTGACAGGATGCTATTCTCCTCGGGAGCGACGTCAGTCAACCTGTCAGCCTCCCCGTGCGACAGTCCCTCACTCCTCTTAATTTGGCCTTTTGTCGAGCGGTCACTGGGTTAGCTGTGACACTCCAATGTGGTCGTCCTGATAAACTGCACAAAGAGACGCACATAAGGTGGGAACTCGCCTGGATGAACTCTCCATGCCGTCTTATTCAACTGAAAGCTCCTTTGATGGCATTAGAATAGCTTTGTCTCCTCTTTTATTTCACTCTGCTTATCTCTGCGTCACCCAAAAAAACACACACACACATACACACACACACAGATCTGAACTCTGTGATGTTGACAGCGTCTCCTGGATCGTTAAGCACTTCTTATGATGCAAGGTTTGGTCATTTTACTGGCATAGAAATGACTTTTTCTAAATGTGTGTGTGTGTGTGAGTGAGAGAGAGAGGCAGAAGTTTGCAGCAGTTCCTGCACTTACACACACACACATTGTAAATCCTTTCCTATAGTGGCAGTCGCAGGCTAGTGTGTTGAAATGAGATAAGGCCCTGAGCCGTCTGAAAGGAACACCAGACCCATTGTGTTCCCGCGCTTTCTCCTCTTCTTCTCCTATCCTCTCGTCTTTTATGCACCTTTAACAGTCTTATGGAGGTATCATTAAAGTCTGCAGTGAGGAAAGAGAACATCTCACTTGATCAAAAACAGGAAAAAAAACAACCTCTGAGTTGTGCCTTACAGAGAGGAATGATTGTGTTTGTGTGAAGAAACGTCCCTTTACTGCAGTTTCTCTGAAAGCGCGCTTAAGAGGTTACTCAGGATGTTGTTCTCTTCCATTTTTATGTTAACATCTCCACAGTGTGCTTGTCCTAACGCCGCTCCATAATGTTGTGAAAGAGGATGAGGCAGAGAGTCTTTCTGTAATATGCCATGCTGTAACGGATCATTGACCCACCCACTCAAGCACGTACGCTGGAATGCTGCTTTTACAAATTGCACCCATAGACCCTCTGACATTTTGTTTGCAATCGAGCAGCAAAGTGTTGGTTGTCTGAATCATCCAGACATGATGGGAATTCAAAATTCAATTCGTGCTCTTTGGGAGAAATAATGTCCTTTGAAATACTTGACTGCCAGGGTTGTTTCTGCTACAGAGCGACTCCAAATACTACACAATGGTTTACTCTTAAAACAGTATGATTGGCTCTGTGTCGATCCCACGATCTTTGACAGTAATTTTTAATCCAATTATAGATTTTTCCTAAATATGGCCATCTACAAATCATATTTGACTTATTTCTATTTCTGTGCAGAGCAGGGCAGGATAGTTTCATTTATTGTCCATATTGTGCAAAATTTACAATCTGCTTTTCCCATAAAGTCAGTCAGAGCATCGAGGATGAGACTGAAGAGCAGCGAATTTTTACTTTTATTTCTTTGATATATAAGGACCAAATAAAAACAGGCTAATGACATACTGTGGGGTGTATCCAAGGCCCATGTAATGCCATAGTTGACAAGCTAGTTTCAGGTAAATATCATGATGATCTTGTAACCATGACAACAGGAAACTTTAGTGTTGACAGCTAGAGTAACGTTAGTCAAAAGTTGCAAATGCCAGCAGTGTATGTTTCCAATCAACAACATGTATACATAATTTTGAGATTGTATTGTTATTATTATTATTAAATGGATCAGCACCACTGAACATCTCTGACCCCCTCATTTCTACACCCCCTCAAGGTCTGCTGATCAGCTAATTCATATAATCTCCAAGACCAGGCTGAAAACCCTGGGTGACCTGCCTTCTCTGCTGTGGCCCCCAAACTGTGGGATGAGTTACCCCTCTGATATTAAAGTGTTGGAGACTGTTAACACTTTTAAATCTCAGCTCAAAACTTACTTTTAATCTTTGGCTGTAAACCCAGCAAGGAATAAAGCAAGTGGTGGTTTTATATATTCCTTTTAATATCTTTTTTGAGGTCTGATAGGCTCGCCTTCTTTTATGTACCTTTATGTGTTTCATCTGTGACATGTTTTTTTTATTATTATTATTCCAGCTTTTCATCTTATTTTTTTGTTAAGATGTGCTCTGTAAATACAGTGGATTGGATTGGATCTTATTCTGCTCTTTCAGTGGATTTTGTGATACTAACACAGAGGTATCAGACTGGTATTGGGAGGAAAAAACATGCAATGTTCTCACAGACCCACTTTGATGAAAATCAGGTTTTTCTTGTTGTCTACATGTTCATATGGAATTTTTCTGATGCTACAGGATGTATAATGAGAAAAATAAGTGCAAAATTGCATTTCTTAGTATTTCTGCATACAAATCGCTGTGAATCTCTGGCAGACCCAAACGGCAGGTTCAGACACAGTGAGATTTCTTACATAGTAAAACCAAGCTCCACCCCTGGAGCTCCACTATGCAGGCAACAGTCAGAAAAATAGAGAAGATGATCGCGGAACAAGCGTATGCGTTAGTGGTTTGCGATGCTCGTAGAAAAGCAAATAATGATATTTACTTTCATCATCCCCCAAAGACATTAGTGTCCAAGAGCTGAATAGCTCCTATGTTACCTGCCACTTCTTCTACATCGAAAATGTTAGGGTGCAAGCTAGCATGAAGAGGAGCGTGCAGAGCAGCGCTGTTTTCGTCGACGACTCAGAGGTGAATTGCTAAAGATCTACTGGAGCTCTGCAGAAGAAAAGCCCTTGAAAATGACACAGGTAACACGATTTTGGCTAAAAACTTCATAATCACAATTAAAAGACCACTGAGAACACTTTAAATAGTGAAAAAAAAACAACAGGAGTGGGACTTTAAGGAGTTCTGGTTGGATGTGGTACATTAAGTGTTCCAGTGCATTTATTTGTTTTCCTTGGCAAGAGAGCCACGCTCAAACAGGACTGATAAACACAGGGCCACAGCTGACCAACAGAAGAGCAAACCGTTAAAGGAGGAAGTGACATCTGATTGTACCAAGTGTTGTTGACTCAAGGACAGGACACACAACCTGAGCTCAGAGGGAAACAGACAACAAAGATCCTCAGTATGCAGGTGAAAACACCTCCCGTTCATTCACACGAGAAAAGTTACTGCTGTAAATGACTGTTTTCCCTGAGAGACAATCTGTGTGTGCATGCACGTGTGTTTGTGTGTGTGAGTCTGTTTTTGTGCGTGTGCAGACAGTTGGTGGTGCTGGCACTGGAGATAGGGAGAAAGGGGGGATGAAGCACTGTATCAAGTTGTGAACATCTGTTCCTCATAGAAACCACAAAGCTGGTGCTGAGGAAATACAGAGGGTTACTTCTCTCTCTCACGCCCACACACACCCACACAAACACACTCTCACCTCCCAACAACACCTTGCCTTCCTTCACACACACGCCTTTCCCTTTTTATCCAATCTTTATCACTTCAGTGTTTCTTCCTCTTATCTCTTGCATCATCATCCCTTTCCTCCGCATTTTTAATGATCTCTGACACCGGTGTTTTCTTGTGCGCGCGAGACCAAAAGAGATGCAATACATTCCTATTTCTGTTGAAATGTGGTGTTATTTTAGACTTGCATTACAGTTATGACCTTGACAAACACGTCTACATTTTTGTCCTGTCATTTTTGGTTTTAGATAATGAAGTATATCAGATTAACTTTTTGAGAAATGATGACATGACAAAAGTGCCAAGCAAACCATTTATGTTGAAGGGTGAGAAAAAAGAAAAGAAAGATAACATCCACACACAAGAATTGCAAAACTTGTATGCATGGTAGGTGTCTCAGCTCTTGACTCACTAAAAACACACACTAAACTTTACAATTTTGAGAAGTCAAATAAAAGGAGTTCAAAAGACAAGTCAGTTGGAAACATCTTAAATCGGGGTTTGAAACTGGATGGACAAAGCTGATGATGTGTCCAGACAGGGAAAGCTGCAGTGGTATCTATCTTGGACGCTGAATAAAAGTGGTCTCTCTCTATATATAAAAAGTGTAAAGAATAGCCTCCTTATAGCCATGAAGGATTAGGATTGGGACTAAATTATAAAGTCTATGATACAGCAGACATGTGCTAAGGCTTTGTTAGGGATTCACTGCACCTTCTCCCTCAAAGTCCATTGATTTAGTCCTCCTTCCTTTTCACCATCTCTCTCATTGCCTTCCTCTCTCTCTATCTGGGCCTGCTGTGACGATGTGCTACTGCTGGGTGGCAGTTCCTTATTGCAGAGTGTCTATATGAGTGTGTGTGTGTGTGTGTAAATGTGTGTGTGTGTGTGTGTGTGTGTGTGTGTCTGTATGCTGTGTGCGGCTGATAAGACCCAGGGAGAAGAGCCAGCGTGCCGACATATTCTTGCCACCGCGGTTATCGCCCGTCGCAGCTGTGCCTGAGCTCTGCGACATCTGCTCCCTCACAGGAAGCCTATGCTGCAGCTCACAACACCTCGCACGCACGCACACATGCACGCGCATGGACACACATTTCTGCTTCTCCCTCATACAGAGCTAACATACCTCCGGACCATCCATCCATCCATCCACAAAAACATACACATTTACATCAGGTGAACTGCTTAAAACAAAGACAAGTATTTACTGTTCACATTTTGATTTCTTCACTGTAGGTCTGAATATGTGTATGTGTGAATGAGAGGGAGATGAATGAGTAGGTACAGCGACACCAGAGTTCTACTGGGTTTTTATCACAGAATTACAGGGGGGATGCTTATGACTAAGCCTAATTATAGAGGCCTTATCACTGCGACGTTCACAAAGCTCATTACTGCCAAGAGACGGCAGGCGCTGCAGGTAATTCACTCCGTTGGGTATTAGTCCTCGCTCTGGCTTACAGTTTCTACATATTTAGACTCTATAAAATTGCTCCTTTAATGTCTGATTCTTAATGCATCTAACTCCTCAAACCCTCAACTGATTTAAGTGAAGGTTTTCATTTGTGACCAACGGGCACTACTTCAGTATTGTCACCGCTTTAAGAATCAATTACATTTGCCTTTTCTTCCCTTTTCATATTCCTGGATGTCTTTTGAGTATTCCTCCCGTAGCTGCAAAATTCCCCCTCTAAAAACTTTTTTTTTTCTTCTTCCCATCATCATGAGATGGGATGGAGCCCCATGATTTGCATGTTTCTTCATGCTGCTGTTGAAGCTGAGCACAAAACTCCACAATCTGGTTCTTTTCCCTCGCAGCTGCATGGGGAAGCCCAAAGGAAGAACCCCCCACCCACCTAGTGCTCTAAAAACCTCTTTCCTTTTCCTCTCCAGTCCCACAGGACAAATACACTCCACTGGGCTTGTTAAGTGTTATGATATTTGCTTGACAGCTCATATGAACACCATAATATATGACAATGAGTGAAATGTGGAGAGAAACTACACTTGGTGGCTAAAATTATCTTTAACCCAACCTCTAAGCGGATGGATCACTTTTACACATCTTACTTGGAGAAGAAAAGGTGCACAAGTTTGATGTTATTCTTAACCTTGAAACCCAAGCTTCAATCATCAAATAAAAGGTCTACCTGTGAGATGAAGAAACCTTGTATTGTCCTTACAGCATGCACGCTAAGTCAACACAGACTGATTATCCGTCAATCGCTCAAACTTAATGAGCAGACCTGACAGCTGCAGGACCCTCCATCAGTCATCACCGTAACACACTGCCAAAAGATTTCATGGAAGAGGTTCTTTCAAATGACAAGCTCCTACCTTCACTGCATCTGTAGAGGCTGCTGGTTGCCAGGTTTGCACCGAGGCTTGCGGGCAGGAGTCTGCGGACGGTGTGTTTCTCCCCCAGCTTTCTGTGGCTGATCAGAGTCACGGTGGGGACACGTGGAGAAAGAGCTGGAGCGGAGGAAGCCCCGGCTCTGAGGTCGGCCGTCTTCTGGTGATCCAAATAGACCTCTGCAGACATGTCTGAGCCTTGGAAACACCACAGCTAAGATTTAGGAAAGGAAAGTTGCTTATCAGTTTTAGTCTAAGGCCCGATTTGCACTCGAGCAGGTCTGGACTGAAAGCCAATGCTTAAAATCCCACAGATGCTTGAAGGCTTCCCCGCTAGAAGTTCAAGTCCAAATGTTTTGAAACCATTCCAGGTTTGAGTAGGAAGTCTTCAGATCACTGAATGACCCACTGAACTGCCATCTAAGGACAAAGTCGTAACTGTTATGTAAGTCTCAAAAAGAGTCAGGAAAAAGTCAGATGTTGCTCCCTTCACTTGATCCCTCACCTCCGCACACAGAGTTAGATCCTGGTCGTGCATTTCTTGTATTCCTCTGGTTCTGTTTCTTTGCTTCACAACAGCACACACCACTGGGCGCCAAAGATGCATGGTGGTTGCATGTTTATTCCCACAACGGTCTTCCTCCTCATTTAAAAGTCTGCTCCACCTAAATCGAAAGCCACACTTGTCATTCCTGTGTGTTCACCTTTCTTCCTTTTGGGCCCCCTGTTTTCTCTTCGTCTCTTCATCAGCAGAGTGCATGAGAACATGTGTGTGTCTATGTCAGTGGCAGGTCAGTGTGGCTCCGGCTAAGGGGCTGTGCTCTCGTCTGAACCCTCCTCCTGCCTTGCTTGCTTGCTTGCCGCTGCAGCTGAAAAACAGAAGTGTGTGTTAGTATGTAACAGTTTGCGTGATTCCCGTGTTGCAGCGCCACAGCCCTCTAGGGAGGCCAGGCAGCAGTGCTGGCTGAGGTGATAGCTGCAGACAGCAGCAGGCAGCAGGACTGGGCCTCTGTCTGGGCTTCCTCTGTCAGGAACCAGCTGTGTCTGCGGACCGCAGCCTCTCCTTCCTACTTGCCTACTTGCATCCTCCTTCCTAAGTTACCCCATACATCCTTTGCTTCTATTCTGTGGCCTTTTATGTCACCTCTTACACTTTTCATACATCCATTTAAGGCTTTCACAAAACAGTGGGGAAAATAATTATTTGACCTCCTGCTGATTTTGTAAATTTGCTGATTACAAAGGAATGAGGAGTCTGTAAACTTTATGGTACCTTTATTTTAACAAGTAGAGACACAATATCAACAGAAAAGTCCATAAATAAACATTACATTAAGGTTATAAATTAAATTGAACCCATCTCAGGAGGGATTTTGGTCCTCTCCTCTTTACAGATCCTCTCCTAATCCTTCAAGTTTTTGAGGCTGTTGATTTGCAACTCGCAGCATCAGCTTTCGTTACAAATTTTCTATAGGACTAGGATCTGGAGACTGGCTAGGCCACTTCATGATGACCTTAAGATGCTCCTTGTTGAGACACATCTTTGTTGCCTTGGCCAAATGTTTTGGGTTGTTGTCGTGCTGGAAGACCAATCCACGACCCATCATCAGAGTTCTGGCTGAGGGGGGAGGTTCTTGTCCAAGATCTTACACTTCATGGATTCATCAATTGGCCACTCAATGCAGTGAAGTCATCGAGGAACAACCCCAAAGTCTTATGTTTCCACCTCCATGCTTGATGGTGTTCTTGGGATTATTTTCAGTATTTCTCTCTCTCCATACACGACAAGAGGAGTTGATGCCAGAAATTTTAGTTTTAGTCTTATCTGACCTCATCATCTTCTCTGAATCATAAGGTGTTTATTCCCAAACTTAAGACAGGGCTGTAAATGTGTCTTTTTAAGCAGAGGGACCTTTCAGGCACTGCATGATTTCAGTCCATGATGGTGTAATGCATTGCAGATAGTTTTCATCCTTCTCGTTATCATTCATACCCTGCAAGGTGTGACCTTGCATGAAGCTCCAGGCCAAGGGCGATCAGTGGTTACTTTATGTTTTTTTTTTTTTTTTTTTCCATTTTCTAGTAAGTGCACCAACAGTTGTCTCCTTCTCACCAAGCTCACTAATGGTCTTTAAAAGCATCCCTACCTTGTGGGGGTCTACAATCTTGTCTCTTGTCCCTCACATCCTTTGTTTGTCTTGCCCATGGTGGTGGAGAGGTGGGAATGAAAGAGACTGGTTTTGTTGACAGGAGGGGGCCTGTAATCCACCAAAGAAATTCTTGGTCAACTAAAACCCTGATTTTTTCAAACTCTGAAGGCAAACCCTTCTGCAGTGGGGGACGACGTGGCTTGGCGGGTTGAAAATAAACTGATATCAGCTCAAGAAGGAAATGTAACATGATGAAAGTCGAAACGCTCAAAATAAAAAATAAATATTTTGCAAACCACCGGATTAACGTGGATGCTCTTCAATCTTCCTGTCTCTAACCGGTCTCAAGTAGGTTGGGCAAATCCAAAATCGTGGAAACAATTAGCAGTTGGTACGTTCCTCCTGATGAATTTACCCATAGACAGTAAATTGATGTGGAAAAAAATCGAGTCAACCAATCAGAACTTTGATCAACTCAGCACGTATTGACCAATAACTCAACCAGTCGACTAGGACTCTACAGACCTAAACATTTTATAAAGGTTATAGAATCATTTTTATTTAATCAGCTGAAATAAGTGGACCAGCGAGGAATCCTGGCTCCCACAGACCAGTTATGCTCCTATGAGGCACCTTTGAGAAAGTATTCTCAAACTCACAACAAAACAAACTTAAAACCTTGTTGTTCATTGGCTTCACCGATGTCAACTTAATTCGATCAAACATCATAACATTTCAGCACTGATGTGTGATTATTATCTCACCACTCTACACTCTAATAATCAGCTCTGTGTCTGTGTGGGAAAAAGACATATGCTCGAACACTGCCGTCTCAGGTTTAGAATCAAAGATGCAGGCGTAAACTTCACAATGTGCAAACAGCTGAACTCGGCTCTCATGTGAAACTCTAGCAACACTGTAGCCGTCACCTCTTTGGCCCCTGACCCCTCAGGACTCATTAACCCTTAACCCAGACGGAGGGGCCTGTGAGTGGAACAGCAGCGCTCCTCTGTGCCCTGTCGCCACACAAACACACACATGTACACATTTACACACACACACAGTTACTTTTTTCTGGATCAAGTAGTGTGCTGATGAGAGAAGTGAGAGGGGATGTGAGAACACAGATGTGCCAAGTGGCGGCAGAAACCAGCGCACATATGGTCAGCAGCAGAGAGGAAGTGAGAGAAACTCATGCTGCTTTCTGTATTTGGGTGTGAGGGGGCGGGGAGAGGAGAGGAGAGAAGAGGGAGTTTATTCAGTAATTTCTCTATAAACCTAAAATGTTTACTGCAAATGAAACTAGGGTGTTTTTTGGTATCTGAACCAGTGGGACTCCCCTCACCAACAAATTACGTTGAACAAGGAATTCACATTTTAAACACTTCTCAAGTTTATGTCACTAATGGTGAATTAAAAGTGCTTTTAATAGGAACAACTAGAGTAATCTTTTAAAAGTCAGGAGGATCGATAATTATACAGTAGTCAGTATCAAAAAAAAGCATTCAGTTATTGCAGGATTTGAACTTTCATGAGAACACACCAGGTGTAAGCGAGAGATATAAGAACAAAAACAAAGAAACAGAAGTAGATAAAAGGGTGTGTTCGAGAAAGAGGCCAAAGCTGAGGTCAAACTGGATGTTGCATAAAAGTTTTTCACTCAATTATTCGGGGAAATGTGAAAGGAAAAGTGAAGATACATGGCAGTAGGAATGGCCGATAAATCATCGCTCACGATTTATCGTCAGAAAATTCCTCCACGAAAAATATTTGCCATCTCACGATCAACATGATAAATGCAAGTTGATGACGCAAGTGTGAGCAACGGGCTCGCAGCCGTAGCCCACACATATAAGAATAATAAACAAACAAACAAACATGGCTGAAGGCAGAGAAGAAGACGTCTCTGAGCAGGTTGTTGCTGAATGAGGCTCCATGTTTAGACGAGTGCAATCGAGAACGCCTGACGTCAAAAAGTGGATCTGCTGCCGCTCACTCTGTGCAATTAGAGTTTTCGATAAATGTTGTAAGTGTTTTCACATTTCAGACTTGTTTCATGTCACTAGTTTTCTCTATTACCGTCCCTGATACGTGTAGTTAAGTATCTTAACTGACTATGCCAACTGGTGTCCTCAAGACAGAATGAGTCAAAAGTATGGTTATTGGCAGAATGGCAAAACTTATCCTGATGAATTTTTTAGCCCACATCGCCCATCCCTACATGGCAGTCTGGTTTATAACAATGGTGTCAACTCTCCATAAACAATCCAAACTGAAAGTTACATGTCCAAATGATGCAGCAACAAGATAAGAGTTTATGAACAGACATCATCACAGATAATCTTATATCAATCTATCAAATCGAAATCCCACATGGAAAAGATGCACAATGTTTGATACCTGGTGTTTTTCTCAGATGACATCTGAGAAACCCATCTGGTGCAAACCTCAACACACACACACACACACACACACACACACACACACACACACACACACACACACACACACACACACACACACACACACACATATCTTCCCCTGTGCCTGTGTTATAGAAGCCTCTGCTCCTTTGCCTTCCTCCTCCCCTCAGATGTTGGCAGGTATAAAATGAGTTTTTGGGGAGAGAGAGATAATGATTCCCCCATAATCACCAGAGGCCAGCTCTGGTTCTGGCAGGTGCTATCACAGCAGCGACCCAGTGGTGCCTTCTCCCCTGAGATAAGGTCAGAGGGGGTGTGGGTGTGGGGGTTGGCGGGAGGATGGGTGGAGAGGAGAGGAGAGCAGGGGAGGAGAGGAGAACAGGGGCAGAGGGAGGCAAAACGTGTGTTACAGGCGAGCAGCTAGCCTCACCTTATCTCCCCCCAGCGGCTGCTGCTACTGGCTTCCAGATGCGGCAGGCCAGAGCAGCCGTGTCAGAAAGATCCCTCTATCAGCGACACACAGGCACCCCTCGCCAAATACAAACCCAACAGGAGGACACACCAGGACTTCATTACCTCTATAAAACTCCAATCTGCATGCAGAAGAGAGAGGCAAATCTGAAACTTTGTTGGTGTATCAGAAATTCAAAAGGAAATGCATCAAATCTTTCCTTTTTGTTCTCTAGCCGGGTCTTTAGTCGTCCAAACACCACTTCCCTCACTTCCAACGCACAAGTTTCCCTCCTACATGAATAGAAACACAATTCTTCAGCGTGTTGGCTCAGGGTTAAGACAAGACGTAACTTTTCACCTTGTAGCAAAAGTAAAGCGTGTGAAAGTCAGCGGAGAGGACGGCTGGCGTCTGTTGGTGAGAGGCGGCCATATGGTGAAGTGTCTTGCCTGCCTGTGAGACACCTGGCCACCACTAACCAGCTGAACTTTTCAACTCAACAGCCGTCCACTCTGAGCCAATGACTAATCCCTTGTTTTAAGATATTTGAAGGATTTGAGAGATTTGGTTTTGATTCAATGTCAACGTTAACATGCCATAAAAACTTCAGAAAACAGGTTCGTTCAGATAACTTATTTAAACTTAACCACTATCTGATTAAATCTGACATAATCAGGTCAATTATCATATTGTTGGAATAAGAATATTAGGTTTCATTCTAAGCCCACAGCAGACCTCACTATTTATTGCGGATGTGACTGTATTTTTTGTTTGTTTACCTTCAGCCACAGTGGCAAGAGATGAATAAAAACACTCAAGGGTAAAGTTGCCTCCAACCACAGTAACTGCAACAAATTTGAACCCACTTTCAAAGGAAAACTAACAAAAAAAACACACTATGGCAAACCTCCCCCTATCAGTAAAAACACCACAGCCAGACAAATAAGTCATTCGAGGCTTGTTCACCCCTTCTCTCTGTGGTGTTTTTAAAATACACACCTGTTTGGCACAGGCAGCACCAGAAAAACCTCCAGATCTTAACATAACTGTAGAAGTTAAACCATCCTCATCTGTCACAGTCAAGCTGCACACAGATGCACATTGAGCGCCTCCTCTCTCTTATCCTTCGTACAGCAGACTTGGCACCAATTCAAGAACTGTCAAAGCACACCTGCTAAATTAAGCCTCGTTCTCATACTCACAAACACACAGACACAAGTGCGGGGTTACACAGTGTATACACACAAGCGCATATGGACACATGCACACAAACGCAGATGGTAATATATGCTCACAGCAATATCAATATGATATGAACCGATATGATAGGGTTACTGGTGATATTGTTCCAAGATCAATTTTGACATTTATGTCCTGTTTGCACAAACCTCGAAAATTACTTCCTTTTATAAATTAACTCTAAATGAAGTTAAAAGTTGCTCTTCATGGTGGGCTGGTTGGCCTAGTGGTTGAAGCGCATGCCACGTATACAGAGGCTAAAGTCCAGGTCATGGGAGTTGGGTTCAACTCCCAGCCACAATTCTTTGCAGCAAGTGCCCTGTCTCCCTTTAATTGGCAAAATGACCCCAAAAAAATGCAATTTTTAGATGTAAAGCTAAAAAATGTCAATGTCGCTAGTGCATGAACAGTGCACATGTAGATCTGACAGTCAGTAAGTTTATATGACACTCGAGAAAACTATTATTGCCTTACTCTGATTAACACCGGACAACTAAAGTGCATGTAAACACCTTAGTTCGACTATAACTATAATAATCTATAATAAAAATACATTTTGAGAACTCCGATTGGAGTCGGAGAACTCTGATTAAGTCACCCAGATAATGCGATTCAAATTAGATTTTCTCTACCATGTAACCAGCAAAGTCGGAGTATGATTGGACAATGCATATGTGCCATGCCACGCCACGCCGCCGTAACCCCAGAACAAAAACACCAGAGGAGTAGCATGCACTTCATCTGCAGGAAAAGCCATGTGTACATCA